TGTCGCAAACGCAAGGTCAAATGTGACCTAGGAAGTATGGGCCCATTCCTTTTCATTATTTCCATGGCCTGACTGACTGATAATAAAAAAATGAAGGTGTCGATAATCCTCGCCCCCCACCCTGTGTTCGATGTCGTCGCGAAAGTAAAAGATGTGAATTTTCAGCAACTCGTCGAAAGCGCAAGACCTCCGATGCTGAGGAAGATGAAGTGGAGGCAGCGACGATCCTCCATCGCGACAAGCGAATGATGATTGGGGAGGTGGCCAAGAATGAAAGTCCAGTCGAAGGACCGCCATTTGCGCCTTCCGATCCACCTCAGTTCAACCATCAAGCCGCGCTTGCCCAACAGAGATGGTCCGAGGCACCTGCACCTGCTGCACTTCCTGCACCCCCAGCACCCGCACCTCCAGCCCAACGGTATATGCCCAGTGTGCCAACATCACGCGCTCCCACATACCCCGTCAGCGAACGCCCCGTGCCACCTAGCTATGGAGGGCCTCCGATGATGAACCGCACTGCGGTGGAGTTGCTGTCTCCTGCAATCACAAACACACACGACGCTTTGCATCTTCTCTCCGAAGCTGCTGGTAGAACAGAGGACCTCAACCGCCAGAGCCTCGAGAATCGGCTTGCTGCACGACAATCTGTCTCGTCTTTTAACTCGGGGCCTTCCCCTCTACCACAAGGCAGTTCGCCTCGAAGCTTGGGTGGGTCCTTTGTGCGGACACCTCGATCAGGAATGTCCATGGGCGGGTCTACATACTACCCGGCTGGTGCTTCAGGGCCGGTAGATCCCCAGATCGCCGATCCCGGTCCTCAAAGAGATAGCCCAGTCAACAACCCTCCCCCAGAGCCGACTTATATTGACGCAATCCGAGCCTGGTCGCGATTGCGATTTGTCCGTGCCGGCTGGCTTACAGTGGAGGAGGGCATGGACTATGTGGAGTATTACTATGAACACCTCGCGCCGATGAGCCCTGTTGTAATCCCTGATTTTTCTAATCCTTCTACACATCGCACATTACTTACTGATGAGCCGGTATTGGCGGTTACAATCCTCACTATCGCGTCTAGGCACCTGAAACCCAAGGGCGATGGTGCTAATACGCGGGCGTTTTATATTCACGATCGTCTTTGGGCATATCTGCGCAGCATGATAGAACGCCTATTCTGGGGCCAAGAAAAATTCGACGCTGGGACGTCGGGCATTGGCCGACCTCGATCACTTGACTTGAGTTCATCGATGTCAGGCAAAGGCAGTGTGGGTGGGCAATTGAGGTCGTTGGGCACTGTAGAAGCTATGCTACTTCTTACGGAGTGGCACCCGCGAAACCTGCACTTTCCACCGGGTGACGATGAAAACTCTCTTTTGGATACAGACCCCCAGACACACAGTCGGGCCGACAACCCTTTGGATCACGACGGTGAGAATACTAGCAAAGGTTCAGAAGGAAGGGTCGCGTTTCAGAAATGGCTGGAACCGGCCTGGCGATCGGACCGGATGTCATGGATGCTACTGAGTACAGCGCAAGCTCTGGCTTTCGAACTTGGCGTCTTCGACCCTAAAGGAGATGCTAAGGTGGCCAACGAGCCGCTATCCGAGCAAACACGGAAACGTCGACTACGGCGTTTGATTCTTGTGTTTATTACACACAGCAGTGGACGCTTAGGGATTCCTTCCATGCTTCCATTGCCTCAATGGGGGCAGGATATCACGCCAACGTCCGCTGATGCAAATGATGCTGATGCCAATCTTGATCGGATGCAGGATTGCTGGATCAGTATTTCGAAAATTGTCTATCAAGCCAATCATTTATTGTTTGCATCTAGTGATCAGACGATGGACTTGATTCGGAGTGGGAGATATCGTGAGCAGATTGACCGTTTCCAACCGTATCTACGGGAGTTCCGGCAGCAGCTGGACAGTGTTAATCGTAAGTCAATTGATCGTTGGCCATGGATAAGAAGCTAACAGAAAGAAGTCTCACCGGCTATGCGTAGCGTTTTGCTGATTGAGCTTGAGTACACCCGTAAGTTGACGCAGCTTGATTCGCCAAAGGATAATCTCTAATATGGAATCAGGTCTCTATATAAATTCTCTTGCTCTACAAGCTGTCGTCGATCGATGGACTACTATGTCCAATGAGTCCGCTCAGAGTCATAGCCAGACTCAGAATGGCCAACCAGCACCGGGGTCGTCTAATAGCAGCAACAGCTGGTTTCAAACGTTGAATGAGCTCTACCGTGTCAATGAACATTATATCCAGGAAGTCATCGATTCCTCGCGCAAAATTCTGCAGACAGTATTGGACGGCCTCGTCCCCGAAGGTCGTCTGAGACATGCACCCATTCGAACATTTTTCCGAATCTTGTCTGGAATGATTTTCATCTTGAAGGTAAGGTCTTTGGCGGCAACCTCGGCAGACATAATACTAACCAGTCATAGACTTTCACACTGGGAGCTAGAGAAGACGATGTGCGAGTCTCCCTAGACCTGCAGGATCGGACGGTGGAGGCACTGCGCAATTATGTCGTGGATGACGTGCACCTCAGCAACACGGTAGCACGGCTTCTTGAGCTTCTCACCAGCAGCATCCGGACGCGCTTTCTGCGCTTTGCACCACATGACCGGGGTGCAGACGGTGAGGGACACGACCGCACCTCGGTCCCCGACTCTCGGACTCGTTCACCATCGCGCGAGCATTCAACAACCCGTCGTGACGGCCCGAGTACACCCTGGTCCGCTAACCAGGGTCATGATACGACCTCAGCGGGTCTAGGATATGCGGATACTCCTGCCGCAGGCCACCCGATGGGGTCAGGGCATGATCCACTGGCGAACATCCCTGCCCAGCCGATCAACTCATCCAACCTCAATGTATCCTTCATGCCGCCTCCGCCGTCCGTGTACCACAACTACTACGACTCGAACTCGACATTCCCTACCAATGATATGGACAGATCATCGCCAAACCATGTCGCCTCATCTCAGACCATGGGCGACAGCCACCATCCTACCTCCGGCGCGCTCCCGGATTGGTTTGCCCTGCCTCTTGATCAATTCTTCAACAGCTCCACAGGAGTGGTTGACCAGGGCCTTGGTGGGACTGGTCCCATGCTTGGCGAATTTGATATGCTCGAGGTCCTTCTCAATGAGGGGTATGATGGAAACACTAACGGCGAGGGTGAGACTGGGGCCGGGTTATCGTCCCAGTATCTCTGATGAAACTTATGACTATGAATAATTCGGTGTTCTTTTTCATGTCTTACGCTTTGGTGGAGTTTCTTTTTCTCTTTAGGGTCTAGCTTATGGGCTGTACCTTTATCTACTTTTCCGTTGAAATTATATACCCCTGCGGGATCCGCTCGACGTTTCTTCTATGATATAATTCGTATTTGTACGGAGTAAGCTTGAAATTGATGGCCTGACCGGTCGATGATGTTATCATTGCAGCTCATTGCCTATTTCTCCGTATTTCGAATCACCCTAACTACCCACCGGTGTCCGTCGGGGTGATATTAGATTGCGGGGTCTCAGGTTTCATGCAGAAATAAGTTCTGTTGGTCTTGTTTTCACATGCTATGTTGTATACCAGTCTCTTGCACCGCGGAAGGTGAAGCTTTCGGGTAGCTTTGGCTTTAGAACAGTCCTGACGACGTGTGGATAATGTAAATACTAGTTATAACTGTTTAAGTAGTACATATGTACCTAGGTATGTAGATAAAGGTGATTGCCGTATTGGGCTAGTGTGTTTTAGTTCATCTTATATGGACAATTGACCGAGAGTCACACTTGGTACTCCATAAGCAACAATGCAATGTCATTGATACCCATCGGCGCTCAATTATCTCTGCCAACTAGGGTCTGTTGTTGTCACTTCCGATCCCACGATGAACCGATCGCTCATATCAACGGCCGCTAGATCCTTCGATTCCTTCCGCGCAGGCGATAAGAGCCGCTATTTGGTCATCCTCCGTGAGGGCCTCGGGGGTCACATCGTCTGACATGGACCGGAGCATTAATCTTCTTGCAGGGACGGATGCCCGTCGGAGATTGTACCTGTTACTTCTTCGTTTTGGTTGAGAGCTAGCAGAGCTAGCAGAGCTAGAATTTCGGCGACAACCCTGACACAGGCTCAAACCGAAAGGGCTCACCCACCGTATGTCTCTCACATCCAATGAAGCCATTAAATTATCCCAATGAAGCGATGTGACCTTGTTTGCACTTTAGGGCTGATGATTGGTCGACGTGGAGATAACGGGTAATGATCGTCAGGGCGCTTGCTAGTCTCAATGGCCTGCACAATCAGAACAATCACTTCATGCAGCGTGACTATGCCGAATGGCAATCTATTACACTCTACTTCCTACTTGCTATCGGTTAACCCAATGGGCAACTTATTTCCCTCTTGCACAAGGGTCGCCAAGTATGGCGATCGACCAGTCTTCACCCAATGAGTACCAAGACACTGACTCCCAAGACAACGCCTTGGCTTGGCCGGACTTCTCCGTTTTCCCTAGATAGCTTGTTACGACCAAGCTCCCTGGGCATTATTGCTTGTGTCCACATTTTATACCTCTGCCTACCCTCGTGTGTTGGCCGCGCTAGTCCTCTCATATCCACTTGATATCATCTAGCTTTCAGAGACCCTGTCAATATGTGCTTTTGGCTTGACCCCTCAGTCGCCTGCTTGGCGGACTCCGTCGTGCTAACCTGGATGGCCGTTGGCTTCCGTGACGATCTCCAAATTTCCCCCTCAACTTGACTGCATTCTGATGGATCGTCATGCTTCCTTCCTAGAAGGGGACCCATCACCTTCTCCTAGATGTTGCGAGAGTCAGCCCTGTTGATGTCTTCTATTCTCGGACGCCGGCGGATGGCATATACTCAGAAAAGCTATAAAGGAGGCCTTCCCTCCAGCTGTTTAGGGAATCCACCCTCTCCAGCATCGCCTTCATTCCCTGTTAGATCTATCCAACCTTCGATAAAATCATCACCATGGTTGTCTTCAGCAAAGTTACCGCCGGCCTCGCCTGCTTTTCGGCTGTTGCCTCAGCTGCCGCTGTACCTGCCAAGAGCCCTCGCGCTGGATTCAGTGTGAACCAGGTGCAGAAGACTACTACAGGTACCAGGACTGTCAATTTGCCTGGTCTGTACGCCAATGCACTGAGCAAGTACGGTGGTACCGTGCCTGCCAATGTCCACGCTGCTGCTGTTAGCGGCTCTGCCATTACCACACCCGAGGACAACGACATCGAGTACCTCACTCCCGTCAAGGTTGGCGGCACCACCTTGAACTTGGACTTCGACACCGGCTCTGCTGATCTGTAAGTTTCATTGAAATGGCATGATCGGTTAGCGCAATAACTGACAGTTCATATAGCTGGGTCTTCTCCAGCGAGCTCAGCTCTTCGGAACAGAGTGGCCACGACGTTTACAAAGTCAGCAGCTCCGGTCAGAAGCTGGCAGGTTCTAGCTGGTCGATCTCATACGGTGATGGCAGCGGTGCCAGTGGTGATGTCTACAAGGACACCGTCGTCGTTGGTGGAGTCAAGGCCACTGGCCAGGCCGTTGAGGCTGCCAAGAAGATCAGCCAGCAGTTCGTGCAGGACAAGAGCAATGATGGCCTCTTGGGTCTGGCTTTCAGCTCCATCAACACCGTCAGCCCCAAACCTCAGACAACCTTCTTTGACACCGTCAAGGACAGTCTCGACAAGCCGCTGTTCGCTGTGACTCTCAAGCACGGCGCCCCTGGTGCCTTTGACTTCGGCTACATTGACCACGAGAAGTTCACCGGATCTGTCGCCTACACCGATGTTGACAACTCCGATGGATTCTGGTCCTTCACCGCCGACAGCCACAAGATCGGCTCCGGTTCTGCTGGCGGCCCTATCACTGGAATTGCTGGTGAGTTATATCTTTTTGTGTGGAAATCCATGTTTTATTCAGCACTAATCTCTTAAATCATATAGATACTGGCACCACCCTTCTCCTGCTCCCTGACTCTGTTGTCTCCGCCTACTACAAAAAGGTTACTGGCGCCAAGAACAGCCAGACTGAGGGTGGCTATGTCTTCCCTTGCTCTGCTGATCTGCCTGACTTCACTGTCACCATTGGTGACTACGATGCGGTTGTTCCCGGAAAGCACATCAAATACGCCCCAGTCAGCGCTGGCGGCTCCTCCTGCTTTGGTGGTATCCAGAGCAACTCTGGCCTTGGCTTCTCCATCTTCGGTGATATCTTCCTCAAGAGCCAGTACGTCGTTTTCGACTCCGAGGGACCTCGTCTTGGCTTCGCCGCCCAGGCATAAATGTCTCAATGAGATGATACCCATGGGAAACCAGCGGTTCCTATGATGAATCTTGTACAGACAGTGAAAGAGTGATGCGATACATGGATGATGGATATGTTGGGATTTCGATCAGCAAGTCGACATAGTGGATTTTGGCCCTTAGATTTAGTTGAGCTTGTTACATATCAATATAATGGGGCGTGCATATATGAAATGAGAGATATGAAAAGAGTGTAGAGCTTTATGTTGTAGGTCGATCTTGTAGTGCAATTAGGGTCAGGATATTTGTGGAGGAGCCAATGCCGAGCCTTGAAATGGGCGGAGCATCCCTCCAGATTTCCACCTTAATTCTTCAATGTTCTTGAGATTGTCTCCTTTTTCCTATAGATTGCCACTCTTTTTTTATTTTTACTTATAGAGGGTTGGACAAAACAGAGAAATATTACTCGCCTTGTGCCCCCCTAAATCTCACACCGCCGTCGTTATTCTTCCAATTCCCGCCTCCCGACGTTAATCGCCTCCCGGTCCTCGGACTCGCAACGTCTGTACGCGATCAAAGTCAAGAATGGAAGTCTAAACAGTGAAGGGTCTTGTGTGACACGGGTGCATCGGTGGAAATTGCGCGGTATATGAACTATTTCAGAGACGGCGATTCAAGGCCGTTCATAATTCGAGTTCGATCATGGAAAATGACTTCCACTTGCTTCCCCGCCAGATCTGGGCGAATCCAACACCGACTACGACGAAGACTTATTCACCCGGCTGTACGCCTGTTGTATTGCCCAGTGATGGTATGTGGTCTCCCTTTTCCCTCGACAATTTGGTCGTTGGGCCGCAGGCTGCAGGCCGCCGGTCGCAGACTTGATGTCGCCTCCTAGGACCATGTCTAATTGCGAGTTGACAATTCTTTATAGGACTGGTATATTTCAACAACTCATATGCTGTTACTCTCACCGAAAACGCCATCTTCGAGCCTGTCTGTACAAGCTCCCCAACCGACGAGGTTCACATCTCCGCCGTCCTCGATACCCGCGATCCATTCTATTCCTCCGTTACCCCACAGCTATATGCCATCGGTTGCGCGACTGTCGTTAGCTATCTCCTCGTCATCATCCTTCTCATCACACCGCGAACATTCTACGTCGGCGGCCCCGGTGGCGGCGCCAATTTCCTCGGCCGCCATGGGATGATTAGCGGCTCATATAGCGGGAACTCGTCGGTTGTCGGAGTCGGTGGACGACCATGGCTGCAGAAAGTGGCTGCGATCTTGGTTGCGATCTCGTTGACTATCGCCACGGTCGATTCCTTCCGAGTCGCTGAGCGGCAGTATGAATATGGATATTCCGATGCAGAGGCGCTTTCCCAGGAGGTTATCGACGGAATGGAAATTCGCATCGTGCGCGTCATATCGAGCACGTTTCTGTGGCTTGCGCAGGTCCAGACGTTAATTCGATTGTTCCCGCGACATAAGGAAAAAGTTATGATCAAATGGGCTGGCTTTGCGTTGATCGTGCTGGATACGACTTTTAGTATTTTGAATAATTTTTGGGCGACGAGTTCTCCGACACGACCCAGGCTATACGAGGATGCCATTCCTGCTTTGAGTTACTTGTTCGAGTTGTCGCTTAACCTTCTCTATGCCGCTTGGGTGATCTTCTACTCGATATCTAAGCACCGATACGCGTTTTTCCACCCCAAGATGCGGAATATCTGCTTGGTGGCTCTTCTTTCGCTATGTGCCATTTTGATACCCGTCGTCTTTTTTGTTTTGGATATTGCCAAGCCGGAAATTGCTGGCTGGGGTACCTATATTCGATGGGTTGGTTCTGCCGCGGCCAGTGTGGTGGTTTGGGAGTGGGTGGAACGCATTGAAGCGCTGGAACGAGATGAAACCAAAGACGGAATTCTCGGGCGAGAGGTTTTCGACGGCGATGAAATGCTTGAAGTCACTCCTTCTGAGGAAGTTGACTGGCCACGTTTCACGGGTCAAGGGCACGACCAAGGTGGGGGGTAACGGTGCATCGTCCGGATGGGGCGGCGTGATGGGTTTGGCCCATCGACCTCTACGAGCGCGGGCTGGATTTCCTCGCGTTAATCGAAATAAAAGAGCTGCACCACCACCACACAACCACGCTGCTACGTCGGCCCCCCGGGGCCCAAACGATAACCGGCCGACTCCACCTCCAGCGGTGATCACACCGATCAGCCGTGCTGATACTACTAGTGCAACAAGCACAGTGTACAATGTCCGGTATCATTCAGTGGCTAGTCCTACACCTCCTGCCGCAATGCCAAATATGCACGAGGAGGAGGAATTGGATGAAGATAAGGAGCTGGAAGGCGCGGAGTCGCATACCCCTAATCCAAATGGCCATCCTCTTTCTGCTCAAAACACCCGAGAGCAGTCACCGCAGATTGTCCAAGCCGATCCGCGATGGCATGTTCTCCTGCACCCATTCAAGAGGCGACGTGCATCTCTACCGAAAGAAGTGGCATCTGCACAAGCCGGAGAAGAATTCTCCGAACACAGAGCATCTGCAGCAGCAGAAGAGGCCGAGGCAGAAGCAAATGCTGCTCGGTCTCGAGCCGATCACTTCTTTTCTCTCCATCGGAAAGCCCGACTAGGCACCGGACCACAAAATGCCGACGGCTCATTACCAGTCACTGTTATTCCAGCGCGTCGTCGCGGCCAACACACATGGTCACCGCAAAATCGACTGCTAGAGGACACCCAGCCACCTGGAGAGAGTCGACCAGTCCAACCCACTCAACATCGCGAGCCACCCTCCAATCGTCCCAACTTACCAGTGCGGGTGATTCCTTCTCGACCACAAGCGTCTGCTCCATGGACAGAGGCAGACGTAGAGCGAGGAGGTGGAGACTATGTCCTACACTATGACCCGGAAGCTGCGGCGCTGGTCAACGAGGACATCAGCCATTTGGATCGGAATGATCGCAATGATCATGTCACAGATTACGATCAACAAAGTTGGACAGATACGACATACTCGGAAGAACGAAACGATGTGTCAGCGGAACAGACAAGCCGTAGACCACCCGATGCCGAATCCCACTCTGAGCACGGACCTTACAACGAACAGCATGGCTCTTCATAAAACGCCACTTTTAGGCATAACGTGTGGGAGATGTCACATATTTGGACATGGCTGATTGAGAGCATATGAAGCCCTGACAGACAGTCATTTTTGGTCATTTTCATTGGTATGGAGTATATGGATTTGATATTATTTGGACTGGTGTTGGATTTCAACATCTTAGAAAGATACCCATTATAATTTTGAGATTGAATATAATGTTGCACATTACATACATATTCCAAGGACTATACTCTATAACTACATATGTATACTCTATAACTAACTAGTTAGTTATAACATTTTATGTTGTAGTTCCCTTTAGTTCCCTTAGTACTTTTAGGTGAGCTCTTAGTGGCTTTGGCTTACCTACGAGGCTTACAAAAGTGGAGACGAAATTTCACTCGGAAACTCACGATCCCGGTGCCTTTTTCCCCCATATTCTTTGTATCCTTATGTGACACTTCCATTAGAAGTCGCATCATGGCGACTGTCAATAGAAATATGTTTGGGGCGAGCATAACTGAACCACCTAGGGGTGCTCAGTTGATGGCTTTGCCGTTGAATCTCATCGCGGAGATTGTGTCATATGTGAGAGGGAGCTCCCCACATCATCACATTTCCACCTATCTAACCATGCCGTAGGTCGACGACACAGGCGACCTCGCTCGGCTATGTCGAACATGTCGGGTCCTCAACTATATGGCGTTGCCGCAGCTATACCGGAGCCTAACGCTGACCTCCTACGACAAGATTCGTTATCGTGATGAACAACCAGAAGGAATGGGGAGCGCCAGTCCCTTCACAATGGGATTGAATGCGATTATTACACGATCTTATTCGACCCTGGTACGATCGATGACACTACGCGGGGAATGGAAGGACCGTGAGCTGGAGGAGCATGCCCGAGTCGGTCGTGTACCCGACGCATCGATGTTGTTGAACATCGCCGCCCGCGCTGCGATCGATCGCATGAGTAATCTGGAAAGCTTCCATTGGGAACTGAACACCAAAATGCTCGACACGGTTTTTACAGGCTTGACACAGCTGCCGAAGCTCACATCCCTGACGATACGGTTTCCGTCTAGTCGTCATCCACAGCCCACTTTCGTGATTCCGGGAATGCCCCATTTGCGATGTCTAAAAATCACCGATATAGACCCGCTTTGCTACCCGGATGATATTGCGACTCTTCTTTGTAAAAGTAGGAAACTGCGCGAGTTGAAATTACATTGGTCGCCACGGATGCGGGATGCACACGAGCCTAGCATCTCTCTGCATGATTACTTCCGCAAGCTGATCGCAAGCAAGCAGCCCCTCGCGGTTAAGAAGATATCGTTCCAGAATCTATATGCCTTTCACACTGAAGATTTCAGCTTCGCTTTTGATCCGACTACCGTCGAAGATATCACATTCCTCAGTGGTGTTGAGGGCTCTAGTCTGGTCAACACATTTATCGAGAGCAGCTGGCCTACAAACCCGCCCCATATCAAGTTCCGCATGAAATCCGTTCGGGTGGATGCAGTGTCAAAACGGAGCTCGGAGTTCATCGGGAACCTCTCTGGACTCGAGCGCCTATACTTTGTCAATGTCACATCGGAATCAAGCGACCTGCCCAATTGCCCACGACCCGGCGGAGGCGCGGTCTCATCGGCCCTCACGCCCCCAACATCTGAACACCATTTGTCTGGTGTGCCCAGTGGAAACGCAACCAACTCTCCTATCACTTCTGCTTCTCCGGCTAGCAATCTCAACGCGATAGCTAACGTACGAGACCTCTACCTATCACACATTACCACAAATCATGGCGCGACATTGCGCCATCTCCTTCTCCCATCCAAATGGCCTCTCTCCACCGGGATGATCGCGCGACTCGTCCACAGCTGTCCGAATTTGGAACAGCTCGCCCTCGCCACCGAATTTTCCAGCATAGAATCACTGGGTCTACTAATCCCCTTCCTACGGAAATTGAAAGCAATCCGACTTCTCATACCCCCATCTTCCGGACAGTCTCCAAATGGACCTCCGACTTCTGCATTGAACCTATCCACACCTTCACGAGGAACATCAATGCCCGATGTAACCAAAAGGATGCAAGAGACATTCGCGAATGCGAAGACTCTCGCAGAAGTGGTAGACGTCGACGACTCCATCCTGACCGAAATTTTAAGTTACGACCTCGCCGACAAGCAAGTCTACGGAAACGTGAAGCTCGTCAGCATGGGCTGGAAAGCATGGGAACTGCAAGACTTCTACAAAGACCCCATCCCGCCCGGGACTAATAAAGAATCCCCATCACCAGCAAATGGCGATAATGCATCCCCGGAGACAACAACGTATAGTCCCGCTCCCATGCAAGGTCCCAACGGCGGTGGACTCAGCGCTCCATACCAGCCTGCCGTCGCTCATAGGTCACCCGATACACAGACAACACATATATCTTCTTGGTCGAATCCACTTGGCACACGACAGGGCACCTTACCGCCATCAACATTGGGGAAACGGTCACGCGATCGAGATGAGAGCGAAACCCCTAGACCCCCAACAGCGGGTATACCGACAGACGCGAAGACACTGAGTGTGTTGCGTCTTTCAACCCTGTATGCTACCCGTACACTTTCACCGATGATGGGTTCGTGTGGAGACGGCGTGTGCGAAGGGTAGGATGGGAGGTTCTGCAGAATTGGGAGGTGTGGGCGTTAGATGCGCAGGAGATTTGAGGTGGTTGTCATTTTGCATTCTCGCGTCACGCTACAAAGGAGTTTGGCATACCAATGAGCGGTGTTGGGCTTTTTACCCCCAGGGTCGGAGGTTTCCGGGGCGCTTTTAGTTTAGAGTCAAAGCAGGTTATGTCCTGTGCTCTCGGCGTTGGGGAAGTATATACTACACTACACTATATATGGGGATATCTCCTCTCTACGGGGTCTATGTCCCTCTTATTTTATAAATTGGATTTTGGTTACATATTCTAATAATACTCTGCCGTATTGGACAAATCATTGCGTGTTGATCATGCTGTGTATGCCCCAGTTTGGGTAAAGGAATTATCCCTCTGACGACGGATATCAAGAAGTTGGCCATATGTGCCTAAGCTAGGGGAGCTGGGTCTTTGGGTACTTGAGTGCACATCACCAAGTTCTACAAAAGAGGAGATACGAACTTCAAATTTCATTTCATTTTTGCTATCTGACTTTGACATTTTGCAATATTGGGCCATAGTGTCTTAATCCTAAGTAGGTTAGAAGAAGGCCAGTGGATAATAATACATGTACAAGAGCTCTCCTTCCCGCTGGAAATCCTGGAAGCCCATGCATCATTTTAAAACAAACGCTGTGTACGGAGCTACTAGCTCCACCTGAATAATCACGCAAATTGAAAACGCCTCTGATGACAATGTAAATCGTGGTAATTCATATGAGTAGAAAAGGGGAAAGGGTCGTTGTGTTTAGGAAAGCAAGGGCTGGTACTTCAATGGCACGACCCATTTGTTCCCGAAATCAATTCCATGGCGACGACGGGTACCGTACTTTCGCCAGACGATCTGAGGGATTCCGATGTCGGCAACTGCCAGATTCCAGGATAGTCTTTCGCCAGACAGCAGAGCATTCAGCACACCGGTCTTGGGAGCTCCGAGGCACACCACAGATGTGGCATTGACACAAAGCCGGCCACCTTCAACCAGAGTAACCTCGCCTATGGAGTTTGCTGTATTAGTCACACCTGTTCGGAGTTGTTTCCGTAAGTACTTACCAGTAGAAGCATTGAGTCCAGAGGGGACATCCACAGACAAAACATCGACATTACTGCGGTTCATCCACGAAATCATCTCGAATGCCACGCCTTGGTCGTCGGTTCGAAGGTCGTCAAAGGATAGATGCATGCCAAACAAGGCGTCAATGATCAAGTCGGGGCCCAGGTCCGAGGTGGCCAAACGAGCAGATAGTTCTTCCCATTTAAGCACGCGTCCCCCAACCTTACGGAAAATATCAAGTTGCTTGCGGCAGTTCTCCAGCAATTCAGCTTCGTGTTCAAGCCCGAGCAAACAGACTGTAACCCGGTGACCCCGGTTACGCAGATGGCGAGCAGCAGCAATAGCCCTTGCCCCAGTACGATGGTTGCCAGTAAGGATAAGCATAGTGGGCGCAGCAGCATCGTTGGACAGAAGAGCCACAGCGGCTTCTGCTATTCCCCGACCTGCGTTCTCTGTAATGATCTCATCGGCCAATCCAAACTCGGCGACCGAAATTTGCTCGATCTCCAGAGTCTGCAGGGGGCTCACCGTGGGACAGCTGCGATTGGTGGTTGTGAGCCGGAGGGATCCAGCACCAGAAACATTAGGAGCAATCATAGGCGACACTGACGATCGGGTTGGCCGAGGGCTGGTTGTACGAGAAATGTTGACGTGAAGCTGACTGCGACCAAGCGCACTGAGCTGTGGCACCATTGGCGGGGCCTGGATCGCGCTGTCTTTGCGGGGAGGCTGAGCATGTGTAGGCGCCCTTGACCGCTCGCGTCCAGAGAGGGTATCGCTACCCAGTTTGATCTCACTAATTCCTTCGATATCATCCCCGGTGTCGCTGTTCTGGGGGCTATCGAGTACATTCTCCGTCCAGTGTAGGTTTTTTCCGCCGTTGGTGCCCGGCTTGACCTTGCGGTTGAAGCTCACCAAGCGCTCCTCGTCTGCGGTAGTGTCGTCGTTTCGAATTTGTTCAAATACAGTCCGCTTGTCAAACTTGGACAGGTTGCTTTCAAAGTCGAATTCGCCCAGCTCTTGAATATCAGTAGCATCTTCGGTTGCCCAGCCACTTGGATCTTCCGCATAACGGCGTGACTTCTTTTTGCGAAGTTTAGTTCCAGACCGGTTCATAGCTTCAGGTGAATCCTGGAATGCAGGGGCAGCTGGTTCCACGAATGCAGTCTGGCGCCAGCCCTTGCTCTTTGGGTTGGTGCTTGCGGCGGCGCCATGTTTAGCGACATGTTTAGCGACATATCCTCTCTCTTCCCGTTCATTTTCTTGGTTGCCACGTCGATTCCGCTTTGGTGTCTGCTTTGAGGGTGACAGTTCCTGCGGGCTTTGGAGTAATTTCTTGTGGGAGGTCCCTTGCATTCCAGTATTGTCGCTATCTGCATTCAATTCCAGGCTGTTAAATGGCTCAATCAAAGAGGCAGAGACTGCCCCAGGGATTTGGTTGGCGGGGAGAGCTGTCGGAACGTTCCCAACAAACGGTTTAGATGTGAGAGGAGCTTTTGAAAAACTCAGAATAGCCGGATCCGTAAATTGTTGCTGTGTTGGAGTAGATTGAGTGGGAGCTGAGGGTAAAGGCATTGTTCCATAAGGTTGAAGCTGAGGGTTAGGTTGATGTTGAGGTAGTTGCTGACGCTGCGGAGGAGCCTGGGTATTGGCTTCAAGAGAGAGGTCGGTGATAGCAGAGGCATCAATAGAATATTGAGGCAGGCGTTGACCATTCCAGAGAAATGTGACTAAATTTCAAAGGATTAATGATTATGACATGTATATATTGAACTCATTCAAAGCTCACCATCCTGGAGGAGCAAGCGCTGGCCAAAAACATTGGCGACCTGGCCCACCAGCCTTCCACCCTGTGGCTCTCTCAATGTCAACAGCACATTGTAGCCAATAAATTCAGAAGCCATGATAATTGTGAGCTTTGTAGTCCAGCTAAGCAACCATCAAGCGTGCAATTGTATTGGCTTGGCAAGCGCGTCAAACTTCGGATGATCCTACAGGGTTGGGACGAAAGGGCTGTGAGACAATCGGATGAAATGGCACGTGATTCAACTTATCGATAATCGATAAGCGATAAACCGTCAAACCTGTCAAACCTCGGAAGGTTCGAGGCTTCGAAGGTTGTTAGGTGGGTACATGATATAAATCTAACTAACTATGGATGTAGTTGAAATAATTGCATAGTTACATGTATAGTATTGATGATAAAAAATTGAATTACCGATAAGTAGTCAGATGTCTTGGATATAGTACATGTCATTTCTGACCTGGGGAATGAAAAGAAACCTCATATATGAATCAAAAGTCATCATCTTCAAAGTCATCTGGGTTCAACGCACCTGACGACTTAGACTTGTTGACCTCTGAGATTGTAATGAGGTTGGAGTAGAATTCCACCACTTTTGGATGAACCATCACCTTGCGAGGCTCGAATCGAGTAACCTGCAGTCCCTCCTGTGACACCGCTCGACTCAGTGCAACATACGCCTGGCCCTTTTCAAACACTCGGCCCAGATCAACCTTCACACGTTGAAGAGTCTGGCCTTGAGCCTTGTGGATGGACAGAGCCCACGCCAATATCAACGGAACTTGTTGACGCTGGGCTTGCACTTCTCCATTGGGAAGCTCAATCTTCCACGTCTCCGGTTGACACAATAAGTGTCGTTCCGACCCATCAGGCTGAAGAAAAGATACTAGCGGCCATTTCCGAGCCATTGAGGCTGGGCCCTCTTTGTAGCCCAAAGGTTTGAGCTTTTTCCGAGCTCGATGAGCCCGCTCATCATCGCTTACAGTTGCGTCGTCAGTGAAATTTTTGTCGTTTTCCTTGTAGGAATCAAAGTAATCTTCACTCATGAAGGCTACCACTTTTCCAATCGAACCATTGACAAGCGAATCCTCCATATTCTTAATGAGCATCACCTGGGCACCCTTCTTCAACTGAATCATGGGGGGGCCATGCAGTTTGCCAGCAGTCTCTCGCGATGCTGAGGGTCCTGGATTGTCCCAGAATCCACTGCATTGAACCTCATAATCTCGCCAGAAAGTCTTCCCATCCGTGCAGAGTTGGCACCTTCCACTTCAGCGCGCGTTGGGAACCTATCAAGAGTCAGCTTTGGCACAGTATAATCATATAGTAAAACATACAGTTCTGTTGCTTCGATCTGATCTTTGACATCAAGGGGGCGAGAGAGCCTTCTGAAGGCCTCAATCGTGCGAGGGGTAATTTTCCCCAGTCGCATTTCATTCAGCATATCAGCAAACTCCGGATCTCGTTGACGGAAGATGTTGGTTAGAAGAATGGTATGTTGGATACAAGTTGTCCAGGAAGCAGCTGCAAATGCAAATTTTGCCTCCCGGTTGCTTCCGTCTGGGACGGGAGGTAGTTGGAAGAAGTCGCCTGTTACAACAAGCTGGATTCCTCCAAAGGGACGACCATTGTTGCGAATTCGTCGGGAAATCTCTTCGAGCTTATCAAATAGATCTCCGTCTACCATGGAGACTTCATCAACAACAAGGACTTTGGTACGCAGCCAGCGATTTCGAGCTTTCTGGTTTTTCTTGATCTGGGGGATTGTTAGTATCAGCAATTCCTAGGTGAGTAATGAAAAGCTTACCTTTTTCACTAGTTCGGGCACTGGCTCTTTGCCTAGACCAATTCCGGCAAAACTGTGGAGAGTCACACCCCCGATATTGCAAGCCGCAAGACCTGTTGATGCTGTGACTGCAATTCGATCGGGTTCTTTGCGATATTTGTTGCGCAGCTTCGCAATAATTTCTCTCATAAGGACTGATTTTCCCGTTCCCGCAGAACCGGTGAAGAACATGCTCTTTCCGCGGTCGACAACAGCGTCAAGAACAGCTCTTTGCTCGTCACTCAAGAAAACAGAGGCAATCTTGGAATTGTCCTTTGTTTTCGAATTCCCGTCGGGTTTTTGGGTCTTTTTGTATTCTTGTCGCAACTCTTTCTGTTCCGCCTTGATGGTGCTCTCAGACTTGTTCCATGGTTCTGCAGGTCTTGAACGCTTGGGAGTCACAAAGCTCTTTTTCTTGTCTTCGCGGGGTTCCTCTTCTTCTTTGGTCCACGGAAGCGTACGAGGTTTCTTGACAGGCGGTTGGAAATGGGAGGGCGGTGATGATGACCACGGTAACTGCATGCTGCTGGGAGGGGCTGCTGCTGCTTCTTGGGATATGGATGGAAGATCAGGGTAATTTACGTCTGTTGGATTTTCGTTGCCATAAAAAGACTGGCCAATCCTTGATGTAGTGTCCAAGCTTGGGTATGTGACTGTTTTAGAGGTGGCGGAGCCAGAAACGCTCGGCGCAATCAATGGCTGCGGCTCATCGAGGTCCAGATCATCATCGAAGTCATTTTCATCGAAATATACCGCATTATGAAGGGACCCCAACGAGGATTCGGCGACTTCGACTTTTCGTTTGACAGCACCAGGTTGTGGTTGTGACTTCGAGGGAACCATTGAATTGGCACGCAATAAGTCGGTCTGGTGAAGAGGTTTCGTGCCACTACCTGGGTGGTCTTGGAGAGCTTTCTTGAACATTTTCTCGGGGGCTCCGGTGGGTCGGGATGAGGATGAATACGCAAATGAACTCGGTAGTCTCTTTGGGCAAGTCAAAGAGAGCGATCCAATTATGTATATGCCCCGCGCTCTGAGTCTGGCACAATGCATAAAATGAAATGCAGAATGCAACAATTGAGGTCGCGCCAGACAATTCCGATAGGGACGCAGATCGATTTTCCGGAACGCGTTGCAGACGCGATTATCTACACGTGATAAACCACTGATAAGGATATCAGCTCCACCGAGGTCGAGGTCCAAACAACATTGAATACGAATTTATCTCACTAGGTTTGTATTTATCATTTGAGGTGCTGTATCCCTTTATTGGGATTACATATATACACTATATGGTATTCAAGAAGTCCAAAAATATAAGCTTTTGTTGGTAAATAACGACTATACTATGACAAGTTGTCCGAAATATATACTTCGGATTAATTATTCAATTTACACAACACATTAATCCAGAACAACACTAAACCGCATTTTATTACATTTTATCATTCAATTAGACACAGGAAAGTAGACCATCAGTGTAGTCAAGTGCAATTTATGTACCTGCATTCAAGTACACCCAGGAACATTCGAGCGGACATGATATCACGTGATCGGTAATTACCGCAAAACACGCGGGACGAGAATGCAGAATCCAGACATTATCAAACACCAGTCGCGAGAGTATCTTGCCAATCACACCATATCGAAGCAGATTGGACTCTGTGACCATGAGGAATGGCAGGGATGGCAGTCTCGAGTACGTGCAGCGGCCTTTTCTTTCGAATTCGAGCACGATTGCTAACATGTCATGTTGTAGACAAAGACTACCCTCTGACGGGTGTAGTGATCTGCTTTACATCTGTACAAATTGAGAAGAGAGTATGTGTCCGATAGAGGTTTAGTGACGTGTGAAGCTCCAAGCAGAGGCTGACCTGTATTCCCGTTGCACAGACTCCATTGACTCAAATGGCGGAACAAATGGGCGCGATGCACAGTATCCATCTTACTTCAGACGTAACCCATTTGCTTGTGGGTGACACGAATAGCGACAAGTACAAATACGTTGCAAGGGAACGGAATGATGTGGTGGCAATGAATCCAGAATGGATCGAGGCCGTACGACACACATGGACGCAGGGAGAGGACACAGACATACAGGCGCTGGAGAAACAATACAGACTGGCAACATTGCATGGCCTCAAGATCTGCATCACTGGGTTCTCGGACCGTGAGTTGGCTGGTTTTCCACAATTGAGTATGGAGCAACGCTAACAAATGCGCCGCAGTTCCTTTCCGAGCCTACATGCAGAAGACAACCGAGGAGAATGGGGCCGAATATCGAAAAGACCTGACCAAAACTGTAACACATCTTATTGCGCGCAACTCGGACGGTGAAAAGTACAAATTCGCGACACAATGGAATATCAAAGTTGTTTCGGTAAAATGGTTTACGGACAGCATCGAACGTGGAATGATCCTAGATGAGCAGAAATATCACCCGCTGGTGCCACCTGCAGAACAAGGTGTCGGGGCATGGAATCGATCCTCGCCAACAGAGAGGGAGCCTTCTCGAAGGGACAGCACTACAAAGGAAAACTCTCTAAATCCACGACCTCGAAAACTACGCAGGATGGCAAGTACCAAGCTGGTAGATCAAAATGAAAGCATATGGGGGATATTGTCGGAACAGGATTCGATAATAACGGGACGACTGGACCCCAAAAGAACCCACAAGCACAAGGACCACCCGAAGCCTCGAAGCCTGTTATACAGGCATATCAGTCATTCGCCAGCGAGACTACATTTTCCGAAAGCCAGTCTCGTCTTCCACTGCCGGCTGATCCACCAAAAGACAATGGATTTTTACATATGACTTATTTCTTCATTAATGGATTCTCTTCCAAGCAGGTTTGTGCTCATGCTCTTGCCCACATTTTCCTGAAACTAATGGACCTTATAGACTAAAGTTCTCCGTGAGCATCTCAACTATAACGGAGCTCAGTTGGTGGAGTCACTGAATGAGTTTGCTAGTCCTGCTATTCCCAAAACAGGGCATGGGCTGTTCATCATGGTGCCGTATCAGACTCCCAGGTCAGCGATTCCGTCAACAGATGAAATGGCATTTGAATGCGAGGTCGTGACGGAGATGTGGCTAGAAAGATGCATTGATGCTCGAGCTTTTGTCCCACCCGAGTCTCATGTGGCGAGTACTCCGTTCCCTAAGTTCCCTATACCAGGTGAGATCCGACCGAATGCAAGATTAAAACATGCTCTAATGACATTAGGTTTTCCGGAATTGCGGATTTGTTCCACCGGCTTTGGACGTATCGATCTTTTACACCTACGGAAACTGGTAGAGTTGATGGGCGCCACATACGGGGAGTTACTAACGCAGAAAGCATCCGTTCTGATTTGCAATGACCCCAAAACAGCCAGTGTGGACAAATTGCGGCATACGACCGAGTGGGGGGTTCCAGCAGTGTCTGCTGACTGGCTCTGGATATCTATTCAAACCGGCCAAAAGAAGCCATTCGAGCCATACATTGTCCGACGACAATTACCTCAAAATGCTAGCAGCACAGATAAACTAGGTTCTTTATCTGCTAAGCGAAAACAATCTGACAGACATGTTGATGAACGGAAAGCGAATTCCCCGTACAACATCTCCACCGAGTCCACGAACGGTGGTAAGAGCGAGAAGCGAAGTTTAGGGAACATCGGTGCAAGTCGAACAATAGCCATAGTCGGCGACGGCTTTGAGCCTGATGCACCAAAACCCTCTGTTCCAGAATCTCGATCTCCAAGCCCGGCCAGGATACCAGACAAACAAACCCCAGAGGAACCGAATACCAAGCAACCCACGCCAAGCACCGACTCGGCACCACCAACTGGCCCATCCGCACTGGATACCGCTCTGAGCGGGCTCCTCCAGCAAGCCCGCGCTGCCAAGTCACGACAGCAGACTGAGAGCACTACGACCAATGATGGTGGAAATCCACCCCGACGAAAGCGTAAGCCGCTCCTTGGCCGGGCCCCATCCCACTCTTCAACCCGAATGCTGGAAGGCCCTTGCCCCGTCTCACGTGCCAGCTCGATCGACACACTCAACGACGATGGCCTCGGCAGCGCCTTGGAAAGTGCTCGCCCGACTAGAGACAACTCCATATCCCGTAGCAACAGCCGTACCGAACAGAGTCTGTCATCAATGCTCAGCGGTGGGAAATTTGATTTCCTGAATGATAAACTCCCGCCTCATGCCGAGGACGAAGATGAGGAGAATCAGGCACCGCAGATGACGCAGCTGGACTATGAAGATCCTGATGCGGCTGCCATGAGAGCGGAGCTTCTGAGGGATGCTGGGAAGTTGTCCGGTAAGACAATGAAGACCGATAGCTCGGGCTTGCTTGTTGGTGAAGTGCGGGAGCTGGAGGATATTGGGTGGGGGTCTGGGCGGAGGACGAGGAAGCAGCCTGTTAAGGTGGATGATGAATGATTTTTGCATGGACGTCTTGGTTTTTGGTTTTTTTTTTTTTTTTTTTTCATCGGCGAAGACATAGCATTGCATTGCGAATGGCGCCCTCTTTGGTCTATCTATTGTTTTAAAAGATCGATATCTAATTGTTGTCAATGATAATCTTATTCGCTTCAATATCAAGCAAGCTACATGTCCTTAGGCCTACGATGGGAGTGATAAGTGACGAATTGTCTCGAGAAGCCGAGTGGAAGCTGCATTCTGATACTCGACATTCAAGAGACAAAAAGAAGGACGAGGGAAACCCGCGATCTTGAGGTCACTAGTGAGAGAAAGTTTGAACTAGATACAATCTTAATTCAAGGGGGAATCTTGGGTAATTAGGCTCCCTCTGGTGCACGCCATCACGCCATGAAATACAATGAAAGTCAGCGAGGCAAGAGAACCCCGGGCAGAGATAACCGTAAAGCCGACGTGAAGGAACATCATAGGAAGAGTTTAGTAGAATGTAGAGAATGGGCAAGAGAAATATGCAAACTGTACAAGTTAGGAGGCAAAGAAAATGAGCGAAAAAGAGACATCGTAGGAATCATGAGTTGTTGTACAAAGGTGAACTGAACATAGGCTTATGCTTGCATTTCCGCAGCCATTCCGCCAGGCAAGGGAGCATCAAGATCCAGATTCTCGATAGAACGGCGGTTCTCGCTGCTGTCCCGGAACAGGTTGGAGAAATACTTGGTGGCAACATCGCTCTCCTGCTTGATTTTGGTGACCTCTTGCTTGCGTCTGCCGAGATCCTCAATATCCTGAGAAAGACAGGTCTGGAGATTGCTGGCAGGCATGCGCAGCATGCGGCGAACTTCAGTTGAGATTCGATTGGCATTCGAGTGCACATAATCCATCTCAGAAAGTGTTGCGGCAATCTTCCGCGACAGGCGTGGGGGAAGTGTGGTCGGGATGGAGCTGAGCACATAAGCTGTGGTCAGGACAGCTTGGATAAAGTTAGTATATTGTTATTATTTGCGAGAACAAATGGGAAAAAAGACTCACCAGCAGCGAGGATGCTAGGGAAGAACAGCCGGCGCATGTTGTTCGGGCCGATGACCTTGACAGCACTTAAGGCACTATCCACCCAACTGAATCCGCCTAATGCCCTACCACCAAGTACAGTAACCGCAGTCATCGCAACGCCTGTTCCCGCCATCTTTTCTTGCCGTTCCCAGAGACCAGCAATATCGAAGAAGTCCCACAGCTCAACTTCAGTGTCGACTTGTCGGCCAAAGGTGTGGCGACGGCCACGGCGGAACATCGCATCCGCACGGAAGTTAAGTGGAGTGAATTTATCTTCACCAATGTGCAGAAGACCGATATTTTGGATGAAACCGACTCCTTGAACTGTCTTCTCCCGGGCGTAGTCCTCGCAGTCGGTGACAGACGAAGCAATTTGATCCAGCATTGCCAGCTTTAGTTCCTCGGCATACTGGAAAGCTGAAAAGAGACCAGGATATTCAACACCGAGATCTGCATCAGAAACACGCGTGATTGTGTTAGTCAAGGTCGAACGAGTGTGGTTGTAGACATCATCGCATGAATCGTCGATAGCCCTGTTAACACCCTCTGCAAGCTCTCCCTTCTTTTTCTTGCCGTTCTCGAATGCCGGTACGATCTCTGCCAATTCATCGGTCACTCGCTTGAGCTCCGACTGTGCAACATCACGGTTGACTGTGGCAAGGGAGCCAAGGTCAGATAGGAGATTCAGAAGATAAGTTCTGGCAGGCGCAAGCTTGGATCGGGAGCGTTTCTCAAGGACGAAACGTCGCAAAGCTCCTTCGAGGTTCTCGAAGTCTTGGAGTTTCTCCCGCTCTTTGCCCTTGCCCTTATCCTTGGAGTTCTTATCGTCGTCGTCATCATCATGGGGGTCAGAGCCACCGCCGTCACCACCGCCGGAGCCAGACTGCGAGATAGCAGGTGCCACAGGTATAGCATTGCTTGAAACGAAATGAACTAATTCAGCGGCCTCCTTGTATGTGCGAGGGCTGAGTTTGCCGATCTGATCTAAGATCATGCGTTCGCAGCGCTGCTTGTCGCGAATTTGATCAAATCCGTTGACTACCATGAATATATATGCCTTCTCGTGGGCAGCATTCAGGATGAACTCCTTTGCAGACAGTGTGAAGTGATTTGCGGCTGAAACCACAAACACAACGACGTCGATCTCCTCCTGCCGAGCAAAGACAGCCGTGGTTTTCAACGAGTCCGAGTTTAAGCCGGGTGCATCGATCAAAGCGATGTCAACCACGCCGTTATTTAGAAGTGATTCGTCAATAGACCGTACATCATTCACGTAGACCTTGCACTGCATGTACTTTGTGTTCTCGATAACGATGTTTTCGAGCTCGCTGAGAGCATAGACATCAAAGGTGCTTTCGTCATTGCGGTTGTATGGCGTATCTTTGTGAACGGCGTGGACTTCTTCAACGCTGCAGTTTTCGCGAGCATCGAGAACCTCACAGAAGATGCTTGTGCAAGGCTGCTGGTCCTCTGGCAACACCTTTCGGCGCAAGAGAGCATTGCAGAATGTTGATTTGCCTGCATTCAAGTCTCCTGTAATCAGGACCTTACTTGAGGTATCTTCAATCCTGTCTCGCAGCGAGAGGAGATGTTTCATGCTTTGGCTGATCTTTCCATCCAACAGGGCAGCAACGGATGCCTTTTCCAAAGAATGCACTAGCTCTGCCTGCGAAAGAGCTCCGAGCTTTAGATCCAATTTAAGAATAGAGAACTCTTGCGCAATCTGCGGGGTCATCAATCTAGGCTCTGTCGGGATGCGGCGTTGGGCCGAGGCACTGGATTCTGCCATTTCGTCGCTACCCATAGAGGTGGCTGCGCGCCTCAGCTCTGCTCGAGGTGGGGTGCTAGGTCTTGTGTCATTGTCTGGCAATTCTGACTGAGTTCGCTGCAGTGATGGCCGGTCTGTGGGAGAAGAGGGTGTGCTCTGCACGGAGGGATAGTGGGCGGGCCATTGGCGGTTCATGTCCTGAAGCTCTTTCAGTGTATCGATGGTCCGGGAGATCGCACGAGCAAGTTTGGTTCGATTTGAGTTGCTGAAAAATACTGTAAGCCTTGGATTTCCATGAACGCGTTGTTTGCGGAGATGGTAGACATACTAGAAAAGTTGAGAGACATGACTGGCAACCACTTGCTTCTCATGCTCAGCTATATCCCAGGGTGAATTAGCTCGATTTTCTCCCTTTTGTATCACACCATCGCATGGCCGCCAGCCACCTACCTGCGGGATTCCATTCTCCAGGGCGCGTTGGGGTATGCACCGGAGTCGGCCTATCCTCCATCAATCCTGCGCGCCAAGCAGAGTTCGCATCCTCCTCCGTATCGGCAATGCTGCCTCCATAGCCAGAATCTTGGTTAAGCGAAGTCATCAAGGCCGTGGCGCTATCTGAAGTCGAGCCGTTGCCCACAGTCATATAAGTCGGCGGGGGACGGAAAAAAGGATTCTTTTCGGGAAATTCTTCCTCGCCTGAGAACCTGGACGAGCCAGCTCTGGAAGACGAGCCTTCACCGGGGTGATATTCCTGACTCATGACGAATGAAAGACCTTAACGTGGGGGCGACATCCATCCAACAGAAGTTGTGTTTTTGGTTGCTTGGTTATGAGATGATCAATTTCTTGGAAGGTTAAGATGACGTCGGACCAAAAGGGGTTTAGCGTTCATGTGACCCGGTATTATAGTAATGCGCCTGTAATATTACCATACCGCCATTGATGTCACTGTTTCTACTCAGGCTCCTACGTTGTACTTGAATTTACTTTCCTTTCGAACTAACAAACCATTATCACCTACAATCATGAATGTAAGGCGCATATCAAACCTATGAATATGGGATTTTACTCACATGATGTGTCTCAGATCGTCGAGTGGGCTTTCGGAAAGCGCATGACCCCCGCGGAGCGTCTGCGTAAACACCAGCGTGCCTTGGACCGAACACAGCGAGAGCTTGATCGAGAGCGAGTGAAACTAGAGAACCAAGAGAAGAAGCTGGTACAAGACATCAAGAAGAGCGCCAAGAGTGGACAAGTTGGAGCCTGCAAGATCCAGGCCAAAGACCTTGTTCGAACACGGAGGTCGGTTTCTCTTGATTGTTTACTGATCGCAGCAGCATTGGCTAATTGGATGGCGAAAACAGATACATCCAGAAGTTCTATCAAATGCGCACGCAATTACAGGCTATTTCTCTGCGCATCCAGGTACGCGCAAGCTGTCCTCCGCTACCCCTCTTAGTTTTACGATGCGCTGACTATTGCTGCTTCCAAGACCGTCCGAAGCAATGAGCAGATGATGCAGTCGATGAAAGGAGCCACAATGCTTCTGGGTAGTATGAACAGACAGATGAATCTCCCAGCACTGCAACGAATCGCGATGGAATTTGAACGAGAAAATGACGTTATGGACCAACGGCAAGAGATGATGGATGATGCGATCGACGAGGCTACAGGAATGGAAGGAGAGGAAGAGGAAGGAGAAGATATCTTGAAGGAGGTTTTGGATGAAATAGGTGTTGATCTGAACCAAGCGGTTTGTTCCCCCGGCCCCCAAATATCGGAAGGTGGGCCTTGCAGACTAACATATTCTATCTACAGCTTGGTGACACACCCGAACACATACAGAAAGCACCAGTGAATGAAACCCGAGTGGCACAGGCCATTGGAGGGGGAGGAAATACGAGTGATGATGACCTCCAAGCCAGACTGGACAGCCTTCGGCGATGATTACGACTTTCTCTCTTATATGCCATTGATGACCGAGGTGACCTGCTGTGTTGAGTTATAATTGAGTTTACCTGCCTTGCTGTTATTATTAGCATACATTCCAAGATATTCCTGCTACCGACACACCAATCCATTTCCTTTCAACTCCTCGCATTCCCCTCAAACACGTTAAGGGCGTCCAGCCGCGGACTAAATAGTTTTATATAGGACTACATTATACCTAGGTACCTATACGCTCGACAAGAAAATATTCATATAGCAAAATCATTAATTATTATCAAATTCTATTCATCTAATACCCTGATTGTATTTGAGCCACCATCATCGACATATAAAATTAGAATGCCTTAAGGTGATGTCTTTTGGGGAGGGGGAACCTGCTCATATCAATTATCATCTGATTAATCAGAATATGTAGAATCATTAGAAGAACTAGAAGAACCAGAAGAACCAGAAGAACCAGAAGAACCAGAAGGGGAGTCAGAGGAGTGAGAAGAATTGTATGCCGGGTTATTGAGGATGGGGAATGACATCTCTTGCTCCACTGATATACTTGGCCATGGGAAACCCCTTCTACCATCTGCACGGTTTTTATCGTGAAATTCCTTGACAAAGGGTCTTTTTAAAGGGCGACCAGACTCGAGTTCTTCAGCAGACCAGCGAGAATACCAAGGAAATGTCGATAACTCTTCTAATGACGGCCGCTCGGACTTATCTCTAGACAATGTGGATTGTAACATATCCCTGCAGTCCTGCGAGAGTGATTCGCTGATTGGTACATCTTCGTTGATCATTCTCTTGCGTCTGCGTTTGACCACTGGATAGAACGGGTCATTGTAAGGACCATTATACATAGCATGCCAGTCCAAACCTTTCGGTACTGGTTTAGGCTCATCCCAGGGCCAGAAGCCATGCAAAAACCCGTAAACGATCGTTGAATATTTCCATATGCAAATTTGCCGCTGGTCAACAGTCAAGCGAATATCTTCGATGCTGACATCATCGTGGCATGGATCCCTCCAATTATCGTACTTCTCCAGTTCGACAGCTCGCTCGGGCATCATCTGGTACTCGTGGTAGGGGATGAAATGGTCTATCTCGAATGCGTATGCGTTAGTAAGCGAGAACTGGAGAATTCCAAGATCGATTAGTTGGACATTGAGGTTTTGGTCCATGAGATAATTGGTCACTGAGATATCAGCATGGTAGACCTTCATATCAGCTAATTCTACCATAGATTGGAGAAGCTGAGAAGCAACTTTACTACCTTCTATTTCCCCAAGTTGAGGTTCTTTGGATTCGGACATGAGATATTTGCCATCAAAAGCCGGAAATGGGGGATATCTCTTTCGGATGCGCGGCGGTATAGGCCCATTGGATTTGATCCTGTCAAACTGGCTTTCATCAATAATTGAAACGGCTTCATAGCTAGGATCGACGCAGGGAGTCATGAGAATTGCTGTTAGCATACCGTGAGTGTAGACCGAGTCGAGCCGCGGGAACCTTTTGCTCTCGTCGAGATAGATTAGAAGGAGTGCTTCTTCTGGCATATATCGTGTCTCCCCATTAGGCTCACGAAATTGTGTCATCTGAAACTCCACACCCGACAATCTGTCCATCAACTGTGTTGTGTGGACTTGAGATTTGATTGCGTATTGTTCAAGGCCTTCCAGGGAAGCACCAGCAGCGCCTTTTTCACGAGCAATAAATGTGGCACCAAATGCTGTGATCAGTTAGCAATGTATACATACAACGGATATTAGAGCAAGGGGATAGGATGGTCTTACTTCCTGCGCCTATGAATCCATATATCTGCACTCGCTTGAGAAGGTCTGGACAAAGGCATACCGCCTTGGCTGTGGTCTTCCCCTCGGAACTCAACCGGATGAATTCGTCATAAGAACCGCAGGCGTGTTTTTGAAATAATTCACTGTCGCATCGGTGCCCTGAATCGTCCTGGCAATTACATTTCGAGAATTCCTCGTTATTCCGTTTGGCAAACGCTACCCCTAGACGATCTCGAAGAACCTGACTTAGTTGGGGATACTTTCGGGACAATTCGCTTGAGGGGTCTAAGAGTTCTTCGGCATTGTAAGAGAAGCTATTACTGTAGTCCTTGTTTTCGAATTCGCGGCCCTCCGGCAACTGATGGTTTAAGGTATTATTCCCTTTGATTGCGCCCAAATCTCTCCCTAAGAGGTAATCGAAAGCGTAAGGATCCTGTGGATCAATGCTCATCTGTTCAGGCATGGTATTTGGTAAAATCAGGATACCCAGGTAGAGAAAAGTGGTGTGTTGAGTTTGCGAGGAAAGCTCAAGGAGCGAAGAAGTTCACTTTAAGTACAGCGTTCAAAGAAAATTCTATGTCATTATTCTCAGAATAGAGACTACAAATTTTCGAATGAAAGGAATCCCTCGAAACAATTTCCTTATGAATATGTCAAAGGGTTTTTTTTTTTTAGAACAATGAACAAAGAGCCTAGAGGCTAGAGGCTAGAGCTATCTAGAACAGAATTACCAAAATTGCTCAAGTCGTATATCAGATGATGCTTATAGATCTATAAATAAAACCATTCACCCGGGCGATTTCCAAGGTTTAGGTCCCCAAGTCATTTATGCGGCTGAATAGCCTTGGAAGCTTGGAAGTTCGTGATGCGCCCCGTCTAGAGCCTCAAATTCAGCCTCGTTGCACCCGGGTGAGAAATGTAAAACCAGGAGTTCCATCGATGAAAAGTCAAGTATAGCAAATAAATTGCATAAATACTAGTAGTTCTTCTCCTCAAAGAATCATATTCTTTCACAATTAGCTGAATTTCCTTCCAAAGAAACAAAAATATCCTTCATGAACAATGCCAACCAATATCACCGACATCCCAAACACAAACCCATTATCTCCACTCGTTCATTTGCAATATGTTCAGAGATACTCTGGCTCCCAATCAGCGAGTCCAGTTTATGAGGGTTTTACCTTTTTCAAGGCTATGCCCAAACAAAGTGCAACCTGGACTTGTGTGAAACGAACAGTCATGAATCTGAATCAAGATGAATACATCGAGATGGTTCAGAAGAGGGCAGATCGGAAGTCCCCAGTGCAGCAATACCGGAACCTACCCTCTGATACCTTGCGTGCTCATATAAATCAACTGATTGACGAGCAAAAGAACAATAACCCACTTGCTGAGTGGAGCTGTGTCTACATCAAAGAACACGCCAAGATATCCAAGGCCCGACACCCTCATCGTAGTGACCATGAAACAGTCTCCATGGATGTCATCATCATGCGAACGCCCATGAAGACCCAAGCTTTTTCCAGAACCTTGATGGGTGGCTCAGTGGCCATTGGGAAACCTCTTCCATCGGGTACAAACAACCCACCCATGTGGTCTCACCACAGAGACCATCATCTGATGCCCAATCAAAATGGTAATATTTTGCGGCCTATACTGCATGATTTGCCTTCCCAATTGGCTCCAACAATGAATCATTTTGCACGGTTGGTTTCAACCCGGGCTGCCCACGAGGATCCAAATGGCCAGCAGTTTGAAGCCACACATCCACATGATGAGACAAGTCATCCTGCAGGATCTCGGAACCAGCTGCGTGAATCTGCCCGGTCAACTGCAGCGGTCAACAATCGGCCAGCAAGTCCAGCCTTCAGTGCCACAAACAGCAGCAACATGAGTCTTGAGGATAGTTCAGATTGTTCATCGGAAAGCAACAGCGACCCAGATGATGCATCTATGCTTTCTGACGCATCCGACGACACAACCGCAACAGACGACCTGGAAAGCATGGAAACTGAGACTGAGACTGAGTGCCAAGAGCCACAGCCAAATCGGGCCTCCTTCCGATCGTATAATGCCAGTCCTTATCATCGCGAGTCGAGTTATGGGCCTCATTCTCGTCGAAAGTCCCAGAGCCGTGGCCTTGATAATTATGACCTCCGTGACCAGTTTGAGGTACCTCCTGTCAAGGTTCTTGGTCCTAGACGGGCTGAACGGGCCCGGTCACGCTCTGCGCCTGGTAAAAGATTTCGAACACAGCTGACGAACGACAATGAGTTCCGAAGCCGAATGCTTGATCGCCGTGAAGAAAGTCTTGGACATCGGGAGAAATGGCTGAAGAGAACATTTTCTGGAGCGCGTCATCTTGAGCGCCGTCAACCAGTAAGGGATCCATCAGCAGTGTGTCGCTGTACCTGTCGTTGCGCCATCAAAGAGAAGAAGGAACCTAAGTGACTGGTACTTTCTTTTACTTTGAATCTTTTTGGTTATGTGTGCTGGTTTCTCTTACCGTCAGAAGAACTGTTTTCAATTGCACCGTTAGTTTGGAATAGTCATATAAAATTTATATAAACAGAATGAATGTGTTTTCAGATATTGTAATACTTGGCGTAAATCGTCAGCCCTGGAAGTGATAGTGCCCACACCCCAGCTGGAGGTTCTGAGATGAGTACTAGAATGGAAAGTGTTGTATAGTTTTTACTGATCTACTTTAATGCTATATTAAATTGCATATACTTCGAAGGCTATGAGTCATTAGCCCGACAATAACCAGTCAGTATAGCCGAGTGGTTAAGGCGTTAGACCCGGACATCAATTCGAGCTATCTAGTTCATTCGTGATTCTAGTGCTGAGGTTTGTTATTTCATATGTGTTGGTCGGTCCAACACGACCGTATTGGGCTAATCTTACTTTTTGTCGATCAAAGAAAGATACATACGTTGAGGAAAAAACACATAACTATGTTGTAGTTAGTTATATCGTGACCACGATATTGAATATTACATAGGAAAACGGAGTCAGTCTACTTGACAATTGATAAGCTCACTTCTTTTGACGGCAAACTCTTAGTTACTATATAAGAGTTAGAGATTAAAGCCCCCTACTAAAAGATGATAGCAAAAACTTGCTCCTTACTATAGTTAGTTACCACTACAGAGTACTATAAACACTGTGAATTAACCACATACAGTAAGAATCAACGATAACCCGGTTATAATGATCAGAATCCGGTGCTTGGATTGATTGGTTCGCCATATAATTGAATCTTTGAACCCTTTTTGCTAGGATAATCGTTAATTTACCTCTCCCACGCAACAAGAGACCATTATATCCAGGGATTCATACGTTAATTCTGACCAATTTTGACCAATTAAATGCATCGTTAACCACGCGACATTTAACAGATCTCAACCAATTGAAATATCTTACTGATCGATCTTAACCTCCTAGAAAGTGGCTCTACGACAGTAGTTAATTAGTGCGATTAATACACAGGGAAGGTTATGACAAGCGAGGAAATTGACGATCTTGGGGACTTTTTTAGAGTATAAATTTGTATGTAAACTAGAAATACTATAACTATTATATGTGTAACTATACATTATATGGACCTATATTTAACGAATATCTCGCCGTGTTTCATTCAATTTGTGATAACATGGGTTTACTGTATAGTTTAATGAAATATAGAGAATGTGCTATATTTCGGAATTTATATACAGTGTGGAAAATGCAACATGGATACAACCAAAGATTGCACCCCCTATCTTTCTCCAGCTTCAGTCCAATTCATAATAATCAGACTCTAAATGCTAGAATTTGATACTTTTACGTGTATCACAGACTAAAACAGTGTAAGCACCCAGTCTATTACCCAAATAAGAAGACGGTATGTTTCTGCCCAAAAGTGAGGTTATATTGAACTAAACGAGTAGATATTTCGCCCTTCGGGGCATATGGTCAATTTGAAAATATACAGAGAAGATTAGTACGGCCCCTGCACTAAGGATGACGTATCAAATCAAAGAGAAGCTACCTAATTTTTTTTACCATACTAAGGTATGGTGTATAGGAACGCACCATCGCCGTTCGACTCTGCGCGCGTTGTGTGTTTTTTGGGAATTAAAATATTGACGTTTGGTTGCCCGTCGCTGACCGGTTGCCAGTCGTTGACCGAACAGCTCCCTCAGGTGTTTGCTTATTATAGGGTCGTCTATTTAAGCTACACCTGCAGACTGTTGGAACACATGGAGATCTAGGGTTCAAACTTCACAATGTACCTAGGTAGATAAATTGTCCCTCTCCCTCCTTCAGCTCTCTATATTATGCCCTCTCTTAATACACCCAGAGAACACCATTTTTACCCAGATTTTTCAATATCACGCCCCTGATACTTGGATTGTAACCCCGTCAGAGGCTTGTCGTTAATTTCCCCACATCACGCTTCTTACATGCTTCTTATATACATAGATAGTTCAGATCGTCTACTGTCCACTCGGAACCAACTGATTCCTCATTTGCGCTTTCTTGGGGCATCGAACCTTGACTACAACCAGACAAAGTCTTCTGCAGTGTCAGATCGAGCTCAGAGGAAGGTAACTATATGGGCCTACTTTAAACAGGTGGCACGTTATTTGATCCAGTCGATGGAGCTTGCTGATATGACGGAGAAAGAGATTGGACAGCTAATGTTAAAAGCTGGTACGAATGCGAGTCCAAATATATGATGCCCGGTCAATTGAGGAACTTCGTACTTTGTACAAAGTAGATGCCCCCGGTCAGCCCCGAGGGACCGATGTCATAATTGACACCTAATAATTCAGGCAACAGATCGGCGTGCCCCTCCATTTACACCAATTTACTTTCCTTCCAGTCTTCTTCCTCTTCCATAGCTATCAACATCCCTCAAACTTCTTTTCTCTCCCTTCAAACCCCAGCTTTATTTATCAATATGCCTCGCCAATTCTTCGTCGGTGGTAACTTCAAGATGTACGTTATTCGAGCTTCGCTACCCCGCGGTCTCAAACCCCTCGATCCTTTTACCTATGCCTACTCGTTTCATGAAAGACCGCGCAATTGACCCTATAAAGGAACGGTGTTGCTCAGAGCATCACCGACATCGTGAACAACCTCAATGCTGCCAAGCTCGACAACAGCACCGAGGTCGTCATCTCTCCCCCCACTATCTACCTCGCCCTGACCCGCGAGCTTGCCGACCCCAAGATCGGTGTTGCTGCCCAGAACGTCTACGACAAGCCCAACGGTGCTTTCACCGGAGAGATCAGCGTTGAGCAGCTCCGTGATACCAAGATTAACTGGGCTGTCATCGGCCACAGCGAGCGCCGAGTGATCCTCAAGGAGACTGATGAGGTATGCATACCCGCAATCCCCCAACCCCTAACCCTCCGCAAACACTACAGCGAAATGAAGCATAAACTAACAACCGCTCGATAGTTCATTGCCCGCAAGACCAAGGCCGCCATTGAGGGTGGTGTTTCTGTCATCTTCTGCATCGGAGAGACTCTTGAGGTACGTCATTACTACCCGGTTTTCCCATTTTCGTCCCGATAGTGGGTCATCGGGTCAAGACCGGCTATATGTTTTCTGAATGCATCCCGCTCACACCCGATTTCTTATGCAGGAGCGTGAGGCCAACAAGACCATCGAGGTCGTCACCCGCCAGCTCAACGCTGCCGCCAAGGAGCTGAGCGCAGAGCAGTGGGAGAAGGTCGTCATTGCCTACGAGCCCGTCTGGTACGAATTTACCCCATTTGCTTCTATATTAAAATATTTCTTGGACTTCTCTGACATTTATCTTCAGGGCTATTGGCACTGGAAAGGTCGCCACCACCGAGCAGGCCCAGGAAGTCCACGCCGCTATCCGCAAGTGGCTCGAGTCCATCTCCGCCCACGCCCAGGAGAACGTTCGCATCATCTACGGTGGCTCCGTCAGCGAGAAGAACTGCCGTGAGCTCGCTACTCAGCCCGATGTTGACGGTTTCTTGGTTGGCGGTGCCAGCTTGAAGCCCGCCTGTAAGTTCTTAGCACATGCCCATCTACTGAAATTATTGATCCAATTGACGCTAACCAACATCTGCAGTCGTCGACATCATCAACGCCCGCATCTAAGGGGTTTCAGAAAGAAACTAATACCCCCAGTGCCCCAATTATCAGAGTAAATAGCTCTGTGATGTAGGCGTCAGATAGAAGACAAAAGCTTGGAATGTCAAGTATATGATCATGAATCTATGTACAATTCTGAAGTATATTTCGATAACACCTGCTACCCCAGCGGAGCAATTATTTCCCTGGCCAAACAGACCGTTCGATGATATGCGCCTAGGCAACACAAGTAGTCTTAAATAGCAAGTAACCTATGAAGAGTACAACACCGAGACCCCGACGCCACGCCAATACGACATCCCAGGACCCCCGCCTCCACTCTGGCCCGAGCCGCTGCCCGAAGCCGAAGAAACAGATGGTGATAATGAGAACGAGCCCGGACCCAGCCCGACGCCCGCACTCACCAAAAGCTCCTTAACCCGACCTTCCCAGAGAAGCCGCACATTCCAAGACTGATCAATGCGCAGCTTAATAACAGAGTCACTCGTCTCGGCCTCGCCGTGAGGGCTGGAGCCCAGGGGACCCTCGGGACGACCCGGGTCCTCTAGGAGTGGGGAAGCCGGTGAGCCAGGCAGGGAAACGCCGAAGTCATGCATGCGCATTTTGCGACGGGCCCATTCGAGATCGTCGTCACTGGAGGAGCTAGATTTCTTGGTTTGACGCCATAGCTCGCAGCCAGCGACCATTTCGCTTTCCCAGCTGTAGACGTTAAAGCCGAAGCGAGAGCTGAAGGCGAGGTTGGGCGAGGCGCGGAGGGAGTAGGTTGTAGATAGAGAGCCCACAATCGGGGCTAATGTTAGTGTTAGGGTGTAGGGGAAGGTTGAGATGGGGGTTCGGGTGTGGGAAGGTGATGATGATTGCGGGACCTCGGTGGCTGCGGGTAACGTGGTGAACCGCAGGCCGGTTGACATGCCGATCAGTGATGAGATCGGGGAATAGTATGCCTCTGCGCCTGCAGAAAGAAGGGAAAATGGTGGCGGGACATCGTCGCGAGTGTATCTAGGATCGGGGCCGAAGTTCCAGAGTCCGCGCCAGCCGAATAGGGCGTTGTCCGTGCTGAAGAGGTATTCATTGCTGTACTTGCCCGTGTCGTGGGATAGCTGGGTGAGGACTGAGGCCTGTGGCGCGGATTTAGATTGTGGCGGTCCTTGGGTTGAGCAGACAGCTAGGGATAGTTGCATATTGGTAGAGATTCTGCGTAGAAAGAGCGCATATAGAGTGGAGGGAGGTGGAAGATGGAGAGAAGCATGGAGCAGAGTAGCTTTCCGCTTTGCTTCGCTTTCTCTGTTATTTTCTCCATCTTTAGGATTTGGTGGTTCTGAGCGATTTCCATCTTTGAGCCCCGGAATGCTCATGCCGTCTAATAGCGAGTCCCATCCCCAGGTCTGGATCGGGGCCGCGGGGGCCTGCACTTGGCGGTATCCCGGACATACTTTTCGAAGCGGGATTGACGCACTTCCACTCGGTAGGTTGTTGAATGGTACAGTACTAAATAGATATGACACAGATCCATCGAGCAATCCGACGGTGCCGAGTGTGTAACTGGTCGCAAAATGGGGAGTGGACAATGACGAAAGGTGAACGCGCAATCGCTCGGGGGTCGAAAAATCCAGGATCGCTGCACAGGATATGTTAGATCAACAATCTTACTATGCCATATAGAGGCTTTCCGGCATAAATTAATCACATACATTGAGCGGTGGTGTTGAGTGACGAGTACGAGTTGTCGCGATTCCAGTGAGTCGCCTCGGCGAAGGATAGCTGGATGTAGTCCATGAAGTCCAGCATTGTCTGGACTAAGCCCTTGCAGGCAACAGTATGACTAGCACTGTAAAATCAAACAAAGAACACTTGAAGCAAATACAATTGAAGTGAACTGACCCTGAGGGATCACAGCTGATTGCCCCATTCAGGTTAGCGTTGGATAAGCCCGGCGGTAGGTTAATCCGGTTATCAGCGAAGAAAAAATGTCTGTGGGGGAAACATCTAACCTTCTGTCTGAATTCATTGAACCACCAATTCTAAAATCATAATTCAACATGCCTCGTTCAAAGCGTGCGCGCGTCGTCCACGAGTCGAAGACTGCCAAGAAAGATCACAAGGAGCAGACCCGCCGACTATTCGCCAACATCCGGGAATGTATCGAGGAATATGATCACCTTTTTGTCTTTGCGGTCGATAACATGCGGAACACCTATTTGAAGGATGTGCGCACTGAATTCGCCGACAGCCGGTAAGCATAATTACTCCAACCGGAATTTGCATGAGATATTGAATCGGAAAAAGCGCTTGAATACCAGCGGTGGATCTGACATCAAATATTGATATATGCAAATCCTTCAACCAAGATCAATCGTCTAATAATGTCATTCTAGAGTTTTCTTCGGTAAGACCAAGGTCATGGGCAAGGCCCTTGGCACTGATGTCGAAAGCGAAGCCGCCCCCAACGTGCGCAAACTCACTCCTTTCCTCGCCGGCGCCGTCGGCTTGCTCTTCACCTCCCGCACTCCGGAATCAGTCATCGACTACTTCGAGAACTTCCGTCCCCAGGACTTCGCCCGCGCTGGAACCGAAGCCACCCGCTCTTTCACCATTCCCAACGGCCTGGTCACCGCTCGGGCCGGCGAGATCCCCGCTGATCAGGATGAGCCTGTCAGCCACACCATTGAGCCCGCGCTCCGCAAGCTCGGCGTCCCCACCCGTCTGGTGAAGGGCAAGGTCATGCTTGAGTTGACTGAGGGTCAGGAGGGTTACCCCGTATGCCAAGAGGGAGAGACTCTGGACTCGCGACAGACTACGTTGTTGAAGATGTTCGGTATTACCTCATCCGAGTTCAAGGTCGATCTCAAGGCCTACTGGACGCGGAGTACTGAGGAGGTCAAGATCCTCGAGACTGAGGGTGGAATGGATGTTGATGCATAGATGGGATCTTCATATTTTTCCGTTTTTTATTTCTTCTCTTTCCCATTCGGCTTCCGTGTGGCCGAAAAAAAGAACTCTGCTGGGCATCTTATGGAGTTTGGTGAGGGCGCTTTCTTTGCAAATATATTGAAGACTTGTGTGTTTTATCTCTCTTTCTCTCGTCCTTATATGGGGAGGCTTTGCCTCCTGCTGGATTATGAGCCTATGACAAGATTCGGATACCAGGTCGAAAAAAAGTCTACAAATTTACCTCGTTCTTGGATATTAATCAATCCGTAGTGCAGAACCGCTAGCTGTATTGCCTAGACCTTTATCTACCTAGCAAGATACCTGCCTTCAGTTATTTCACATGGTTCATGGTTCTTACCTGGTCGTACCCGATGGTTTACCAGATTCCATTTCGCGCGGAAGAGGACCGACTAAAATACAAATACCTACCCCTGTAGAGAAAACGGGATCTCATTAAGACGAAAGGGGAGAAAAGGGAAAAAGAAAAAGAAAAAGCATTGGAACAAAAGTGAAGAAAGAAAACACCAAGGGAAAGAAAAATAGATAGAACGGGGAATACAAGCACAATTCATGAGAGCCTCCATCTGCTGGGGAGTTTAGGTGGACCAGACAGGGAATGTAGAGAATCACCACTTTGATATCGAGTTCTGATGTTGATATCGTGGCATGAGGTGGAAAAGACATTGACGGTTGTGATCGTTATAGCGGACTGAATTGCACATGGGCCATTCATGATTTACCCCCTTACCCTTGAGAAAGAGTGATGAAAACTGGGTAGATCAGTGATACCCACCAGTAAAACCAGACTTCATAAGAAAGAGGTAAGACCTAGGGGGATAAGTGAAGGCCTAGTACCTTCTCCTGGAACGGGGATCATCGTGTCCAGGTTCATCCTCACGGTTTCGTTTGCGTCCATAATCCTCCCGGCCGCCATCACGACCATCGCGGCCACCATCACGGCCACCATCACGGCCGCCACCACCATACCTGTCACCACGTTCACGATCCCGGTCCCGGAATCGGTCTCCCATACCTCGGTCTCCCATGCGGTCACGATCACGGTCTCTGTAACGGTCGTCACGGTCATAGTCGCGGCGGTCACGGTCAGCATAGTTATCCCGAGGCCGCACAGGCTCCGAATTGCTGCCAGTTGCACCACGGTCGAATCTACCACCGGCGCCACCACCGCGGTCACCACGATCACCGCCGAAGCTACCACCTCTGAAACCTCCACTGCGTCCACCACCAGGGCCGGAGGGCGCGTTAGGGGGCGCCTGTCCACCGAAGCCGCCACGGTTGCCCTGGTATCCGATACCACCGCGAGGACCACCAAAGCGATCACCACCGCGGAAACCTCCACCACGGAAGCCACCACCGCCGCCTCTGCCACCGAAGCCTCCACGGAATCCGCCTCCATACCCACCCGGTCCAGATGGTGCGTTGAAAGGTCCACCGCGGGAGGGCGGCAAGGCCTTGGTGTATCCGCGCCCTCCGAGACCGCCACCAAAGCGACGGGGCTTCCACCCCTTGGTGGTGCGGCCACGCTCGACATCTACCACGGCTGGTCGTCCTTTGATTCTGAGGGTCTCTGTTTCTTTGTAGGCCGCTGATATTGGGGAAAGAACTAGTGTTAGCAATATTTCTTACCATAAAACAGAATGAACAAGGGGGATTAGTGCCAAGTAAATTGGCATGGTAGTGATACCTCTCATGTCCTTCTCGCGCTCGAACACGACGAATGCATAGCCTCGGTGGGGTTTCTTTTTCTTGTCTGAGACTGTGTCTTTGACAATGGTAATCTGTCACCGAAATGTTAGCGCTGATTATATCCACAAATAGTAAGACAGAATAAGACATACCCTTTCAATGGGGCCGAATCGGCCAAACTCTCGTTCCAGGTCGGCCTCTTTGGCTTCATAACTGAGACGTCCAACAAAGAGAGTCCTGAATGGATCACCTCGAGCTTGGGGATCCTTGTCCGGATTGTCTATAAGAAATAGCTCGGTTAGCCTCTTGAAATGCAAAAATAAACGTGAGAAGAAGGTTAAGCGTACATTTTTGCAGTCCCTCTGCTATCTGCTTCTCTAACTGCTCTTTCTTCTCAGTTTTCTCACGCAATTTGCGCTGCACCCAGCTTTCAGTTGCATTGTATGGAACTTCATCCGCAAAAGCTTTAGCATCGGCAAGGAACTGGGCAACTCCAGAGATAGTGCTCTTTTGGCAGTCATCTGGTGCGCGATCGCTTGGAGGCAGATATCGAAGGGGTGGGCGGGGCTGAAATAGCGCCAGAAGTGGCGGGGGTAGTTTATCCGTCATACTGAGTTGTGCACCCAATGGAGACAGAATCAGGAGGTAAAGTAAAGATAATGTGTGGAAGGTGAGCAAACCTTCAGGAGTGAGAGCTTCGCGTCGCAATTCTGGTCTTAGCGTCGAATTGGGGGAAGTCGCTGCACACGCCATTGGTGCACATGACTCACCGCCCTGGCCAATCACGTGTACCAGAAAATGTCCGGGAGAGCCATCCCGACTCGTAAACTACGACAATAACTATTAACGACTAGAACGATGCCTTTGCGCGGAATTAGAACGTCTACGGCGGCCAGAGTAGGTGAAATCCAAATACTTGATATTCAATTGCCGAACTGACCCAGGTGATCTGCTTAGAACGGCGCTGGTGCCTTCATCCTACAATGCAAACGCCTTGACTTCCATTACTGCAACTGGGCGGGCAGCTCAAAGGGCATGGTGTAGGTGTATCTTTAATGGTGCAAACTGCCTTTCCAGGAACATCCGTACTAACATTGAATGTCCCAGTGCTTTCTTGGAGAAAACCCTCCCCGCCTTCGCCCGTGAAAACCCCCAGATTGAGATCCGTGTCTCCCCCCGACCCCAGAAGCACCCTCTCATTAAGGGCCTCTACATCAATGGCCGCGAAAAGCCTGTATGTGTACGGAACTTGGAACCCAACGAAATCCTGAAGAAGGCAAACCTCCTCAAGGAAGCCAGTGGAGAGAAGTTGAAGCGGGTCAAGAAGCCGGTTACAAGTTTGAATGAGAGTGTGCGTGGTATCTGGTCACCATACCACGGTGATCTTCGAGGTGTCTAGATGGATGGGTTTTAATTTTTTTAACGGTTCTTGTTCTCTTTGCGGTGGTGATTATCAGGTATCCCCACCGTAACCTACTGTACTATTGACCTGGGTTCTGTTTTATTTCTTCATTCTTGTCTATTTGCTACCTGGAAGCCAATGGTGTTTTGAGACCCATATTTTATGCATACCAAGCTCGAGCCTACATCAATTTGAAGACGACAAGTGTGCAATGATCAACTTGTGATCAAGATTAACCACCTATATTCATATTCAAGTGTGTCACTTTGATTTTATATTGTGATTGGAGATATAATTTCTGGATGTTACAGGACTTGCCTCTGCATAACTATGTACAAATATGTATTTGCAATGTAGATCTCTGGACTAAAGTTCCTCTATAATTTCTTGGCTTTATCTATTTTGGTGCTCAGCCCTCACTGCTTTTTGCTCTCCATGTAAAACAGCCATGTGTCAGTCAGAATGGGTCATTCATTCATTCATTCATTCATTTCATGTCTGTGCGACTTGTATAAAGTTATAGGGGCTAGCGGGCTGGGTATTTGCGTATTTTATCAAGTGCACTTCTATACTCCCGATAACTATCAATACCTGCCTGGTATTAGTCTACTACGGGCCCTACTATCGTTTAATATATATGTAGTTATAAGCCCTTATCTATCTCTCCCTTAAGTATCATTCAAAATCGGTAGCATGGTGGGTGATTGAACTAACTAAGATCTAATTCCTAGACGCGTTTTGGGTAGCTCGCTGGTGAAATACGTTAACGTGGAGGCTATGCCGCGTGCTTGTAAAGATAATAGTTCTATTCACTGAGATTACCATGCACCTAGATCACAAGATCCTCTGGAATACAGTATCATCACACTTTGCCTTTGTGAAGGACAACCCATGCATTCGCAAAAACGATCTTATCATCCATGATCGCTTAGCCGATCGTCAATCCGCCGAGTCCGACCATTTCACGCGGACTCTTATTTCTACTATCGAGGAGTTCTCAACCGTAGAGCGAGCTAAATGCCTATATCCTAGCACCCTACCAATATCCGGCCAAATGTATAACCCATCTATTCTACCTACCATCGAAGAGGAATACTAGCTTAGACCACATAAGACCAACTCCGCGTTATCAAACCTACTATATAAGGAGTTCTAGGATATCGACTACTAGATCAACTAAGCCCCTTATAATACCTCTACTACGTATCTAACTGATGTAGTAAAAATGCTTATTGTCTCGAGTAAGATACTCGCTCTATTACGTCTTACAAACCATAAGAAAGTCCTAGTAGACATCGAATCTATAAGCTAGGGTCATAGCTTTAGCGTATATTGCGGACCTAGCTCTAGAAATTTATTTACTGCTAAATATCGCTGGTTTAGTTAAAGCTAATGCGAAACTAGGATCTACGAATCATATAGGGTATCTAACGGAGACGTGGCCGTTTAAAAGGTTTATTAGTTGGGGATTAGTGACTTTGAGCTCAGAATATACCACAACGGCGCTTTTGGAACGCTAAGGGCATTCATTTCTGATTGTTTTGAGACCCCATTGTGGGACCCATTGAGCCTTAAAAGTGGCGATGATGAGAGGAAGGACATAAAGGAGTATCTGAAGATGTGATTTAAGCGATTGTATCCATATGACCTTTTGATGAGAGAGATTAAGGGGGAGGGTGGATCCTGAGTGGAAGGACAAGATCCCAGGGATACTGCGTCTGTATTCGCGAGACGGGGCTCTGCTTCATTTGCCCGCTATTGTCACCTTGTGCGCATTGGATCTGAATATGCGAGTAATTTAGGAAGAAATAGCAAAAGGGTGGCATAACACCGTCCGTCATTATCAAACTGCCCATATTTATCTGGATGAGTCTACCGAGAAATTGAGCGCGGAGCTTCTCCTTGAGCGGCTGAAAGGTCGGACTCTCATCTCAATTGCCCATCAAATCAATACTGTGATGGACTCAGATTCGATCATGGTCTATGACCATGATCCTGTATCTGAAATGGAGCACTATGAGAACTCTTGGGTAGAAGAGAGAAGGGTGTCTGGATTGAAGTCAACAAAGACCCAAATTATAGGCTCAACTGCAGTTACTAATTGTGAAATAATATTAAGAACAAAGGGGGTATCACTGTCAATGCCTAAGTTATGAAATGAAATTACCTTCACCTCATATTGTTCTGTTGGACAAATAATGCAAATTCATAGAATGGATGAAGAGTGGGAAGTAGGCGCCTACCTTCTGTCTGATAAAACGAGGGGAGGGTGAGTGAAACTTGTTATCTAGGACTAAACACCGAAAGCGAACTTGTTTGATCTAGCTGTGATCCTAGGCTAAGTTGTCTATGATTTTGCGTACTGATGTGTCCCCTGGGGATTCTTCAACTGATTCATTCCAATTTAGGATACACACATGATCTAATGAAATGTCTTTGAATACGAACTTCCTTATATAATCTTCCACCGCCCAATTCATGCAATGGAATCATGACGGATCGATCATACACCTACCTACCTAGGTAGGTATGTATGCAGGTTGATCTAACCATGGCCCACAATAAGCCCCACACCGGGCCGGCCCGCACAACTCTGTATTGTGGGCGTCCTATATTGTACACTCTGTGAACGACGCTCACATTGAACAAGCATATGAAATAAGAAGCATGAAATATTCTTTGGTCCTTGCTAACCCACATCACCCATAGGATAATATCTGTGCCTTAGGAAGCTTAGTTCTGACAGCTCTCACAGATGCAATGTTACCAGATCTAGCAGATAGGTAGTAGGTGTAAGACGGTTGAAACACTGGTGTTTATCGGTTTCACACTCTCTAGGGCTCCTTACTAATTATGGGGTTAGCTAGGTATCGATGGACATAAACCTAATAGCTGACACCACCATCACCTACAGGATAGGTAGCAACGTGCGGTGTCACTGCCATACTGCCTTAGCCAATTTTAAATGCCAACAGTGTTTCTACATAGTCGTGATGGTCCCACAGACCCTGCCAAGCAGTTCTAGTCCTTCTAGACAAAGACTGATGAAGGGATTAACCCTATGTTAATCGAGTGTCTGCCATAACTACACGTACATGACTAAATCAACAAAATAACAAATGACCATTTTTTACACTCTTGTCTATGTCTATTGTGTGAGGCTCACGAGTCACAGAAGGTACCTTAGCGTGCTTGCCGTTTTACGACAGCTAGGGCAAATACGTATGTACGTCATATATTCAAAGGACCTGCGGGCCTTCTGGTCGGGCTGGGAAGGAGCGACAGGGGCCGGGATTTTCGTTAAGCCCGGCTTGACATACATCCGTGATCTACCCTTTGACGCGTATCACTTGGTCTAGCTTTTCACTTATCTCAATCTCTCACCCCTCCTCATATTACAAGAAAGCCAAACGACCGGCATCATGTCTCAAGGTCCGAGGACCTTTCAGCGACTGGAGAAGGTTAGTACCTTCACTGATTTCATATACATATCATTAGATGGTGACCGTGAGAACGGAGAAAGCACCCCAATAATGTATTATGAGAAGTTTGACTTGACCCCGCTAACTTGGCCCCAGCTAGGTGAAGGCGCCTATGCAACAGTGGGTATCCCCTCATCAGCTTGATACCTGGGAAAATCCTCGGTCTCTATGTAAGAATATTCGTTCATGGTGATATTATTAGGTCTTCAAAGGTCGGAACAACCAGACCAATGAGTTGGTGGCCCTGAAGGAGATCCACCTCGACCCCGAAGAAGGGACCCCGTCCACTGCGATCCGTGAGATCTCCCTGATGAAGGAGCTCAATCACGAGAACATTCTGGCTCTGCATGATGTGCTCTACACGGGTGACAAGCTCGTAATAGTGGCGGAGTACATGGAAAAGGACCTAAGACGCTTTATGGACGACCAGGGTGGTGCTCTTGACCTCCCAACTGTCAAGTTCTTTACAAGCGAAATGCTGCGAGGCATAGCCTACTGTCACGAAAAAAGCGTCCTGCACCGGGATCTTAAGCCCCAGAATCTGCTTATTGGTCGGGATGGACGTTTGAAGTTGGCAGATTTCGGCCTCGCTCGCACCTTTAACCTTCCCGCCGGCACTTTCGCGAACGATGTGGTCACCCTCTGGTATCGACCTCCGGATGTGCTATTGGGGAGCTGCTCTTACACCACCTGCCTCGATATCTGGTCGGCGGGCTGCATCATCGCCGAGATGTACACCGGTGACCCTTTGTTTCTGGGCAACAACGATAACGACCAGGTGCTCAAGATCTTTCAAGTGATGGGTACACCGACCGAACATACTTGGCCAGGTGTCAGTCAGTTGCCACAATTCAACCCCTATTTCCCTATGTACTCGCCCCAAGATCTGGGACAGCTGATGTTCGGTATGGGGTATTTCGGGACCAATCTTCTAGAGCGCATGCTTCAATTGCGACCAGAGCTACGAATTAGTGCCGTCGATGCGCTACGCCATCCATGGTTCCAGGATTTCTTTTCTCCGGCAGCCCCATCAGGCCAATACACACACCGCGTGTATAGACTTGTCTAGATTTCCATACTTATTCGCCCCCGGAGAATATGGTGGAATTATCGCAAACAGCGAGGGCATTGCTGTACCAGAGGCCGTTGCCAGGATATCAGAGGGAACTAACAGGGAAAATACAAATTTCCAGAATTGTACTTAGGACAGACCACTCGAGTGGTGAAATGGAAACTTTGCATGAGTGAAGGCTATGTATTATTTCTCTGCTTGATAGTTAGTCGAGAGGTTAGTAGCCGACATTTCCCAAGAGCCTGGCCTAATGCAATCTTCATACGATAGTTGCATTCATGCTACTCAAGAAAAGTGTCTTTTATATGTATAGTTCTTAGATCATGGCATTGAGGACATATGGCTTGGCTGATATCCTGAAAATGGAGACCCACAGTCGACCTTCAATCCTTAGCAACAGCAACGATATTTACCAGCTAGTCCGGGAGTATGAGAGCCCCGAGAGTCATTGACATTGGCACCGACATAAAGCAGCTTCTGGGCTATGCCGATACAGGAGAGTCCTAGACTGCGGTAAGCCGTGGTGATGTGCCCCGTTGTACAGCACATAGGTGGTGGATTCGAGCATATCTTGATGAGACTAACCATCAATATCCTCGGCATAGAGTATCATCTTATCGCTAGATTCTTGATAGATGGATCATGTGTAGATGATTTTCACACTTACTTTCATACTAGAAAATCGGTTACCCTCTAACATGGAACCATAACAACCTCTTGATAGGGATTTCACGTAGTCGTTTACTTCGCTAGTAGTAAAGGGTGTTGCCAACTGACATCGCTTTGACCTCCCCCTAACTCTAGGAGCGCTGAATTTAGGTCACGGACTGACCACGTGATGACACTGAGCCTGCTCTCGTAAAAGCGGCGGCAGCTGAAATAGGAAATAGGAAAGCCCTAGTGGGGAAAATTCACCATGTACAAAATCATGGATGTGCCTACAAATAGATATCCATTGAGCAATGTATTTCATAATACTCTGCGCAAGATGATTGATTGATGGGCTACCAAACAAACTCCCAAGGTCATAACGCCATGTATAAATCAAGAAAGCTCTGAATGAATCGTAATTGGATTGGATATAAATTGTTAAATAACGCCTGCCAGTTCAATGCATCCTGGGTATCGACGGAACGAGAAAAGAAAAGAGCCATAACACCAGAATGCAAACGAGTGCCCGCAAAATCAATGCCTAGGGTGAATCACAGATAAAGGTGGTACATGGCTGTTGGGCTGCTTACGGGTTTATTACAACCTGCAACCTGGCACTTTGAGAAAGGCCTGGTCTTTGAAGTTGCCTTTTTGGACTTTGAGATGGACCGATTCCCAGCGCATTCGCCGCAATAGACCTGAGAAGATTGTGAGTTTTTGTAATAGACTTCATCGGCTGAATATAGGCACTACTCACATGGCCACATGGTTTTGCAATATGTATCTGTTGTTTCAGCCCCTCTCCAGTTCCCAATTCGTCCTGGCAGTTCGGGCAGACAGGCACGTCATCTTCTGCCAAAAGTCGAGTGAATCCTTCCGGCGCTGGGTCTAGCCCTTTATACGATGATCGACGAGGCCGGGGCGTTGGCTGACTAGGTGGATTATAGTCAAAGCTAGGTACTGAATAGCGAAGCGTATCAGACATGAACGAAAGTAGGTCCTCCTCGGTATGGAAGTACGACCTTGCGGGCGCCGGCACCCCTCCTCTCGATCGTCCATGTTCTGATCTTCTTGACGGCTGTATGTGAGGGCGAAAGTACATTGGAATACCATTGTTGTCCAGGTATCTTGGTTCTATTGGTCTTGGCCTGACGGAGGAAGAGCCAATAATCTGAACATCTCCATTGTTCGGCGAAACGTCTACCGAATCACCTGTTGTCTCCGCTTCCAGGTCAATCACAGTTGGGTGATCAGCCACAGGGGGCGTTTGGTTCATCAAATCTCGTGGAAACCGTAACCTTGGACGGTGCGGATGTGGAGTATGTAGAGGACCGGGAAATGATGTCACATTTCGTTGAGGAAGGGTGTCTGGGTCATCTGTCAAGTCGATCACGTCGTTATCTCCAGGCGAAAGCATCACCGGCCGTCTGTAGTCGAATCCATCTCGATGTCCTGTGGGTGGCAAGCGGGTGGATTCAGATCGAGAGTTGGAGCGGCGGGGGGTGAAAATGCTGCTCCCAAGCGGCATCGCCGCTTCTATCGTTATCTGTCGCCATTTCACGATGTGTTCGCTGAGAGAAATAGGAATGTCGTTAGCTGAGTTCTTGGTGATCTGATCAGGTGCCCCGCCCGTTTCACGACCGATGAAGGCTTACCTTGGTCCTGGCGCCCATAAACTGGACGCCAGAGTTTTCACTCATTTCAGGGCCTATAACTGGAGGCGAGGAATGATATTTTGCAGAAAAAGAGGTAATTGAAGGCCACCAGGGAGGTAAAATGGCAAGATTGGGAGCCATCTTTGTTTCTAGGCCGAGTCGAAAGGCGGTCGCGTTCTGTCAGTGTTATAAGGCGGTATGGACTCATTAGTAAGGTTTGCCTCAAGTATGGCAAAATTCCAAAATCGGCAAGAGCCAAGTGGCTCTAGAAGCAGGTATTTAACTCATTTCTGTAGAGATTTGTCGCTGTCCATTATGAGTATTTCACACAAATTTGCCAGTAAGATTGGATTCACGACTAAGTTTACATGTGAATGCGTTGTGTGTGATTATGGTTGCATTGAGAGCTGCAGTTCCAAAACAAACACCATTGAGAATTCAGAAGATAGCATGTTCTAGTATTACAGTATTTTCCTGAGAATCATGACTGTGCCGCCAGCACTGTGACCACACCCGCCTCATTCAATGCCACAATGCTCTGAGCAGCTGATCCCCAAGCAACTGATGTAGCAGGGACTGCAATCCGCAGAGGCTCTGACCACCCCTTGGATGCCTTGGAGAATTGCTGGACAGTCACTCCACTGGGGCCACCAGTCAAGAGGAATTGACCAGTGTAATCCCAGAAGATCGATTCAACCTGGCTTCCTGTGTCCAGTACCTTGGTTTCCTTGGAGCTACGAAGATCCCAGATCGATACAGTGGTGGACTGTGCGGCAACCGCAGCAAGGTAAGTGCCGTTCTCGGAGAAGAAGAGGCATTTGACTGGGCCAGACATGGCATAGTCCGCAGCAGCGGCACCCGTCTTGACATCGAAGATCTTAACATGTCCGTCTGCGCCACCGGCCGCGATCAAGTGACCATCGGGGTGGAAGCTAACAGAGAGCAGGGCTGGAATAAAAGTGATTAGCGTCATGCTTGGGTATATGTGTTTCATAGGGTGACTGCTTACCTGCATCAGAGAAAATCTGGGAAACCACAGTGTTTGTGGCGAGATCATAAAGCACGTAACTCTTATCAACACCAACTGAAGCAACAATATCGCCAGTGGCGTGAACTGTGACGGCTGTCACCTCACCGGCGTGGGAGGCGAAGCTTGCAACTTCAGCACCATTCTCAAAGACCTTGACAGAGCCCGTAGAGGAGCCAACAACAGCTTTGTCTCCTGCCCATGTCGCATCGGTGACTGGGCCATCTGTCTTGAGAGTCTGCACGACAGTCTTCTGGGAGAACGAGTAAACACCAACCACACCGTCAACACCACCAACAAGAGCCAGGTCACCAGTTGTGTTGATAGACAAAGCGCGGCCACCGGGGTAGAGAGGTTCGGAGGTCTCAGTTTGTTTAAATGTGGAAATAGCCTCACTTGAGGCCCAGCCCTCAGGGACTGCGCGCTTACGCCGGGTCTTTTGTAGTCTGTCCAATAGTTAGTTATCGACCGAAAGATGTCATACAGAAGCACCAGTTTCACGTACGCTGCCTGTGTGTTCTCAATCCGTTCCAACACTGCCTGGGGCAAACCCGTGGAGTCCACCTGCATAGCCTCGCCTCCCGCGCGAGTGGCTCCAACAGAAATGTTTGAAAGCGCCTCACGGGCCTCATCCCTCTCCTGCGTCAGGCGCGCGATCACCCGCACCGCGGCATCGTGCTGATAGAGCGCCGAACTGAGCTCGCGTCTTGTCTGTGCCAGATTTTGCTGCAAAGTGAAGGTTTCCAGAGCCAAGGCATCCCACTCTTCTTGGAAAATGCCGAGAAGGGACGGGATAGATGTGAGGGTTGGGGGTCGGGGTCGGACAACGCGCTGCGACTTGAGATCGATCAGATCGTCGGTGGTAAGCTCCTCGCCGTTCACGGGATCCTTGCCATGCTCAGCAATGTATGCCTCAATAAGGCGTTTTTCAAATACGCTGCCTGTTTAATTATGAGATTGATGTCGTGCGCGCAATGTTTGAAGACTTACCGCTCTTGGTAGAGACGACGGGCACTTGAGGTGCTTCTCCGGAGACTGTGAGAGAAAAGTTTCGTTAGTAAACTCATTTCAAAGAAGAGCACAAAATTGCGATTAATAGTAGGGCACTCACTAGCACAAAGCATAGTTAATTGAGATTGGTTGATGAGGGTTGATGGAGATGTCTTGACGCCTGGAGCGGGCTCCTTGGACTTTTCGATGTGCCCTATTGCGGTTTAGCTCCATGAGCTGAGGGCGGTGTAGTAGGGCGGAGTATTGCGACCAGCAGTGACGTAAGTCCGGCGCTAATTGTCCGGCAGAAATATAAAACTATAATACGAGGGGCATAAAAGGGCGGAGAAAAGGGCGGTGGGAATAATGAGCCAATCATATTCAGAACCTCAATGGTCGCAATATTTCGCTGTCCTGGCTAGCAGCTGTCGACTTTCGCCAATTCTCCAATTCTTGCTTTTGCACGTAAGAGATAATCTGTCTATATGTTTTGATTGAACAAAATGGATTTTTCTCAATGATCTACAACATAGGCACAGGGCAGCACAAGCACAAAGCTTTACATGAAAGCTAGCAAGCAAACACAGCATTACCACCATGCCTAAGAACCCAAAGCTTGAATATGGTATGTCACTTCACACCTGTCTAACATGTCTGATGTTGTTTCTGATATGTTATACAGATGCAAAGCAGCCCGCATTTCTCCAGAAACTCCGGGGCCAGCATGGAGACAACACCGGTCGCCTGGAGCGGCCTGCCTTAAGACCGACCAGACTCAAGGTCAATAAGGATGACGACGACGATGAGCCTACCTACATTGACGAAGAAAGTAACGAAGTGATCTCCAAGGAGGAATACAAGGTACTGGCTGGTGAAAACAGACCGAAAGGAGAGGACGAGGCCGGAGACTCAGCGAAGGACAACTCCACTGGCGATCAAGACAAATCCCAAGCAGTGCTTTCCACCAGCAAACAGAACAATCTTACCGAAGTTGGGGGCCAGCGGAAACGAAAACAGGCCAAAGTGGTGGGTGAGGACAAGGCCGAAGTTGAAGAAGTCCAGCCGAAGGCAACTTCGAAAAAGTCCAAGAAGTCCAAGAAGATCAAGCTCTCGTTCGACGAGGAATAATAGTCTAGCAGGTCTGAGAATTGAAGTATTCACGTCATGTTCCAGTTCGTGGACATTTGACTCAGTGCAATCCTTTGAGGACTCATAATGAGTCAATAGAACAGTATACCGTCGTAAAGATTAGAGACTGCCAATGTTGATGCCGTCATATAGAAGAATAGATAGATAGTAATGTCGGTATTCAGTCTATAAGATATAAATTCACCCAGCTGAAAAAGTCCGAGTGAAATAATAATTGAAGTTAGTTGTTGAAGGTCTGGGCCAAGGGCGCGCATCTTTATCAGCAACTTTTTTTTTTGCAACATTTTTTTTTCCTTCGGGATCCAGTTCGCCTTTCATTCATTTTACAAACAACCTGCTCTTGGTCTTAGTATCAGTCAAGATGCCTGTTGTTAATGTCGACCAGCTGGTCCGCTTACAGCGGAAGCCCGAAGACATAAGAAATGTGCGTGTGCCCCTCCATCCCACCCTGCTGTCTGATGTCAGGGCTTTATACTAATCTCAAGCCACCAGATCTGCATTTTAGCCCACGTTGTAAGTCTAAAAAATTCATATTGAATTTTCTTCATTTTGAAATACTCATCGCCTTTTTTTTTTTTTTTTGCTTTTTTAGGATCACGGCAAGACATCTTTGACGGATAGTCTTATTGCCACAAATGGTATCATTTCACCCAAGCTGGCCGGTAAGATCCGCTACCTGGACTCTCGTCCAGATGAACAGCTTCGGGGTATTACAATGGAATCTTCCGCTATCTCATTGTTCTTCTCAATGCTCCGCCGTCCAAACCCGGATGCAGACCCAGTGCAGAAGGAATATCTGATCAACCTTATCGATTCGCCTGGTCATATCGATTTCAGCAGCGAGGTCTCAACCGCATCTCGTCTTTGTGATGGTGCAGTTGTGCTTGTTGACGCAGTCGAGGGTGTCTGTAGTCAGACCGTGACAGTCCTGCGACAGACTTGGGTCGAGCAGTTGAAGCCGATCTTAGTTATTAACAAGATGGACCGCTTGGTAACAGAGCTGAAGATGAGCCCCGCCGAGGCTTTCTCCCATCTTAGTCGACTGTTGGAACAGGTCAATGCTGTCATCGGTAGTTTCTACCAGGGTGAACGCATGGAAGAAGATTTGCAGTGGCGTGAGCGTATGGAAGACCGTATCAACGCTGCAGCAACTCGGGGCCAAGAAAACAAAAAGTTGTCGGTAGACGATGAATCCGCACAAAGCATTACTGAGGGAACTGAATTTGAGGAGCGCGACGATGAGGATCTTTATTTCGCACCTGAGAAAAATAACGTCATCTTCTGCAGTGCCGTCGATGGATGGGCTTTCACAATCCGGCAATTCGCCGCCATTTACGAGAAGAAACTCGGAATCAAACGAACAGTTCTGGAGAAAGTGCTTTGGGGTGATTATTATCTAGATCCTAAAACTAAGCGCGTCTTGGGCGTGAAGCATCTGAAGGGACGTGCTTTGAAACCTATGTTCGTTCAATTGGTATTGGATAGCATTTGGGCAGCTTATCAAGCTACCACAGGTGGTGACAAGGGCAAAGGGTAAGTCGGCAACCCATGGAACTATTGTGTTAACACTGGTATTGACCTTTACTAGTGACCCGGTGTTGTTGGAGAAGATCACCAAATCGCTCAACATTAATATCCCGGTATATATCTTGCGCGGACGTGATCCTAGGAACATTATGAATACACTGTTCTCTCAATGGCTACCACTATCTACTGCGCTACTGGTTTCCGTCATTGAATATCTCCCCAGTCCTCCCGCTGCGCAGGCCGCCCGACTACCGGAAATGATCAAAACATCACCCGGCGCTGCTTTCATTGCCGACGATATCAAGACTGCCATGGTGGATTTCAAGACAGGACCTGAAGTGCCTGTCGTGGCATACGTCAGCAAGATGGTTGCCATCCCAGAGAGCGAGCTTCTGTCTAACAGGAAGCGTAGCGGAGGCGCCATGACTGCGGCCGAAGCCATTGAACTTGGACGCCGCAAGCGGGAGGAGATTGCAAAGATGCAGGCAGAAGCCCGCAGTAATGGACAGGGAGATGACATTGAGCGCATGACCTCAGTTTTCGAAACCACCTCATTGATCACCGAGACGACCGAGGAGCCAGAAGAGCCAGTGGAGACAGTGGAGAAGGACGATCCCGACCATCTTATTGGTTTCGCCCGACTCTATTCCGGGACCCTTTCGGTTGGAGATGAGATCTATGTCCTCCCACCCAAGTTCTCTCCAGCCCACGCGCACGCCAGCCCGGAGCCAAAGAAGGTCATAGTCACAGATCTGTACCTGATGATGGGCAGAGCTCTCGAGCCCCTCGAGTCCGTACCAGCTGGTGTGGTATTTGGAATTGGAGGCCTTGCAGGCCACGTTTTGAAGACAGGTACCCTCTGCAGCCGACTGGATGGAAGTATCAACCTGGCTGGTGTTTCGTTGAGCATGCCGCCTATCGTCCGAGTCGCGCTGGAACCAACCAACCCAGCAGACCTGAGCAAACTGGTCACTGGCTTGCGCTTGCTTGAGCAGAGTGATCCTTGTGCGCAGTACGAAGTGCTGCCCAGTGGTGAACACGTTATCCTCACAGCAGGTGAACTGCACTTGGAGCGTTGTGTGACGGATCTACGGGAGCGTTTCGCACGTTGCGATATCCAGACTGGCGAGGCTATCGTTCCCTACCGTGAAACCATTGTTCATGGCCCCGAGATGGCCGCACCCAAGAATCCGGACCTTGGGCGTGGAGCCATTGTGACGGTTTCTGCGTCCAAGCAAATGACCCTGCGTCTGCGCGTGGTTCCGATGCCAGAGGCCGTGACCGAATTCCTGACTAAACAAGTCGGAACTATCAAGCAGGTCCAATTGGAGAAGCGAACGGAGGCTGAAGGCAAGACCGAGATTGAGAAGGAAGCCGAAGCTGCTGTTGACGGTACCGGCGAGGCACCTGAAGGCCACATTCTCTCCAAGCAGGAGTTCCGCGAAGGACTAGATAAGTTGTTCAACGAGTTGATCAAGGAAGACAAGGAACTATGGAAGGACGTCGTCAACAGAATCACCGCTTTCGGGCCCCGGAGAGTCGGCCCCAACATTCTAATTGACGCAACTGCAGTCAACACCTGCGAGAAATTGTGAGTATAGCGTTCCAAACATCGCTGTGCCTATCGTTCATATCTAACATATCCTTTCTAGTTTGGTTGATGACACCAAGCAACAAATCGACGGTGATAACCACCAAGCACTACTCGTGCGTGACTTCAACGACAAGATCGCATATGCCTTCCAGCTCGCAACGGGCCAAGGCCCCTGTGCCAGGAGCCCATGCAAGGCGTGGCCGTATTCTTGGAGGACCTATCTGTGCAGTCTAGCGCAGGCGATGAGCTTGACATGGGCCGGTTGACAGGCGAATCAATCAGACTGGTCCGAGAAGGTATCTCAGCCGGATTCCTGGACTGGAGCCCTCGGATAATGCTCGCAATGTACAGTTGCGAGATCCAAGCTACCAGTAAGTATTCCTTTCCTTTCCCTTCTCTTCCTACTACGTAGTATACCTTCACATCAAGCCATCCACCATCCACCATCCACAAACAACAAACAACAAACAACAAACAACAAACCCACAACTAACACACCATCTTAACTTCAAAAGCCGAAGTCCTAGGCCGTGTCTACGCAGTAATCACCCGCCGCCGAGGCCGCATTCTCTCCGAAATCATGAAAGAAGGCACGCCATTCTTCACGATTCTTGCTCTCCTCCCCGTAGCCGAGTCCTTCGGATTCGCCGAGGAGATCCGCAAGCGGACATCCGGTGCCGCACAACCACAACTGATCTTCGCGGGCTTCGAGGCTCTCGACGAGGATCCGTTCTGGGTGCCTGCTACCGAGGAAGAACTTGAGGATCTGGGTGAGCTTGCCGATAAGCAGAATGTTGCTAAGCGGTATATGGATGCTGTGCGCGGTCGTAAGGGGTTGGTTGTTCAGGGACGGAAGTTGGTTGATGCGGAGAAGCAGAAGACTTTGAAGAAGTAAGGTCGGTGTACAATTTACTCTAGGAGAGTTCAAAATGGGAGATCTATTTGCATTTCATTTTGGGTTGGTTTTTGTAGGATTATTATGGATATGTAGGATAGATGGGTTGAGAATGTCACTCCGAAAACATCTGTCGAGTCGCACTGAGTAGAACTTGGACACGACGGATGAATAATTGGAGGTTCACAGAAGATGAGAGTCCTCCGCGTGTTCTTCAAAGAAAAACTTCAATCTCCCTCACTTGACAAACACAGTCCGACATGGCATAGGTCTCGACCGTGTATACTAAGGAGGGTTACCCAGTAGGGTCTACGAGTAGTGGCGACGAGGCCTCTCTACTTAGAAACAAGAGCGAGGGGGAAAGCGACCACAGGATGGTAGACTGTAGTCGAGGATCGAAGGAAAAGGTCGGAAATGACATGGATTTTTCAATCATGTCTCCGTTGGGTATCTTTATTCTGAAATCGTTATCCATGTCAATAATACACATGTCCAGGAATACAAATTGGCGTAATTGGATCGAGTCAAACGGCGGGCGTTTGCCATATTCGTGAAACATGAAAGTAAACATGAAAGTCGTCATGCTCAAGCGGGTTGCTGCTGCTTGAGAGCATGGAACAAGTTTGGGGGCTTGGAAGACATTCCTCGCAGTGAGGGTTGGGGAGTGTGGTTTTGTTGACACCCATGAATCCCGGAGGTTGAAAGACAATGCTCTCAGGGGATGAGCAGATCTGCCACGGACATGTGGACGGGGGCAGAGTCTGTTTGGTTGTTGCTTGTTGGACCACTATGTGGTCAGGTAACAGTAGAGGTAAGCCATTGGCCATTCAAAGAGAAAGCCAGAAGCCACGCAAGGAGGGGGGCCGAGTTCAAACAATTACATGTTCTCAGAACGGCCTAGCGACCTTTCTCTGCTCACTAGTTCCAGTGACAGGATCTCTCATTTCCTTCCAGTTAACAGGGAACATCATGTTGCCAGCCTCACTGCGAGCCAGGACAACACCGAGATCATTGCGCGCGGTAGTGAGGTAGTAAAAGCTCTGATCGCCAAGCGAGATAACAGAGCCACGAACGATATCGCCGACACGGAACATCTCATCCATGGCGACACGGTCCTTCTCAACAGCGCGTACGTCTTCCTTTCGGATAAGTGCCTGGAAGCGCAGCTCGTCGCTGCTGCTGTGGTTCTCTGGGTTGGCGGCAGATGTGAGGATAGAGGCGACATTGTCATTGTCGGAGGCTGTTGATTGGTCTTGAGATTGTGATGCCGATTCGTCTAGAACGACGAGGATGGAGACTGTGGCTTGTCGCTTCTGCACACGGGTCACTCGTGCGAGAACGATAGAGTCTACCGCGGGGAGGGTGTTGTAGCGGGGCTTCGACGTCGTTGACGATGCAACGGGAACAGCTGGGTTTGAACCTGCTTGGTCCTTGGAGGATATCACTCGTGACACTCTGAGAGTTGGTCTTGTTTGTGACTTCGGCTGTGCAGGGTCTGCAACCACGGGACCGGCGATGGAGGCGTAGATGAAGGATTGCTGGACGTGTGTGCCGGGGCCTGCAGAATATGTAGATAGAGGGCCGAGGCGTTGCCCGGGAATAGCGATGGGTGGTAGAGAAGCCATGTTGCAAAATTGGGGGGTTGGGCCAATTTTGAGGTGGAAGAGTTCTGGAGTTTGTAAAGGCAGCGAGTTTTCCGGAGCTTTTTTTTAGGGAGCTATAATACGGCTCGGGTTTATGTTATTCCGATTACAGCTTATATCCACACTACTCAGTCCTGGACTACAACATAACTACAGATGTACAACTTAGAACATAATTCGTTTACAACTTGCCAATAGTTTGAAGAAGCCATCTGTCTCCAGGCAATTAAGTATAGAGCCCATATCTAGCATGAATAAACAGTGTATGTGTTGGAACAACAGAGACAGCGACACCGGCCCAGAAATACCATGGACATATAACAACAACAGAGATAATAAAAAAAAAAGAAAAGAAAAGAAAAACCCGTATCACTCCAAATGCCCGCTGACGAAAGTGAATAAGTGGATTTAGTGTCCATACAATACCCCTTGGTAGGGGAAAGAAAGAGAGTCACACAGAAAGGCTGACATGACACAGTACCGAAAAATAAAACATTGGGATAATCAGACCGAAACAGAGGGTTTAAGCTTCAACCAGGGTCTGCTTAGGACCGGCTCCAACCAGCTCAAGGCAGCGACGGGCAAGCGTAATGACTTCACCCTCACCGTCATCCGCATCTTCTTCATCCGACTCAATATTCTTGTCGGAGATAATCTTGACCAATTGCACGATGTCTTCGGATCGAGAGATATATCCAATGAGTTTCTTGTCTTCGGACTCCAGTAGTTGGAGGAGGGTCCAGATAGCAATGTGCTGGAATGTTGGGTCCCCACTGGCAAGGAAGCGATGAAGGTAGCCATGGATGCCACCATTGGCGTCTGCCCAGTCGCGAACGAACATCGAATAATCGCCAACTACAATTTGGTTAGCAGATGATGACAAGATACAGAAAGACAAGGATCGTTAAGGGGATAGTATAATACCTTTCGAGGACAGATTGCCCAAAGCAGCCGCACTATTGCCTTGCACCTCAATGCTTTCGGAGTTTGTCAGAGGAATCAAGACGTCAAATACTCCTAGGTTGAGAAGGTGCGGCTTCAGCTCTTCGCTGAGGGCCAGCACAGCGATTGCAGCAGTCATCTCGGATTGGACTGTAAGGGGAACACGGAGGACCAAGTCCTTGCACTTCTGTACTGCTCCGGCCTGCAAAACAAGTTCTTTGTTGCGGTCAGAGCTAGCTGCAAGGTTGCGAAGCGTGGATATAGCATGACATTGAATCTCTTCATTGTCAGTCGAGCCTAGGAGATCCACCAACGGCTTCAAGAAGCCCGCTTCGATAATAGGGGATTCATTATGAGGATGGATAGAGATGTTGCGGATACAAGCGACGGCGGATAAGATGAGAGGAAGGTAGGAGGATTGGAGTAGTCGTAGCAGTGGAGAGAGGCCCTTAGCCCGAACGATTTCAAGTTGGTATTTCTCATCAGAAGCGAGATTGCGCAGGGCGAGCGCCGCTTGGCATTGGACCTTGGGGGTGGATGAATCCATAAGATGAACTAATGATTGCACGAGGCGCGACTCGGTTTGGGCGAGTCGCTTGCGATTGGTCGAGTCAACAGCGATATTGCTAAGAGCTGTTGTGCAGTAGTACTGAACGTCAACGTCGGGGGATGAGAGGAGATGCACGAGCACGGGAATGGCTCCGGCATTGACAAGTTGCTGTCGGTTGTCATCTGGTCTTTATGTTAGAGAAACAGCCCTTTTCCAGATGAATCAATCGGAATCACTTACCCGAATGGGTCATATTGAGCAGTGCGCCCGTCGCATTTCGTTGGACACGCATATCCTTCGACTTGGCCAGGCGAATAAGAGGACCTAGAGCACCAGAGCGAGCAATTTTGGCCTTGTTCTCCTCATGCGTCGCGAGATTGGTTATACATCCGACCGCATTGCACTGTACCTCAACATTGGGTGACATCATCTGGCGAATCAGGGGGGGACAGCCCCCCAAGGGTGACGATCAAGACTTTGTTCTCAGCTGCACCGAGTTAGCGACCGTGTGGGAACCGGGAAAGAAGATGTGTGACAGGGACCAACCATTTACGGCGAGGTTGCCCAGCGCTGCACTAGCAGCCCGTTGAACCTCGATATCTGAACTTTGAAGTAGGAAGAGGATAGGTTCGAGGGTATCGCGATCGACCTCGCGCACATCTGAAGATAAGACGAAGGTCAGCCATTGCATCATTGCCATCCGAACGGCGATACGCACCTCGTTCTGTGATCTCAGCAAAGGTCAAGCTAGCGCTTCTTTGCAGGTCAACGTTTTCCGAGTAAACCAGGGTACTCAGGGCCCGTAGTGGTTCGCCGTGGAAGAAGTCGGTCTCCGCGCGCTGTAGATTTATTGAAGGTTAGCGGTATGCTCGGGGTATGGCGGGACCCAGTTGAACCAGTTGAACCAAGTCCCAGACTTTGATTCAGGAAAGGGAAAGGTATCGATGTGGAATGATGAATTGTCTAGCACGTACATTCTCCAAGTATCCCAGAAGATCTGATACCGCTTCTCGTTCGTTATCGGCCAAGGTCGTTTCGTAGATACCGTCTCGAGAACGAGCTCCGATGGGACCAAGACATGCTGTAATATGACACCATCGGTCTACTGCTGAAAAGCAAGACAGACAGGCAGTCGCGATTCCACTCATGCTGGCTAGCAAGCCCGCATCGGGCGCGGTCTTGTAGTGAGGGCGAAGATAGAGACGAAAGACAAGCGGTCGGGGCGAGATTCAGGGAGTTGAATAAAGACGAAGCTTTGGAGGGAAACACAAGGGAAAGTCGCGTGATAAAAAAAAAGGTTCACTTTTGGAGGGGAGCCTCCTGATGCTTGAAGGAAAGAAGTTCCAAGCGTTTCATTAAAGGGAGGGGGAGAGAGAGAGAGAGATCGAACTAGTCTCCTCAGGCAGAAACTTGAGATTAGTTAACTAGTTAACTAAATGCTTTCTACTTAGTTATCTATACATTTGAGATAGAATTGAGTATTTCAATCTATATCTTTTCTTCTTTTTCCTATTCATCCTAATTATCTTCAAATGATGGATTTAAAAAAAACAATTCTCCATTTTAACCAGCACCAGCTCCAACACATACATCATCCCGGGGAGAGCTCTAACCTGACCAATCCAGAAAAGGAGATCAACTGCATCAAACCTCCTAAAGTACAAGAAGTTAACAATAGGATGTTGTACAACATATATCCATATATTACTTTTATATATATATATATATATATAGTTATATATATTATAAGTTAAAATAGTTATATTACTATCTCAATTATTCTCAAATCGGGTTCAACGCCTTTTACCTACTCGGCCCGTCTCAAGTGGACTTTTCAGCCCCCGAGGGTCCGTGCAACTGTATACCAATGAAGGTATCACCTTTGCTCTTGTGATTTTACAGGTGACGCAGATGATCACCAGGCAGAGTCACATATGGATAAGGTCATGTTGATTTTGGGCGATCGACATTCTAAAGTGGATCACATGGAATGTTATACCATATAGCCCTAGAGATTAGGGATATACTAATTAGTAGTTCATTTAGTTAGGAGACTATTTTATAGGATAACACCATTTATTTATATTTCAACATAGATTTAACATAGATTTAATATGGAATTTAGAGTACATATTGGGAAAGCATAGACCACTTGACCATATATGCTGCCTTATGCCTTATGTTATACATGAAGTAAGGACGTTAAATGTGCCTTGGGCTAGAGCTGTCAGTTTTATAGTATGCATATAGAGTCAGTGCTATATATATATCACTATATACTTGGCAATACCGTTCTTCTCATAAATTACTCATTATGTTGCTCTCTCTGTAAATATTTACCTTTTGTATATATAACTAGATAGTAATACTATTCTATATATATCAGTGTAGGGCTCCAAGTATGCGGGGAAGTAGCCACCTCCGCCAAGAAAATGCTGACTGTGGTAATAGCCGATGGCAAATGGCAAATGGCAAATGGCAAATGGGCAAATCCAAGGCACAGAGACAAGGCAGATACTAGACAAGAGACTATATACAATCAAAAAGGCCTAAACTTCCCCAACTCTCCTTTTTTTCTTTTTTCTTTCCTCCTTTTTATCTCTTGGTTTCTTTTTCACTTCTTTGTTCATCCTACTCTCTTGAATTTTCTCTCTTTCTCGAGATCCCCCCTTTATCCTAATCATATGATGCCTGGGTAAACCCCCCCATTGAATAGCATCAGCCCAGTTGCCAGTTGCAGATCCCACCTGTGACGTGCCATCCCTTGAATCTCTGGGCACTATTTGATTGTTGAATTCTTTCATGGTCGCCAAATCGAATCCATGTCTACTTCAGTCACCGCCTCCACCTCCCTCCCTGACAGCCCTCGCCCTAGTCGCCTGCGCCGCTTCAGTTTACGAACCTATTCCCCCTTGCCTAGTGGGCAGCACTCGTATAGGCATAGTTTGAGTAGTCGAATTCCTTGGTTCTCAAATCCTGGCTCTACCTCTCCCACAGACTCTGCAGCTCCATGCCCTGAAAGTGACCACCCAAGCCTCTCTCGTTACACCTCTGCGCCCGCCCCGAGTTTCGGTTTTGGTACCGAACTCAATACCCAAGTATCATCCACCGACTCTGCCGCTTCTACACCTTCCAACGACCCTGCCCAAACATCCAACCCTATGGCGCGTCTAAGGAGCGTTTCGTCCGTCCATCGTCCGCCACCTCGCACGTTAGAGCGTGCCAACAACTCTCAAGAGCCCACCTCGTCCTCTGAACCGGCCGCCGTTCAAAATAATGTCACCGAACCTACCAGCGAACCCACCAGTGAACCCACCAACGCCCCTGCAGATGGGCAGGTGACCCCCTCAAAATCGGAGACTAAGGCGACCATTCGGTTCTTCCCCTACCAAGACGCCCTCCAAAGCTCGAGGCCCTCGTTACCTTTCGTCCCAGTCGCCCGGACCCTACCATCAGAGAGCTGTGTTATTCGTGTAGGTCGATACTCGGAGCGTGATGGCGTGCCTCTCCCCAACCCGACCGAACCCTCGGACGCCCCCGTGGGGTTCAAATCCAAGGTCGTTAGTAGGAAACACTGCGAGTTCTTGTACGTGAATGGTCAGTGGCACATCAAAGATGTTGGTAGTTCTTCGGGAACATTTTTGAACCACATGCGCTTGAGTCAGCCGAATATGGTGTCCCGTCTGTACTCCATCAAAGATGGCGATATTGTTCAGTTGGGTATCGACTTCCGAGGGGGAGAAGAAATGATATTCCGATGCGTTCGGATTCGGATTGAATGTAATCGATCGTGGCAGCAGCAGCCTAACGAGTTCAAGTAGGATCTTACCTATTGTCCGGATTGTCATGTGATGCTAACAGATATCCCAGCAAAAACACAGAAAGCCTTATTAAAAACTTGGGTAAGGGTGAGACGGCTGATTATTCGGGTTGTCGTGAATGCTCGATTTGCCTTGGCTCTGTCTTGGTTCGTTTCTTCTTTTCTTCCTACCAACCCTGCATTTACTAACTATAATGAAGCGGCCTTATCAGTGTTTGTTCATGGCAGCCTGCGCGCACGTCTGGCATTACAAATGTATCAGTCGTTTGCTTCACTCCCCCGATTACCCAATGTTCCAATGCCCCAACTGCCGTGCATTCACCGATCTCAGCGCCGAGGTCGATGACTCGAATGATGCAGAGGAAAAACGAGAAAAGGAACCGACAGAAGACAGGACATCTAATGACTCTTCTGAGCAGCTCGGAACGGAGGTGCCTTCAACCGTCGAAACAAACGGCACAGAAGGACAGCCCGATCAGCTCGGAGATCTTGCCGAAGAAGAAAATATGGTCAACAATGTGGAGAACCTCCATCTACAAGATGACCAGCAAACGGATGACACTCGAAGCTCAGCCTCACCAGCGCCTAACTCAAGCACAGATGACCTGGCCCGCAGCGCCACTATCAACATCCCCGGGTGGCAACCGACGCAACCACTCAGTGTGCCGGCTGGTCGCCCTTTACAACTACGATCCGACACGCCAACATCTGACGACAACCCATTGACTCCGCGAAATGACTCGGGCCCTTTGGCCTTTGATGGCCGAGCAGGAATGCCCTAATACGTCGCTTCGGATCGAATTAATGTCTGGAAACCCAGGGCTTTGAGCATCTTAATAAATATTTATCCTTCTTTTTGGCATCTACATCTACCCTGCTGTAGGGGATTATCATCTGAGCATTCTACGATATCATCATCGCCAGGAAGCATGTCTGCGTTGGTTTCTCCGGGTGCACACTCCATACACACCGTTTGCATTGTTCAATAGCGTCTACCTCTTATCACATAATTTGATTTGTCATGGCGCCCCAGCGTTCTGTTTTCTCCTTCCTTTATTCCCTAGCCCAAACCCCACTGATACCCATTCGAGATCTGGACTGTTGTTTTGAATCTAGGCACTTCTGATGAACCAACAACATTCTTTCGTTGGCCTTTGGATTGTTCTTAATTATAACTGGTAATAACATGATTATAACTAGGTAATAACATGTTCGGTTTGGCTCATCTACTCGCACCGCAGCTTTTCCCCTGTCAGCCTACATACCTAGGTAGTCCTGGGAGGCTTACACCTTGGGCGGATCATCGACTTCATGGAACACAACCGGGACCATACTCGAGAAGGTCCAAAGCTAGCAAGGTCATCAGAGGATATCCTGTGTTTCTTGGCGAGATAACTTGCCCTGCTTTCTACAACTTTCCAGTGTTGACTGTCAAGCTGGGTCTTAGGCCGATATACATCGAGTCGTTCTAGCCGGTTCTCGGCACCCCATATGTCTAAGAGTGATAGGACAAAATGCTTGTTGGCATGGTTTAACCGTAGAACACCAACACGAATGCTCTGCAGATAATGCTCGCTGATGAATTCTGTAATATCCATCTGACGCATGACAAAATATGTGCTGGGAGTGCCGTAGAGGTTGAGGGGTATTCGATATAGATAATGAAGAGCTTCGGTAGTGATTCTTTTGTTGAGGAGAAGAATACATGGTGTATATCGCTTCACATAAGGTCGAGGAAGGGCGCAAAGAGGACCACTGACTACTGGTGACCATTGGTCCCTCAGCTTTCGGTAGCTTTTTACATATTCATTTGGCGTGAGCAAATGGGAGTATATTATCAGGCGAATCTCGGATGGTAGATCGAGTAATGAAGTCATGATTATTTGCTGTAACCAAGTTGTGAAATGCTTAGGTCCAAGTCTGTCCTTACCCCTCTTTGAGGCTCTCGATGGCCCCCTCGAGGTCTTATTGGCTGTGGCGGGAGTGTAATACAAGAGTCTCACCACAGTATTGATTTCATGCCGAGCAAACCGGAGGTTTAACGATCACTTATTTCGTTAGTGAAACCAAAAAAAAAGAGTCCCTATATATAGTGCCACCGAAGCATTTACCTATATTTCACCTGACAGCTATCCTAACTTGTAAGATTAGCCTCCCAATTGGAGCTTCACCCACTCATCAACAGTTGTGAGCTCCCTCCCAATCAACCACCTCGAAACACTGGGATTCCCTTTCAATCCACGCCGGTTATAGAACAAGACCAACCACTCAGCCTCATCCCTTGTGATATCAGGACGTAAATCCCCTTTTGAGGCCGGCCATCTCAAATCCGAATCCACATGATCCCCACTATACACGCCGCTCTCCGAGTTCCCGGTATATAAAAGCTTGAGAAGCTTACCAACACTGTCTTCAAAAGTGGGAGGGAGTTGGAACCTCTATCTTCTTACCAATATGTTCCCCGATAATCCAAAATGAACTCTGCGTCAGATACCGGGGCTGTCGAGCACAGCGGATACTGAGCGAAATAGTGTGCTTCCCGCTCGTCCAAAACCCTGGCCCCGGCCTCAGCCAGATCTCTGAGTGCGACTAAACTATTGGCAACATTTGGATTATAGATGTCGATCATGTTGACTCCGATTTCTGTCTCGGGATTGGAGCGAGGGACCTATGTGGTAGACTGATGTTGCTTATTCAGGAGCTTGCGACATTCAGTAAGGGAGGATGTGTCGCATGTTTGCACTTCAGTGTCGGGGTAGGTAGTTTGGAGACGAGAGGCGGATTCCAAGCTGTGGGCTGCTAGACGGAGTTTGAATCTGGATGTATCGTATATGAGAGGGATGAGACGGGAACTTTGTCTGCCCTAGGATAAGTGATTACTAGTATTTCGCTCATTTTGTTACTGACTGAATGTCTGCTTCGAAAGGTCTGTCAGTCAGAACTCGAAGCTGCCGTAGAGGTCTAAACGTCATTTGCCCCCTCATGCAAGCGCACTTTCATTGTCAAATCTAGGCTGAAATACACTTTTTATGAGGCAGATGAGACTATCCACGTAGAGAAAATTGGCACATTATTCCCATTACAGCATATATTCTGATTACCAACTTGTTACGATGAATATAGTCGGCTGCTCTCTATATATAACCACGTGATCGATAGCGCTAACCTTGGACAGTTACCAAGTGGGCCCGGAACCAAAGAGTCGCTGGACCCGCTTTCAACCTTGGAATGCTCCAAGGTTGACGATTTCAATATCCCCAGGGCTTGATTGAATACTAAGAGCCGAAGACAACCTTCTCCCGGGATCCACAGACAGGGACCAGCCTCACAGATCAAACTAGGCTCGGTCTGTTTAGACCTTAAGCAATATGAGGTTAAATTTCAGCGAGCCACCCACTCCGACCTTGAGTCGCCAAAACACTACAATACAAGGTCATCATCAACGCCGTGGTACTCACCCCCATCGCCTGTCATCGCGGACAAAGCCAAGAAGGTGAGCTACCCAATCGGTATCTTTTAGTCACCCGCATGTGCTAACATTGATCAGATGGCCACTTGTCTTCCGCTTTATCAAAGGTGCAATCCATGGTGCCATATTAGTCCCGGTCTTTCTGCACGCTGTATTTACAGCCCTGATTGTTTACTTGGACACATATGTATTCGAGACTGTGGGTCTACCTAGCACGATCGTATGTATGCCCAACCAACCAGACAAGATATCAACTAAACATAACAAAAACAGATCCCATCTTTATCTATTGTTGTAGGTCTGATGCTTGTCTTCCGCAACCAAACGTCCTACAATCGATTCTGGGACGGACGGAATGGAATGAACGCACTCAACACATGCGTGCGCAACCTCGTCCGCACAATCGCAACAAATAGCTATAACTCAAAGCGTGGACCACCCACCGCCGCAGAGCGCGAGGATATAGAGCGTACTGTCCGCATTCTCATGGCTATCCCGTATGCCGTGAAAAATCATTTACGCGCCGAATGGGGCGCTGCTTGGGTCTTTGGTAACGCCGCTGATGAGGCTCTGAACATGCATCCGTCCACCCTTTATAACCCCGAATATGCCAACCTGTTACCTGCGGGCCTTGAGGGCCATGAAGATGAGGGACTAGGTCTCCCTTTCCAGTTGACTTTCTTCATTGATGGGTTTATCAAACGCGGCGAAGAGCGTGATTGGTACTCTGCGCCTGGTGCTAGTCAGATGCAGGCTCAGTTGAATACCTTGACTGATGCATATGGGAGGATGGAAACGATCAAGTTGACTCCGATCCCAGTGGCTCATTTGTAAGATTTATGCCCCTAATGGGTTTGTTTCAATTGCTGACGTTAAACAAGGATTCACCAAAAGCAAGTCCTCGCCCTTTTTGGCTGCGTGTTGCCGTTTGCTATGGTCGATGAGATGGGATGGTGGGCCATCCCCATTGTAAGCCTTGTTATCTTCACACTCTATGGTATTGAAGGAATTGGCTCGCAGTTGGAAGATCCCTTTGGCTACGACAGAAATGACATCAAAATGGACGCTATTGCCGGGGACTCCAAGGTCGAAATCGATGTTGTTTTGGCTGAGTGGCGCACGCACTCGAAGGCCATGGAGGAATTAAGAGAACAGCGCGCTGGCGCAGTTCATGGTAATTTATGCTTAACGCCCGATCGAAATGAATCAGGAAACGGAAGTGTGGACGGGAAGTATACCCCTCCGGACTTGTTTTTAAGGTTGAGGCCGAGTACTGGTAGGTGAATTTTGGATATAGGATGTTTATCGGGTGTGTATATAGTTAGTGGGATTATCTACATGTATAGCCTCAAGTTAGCATTAGAAATATCAATGTATCTGTGAACTAGAATGAAAGACCACGTAGTCTTCTTCATAGACTGAATATACCCGACCTGGCTCGAGGCTTGCTAGTTTCACTGTAGGCGAGGTTCTTGAAATTGACATGGTGGGATGTGACTCGCCACGAATTGGATGTATTGTAAATACGCAACTTTAGTCTATATCAGCCGGGTATCTAATGCGGTAATCAAGAATAGCAAAGCAGGTGCATCGAAATATCATAGAGGCGGCTCCAGCGCCAGAACGCCATCTAGTATTGAATCTGGCGTCACATCGGCGAGAACATCAGATATCGCATGTAAATCACTTCCGTACTGCAGACTGCGGTCTTCGCCAGGGGGAGTGACAATAATGCGATGGTGAAAGACTTTCCTGGCGGCTAGGGCCACGATGGAAGGAGTCAGATAATCGAGACCATGCAAAGGAGCTAGAAGTCTGTGGGGTAAAATAAATTAGATGAGCTAGATGTAAGTGGTTTTTGGCAAGGACATGTTTAGACTTACTGTGCAAATCGAGAAAATTGAATATTTGCATTGGCAGATACGCCACCTGCAACAGCACGACTGAGCCGCAGAAATACAACGATATCCTGGATGTATCGAACGACTTCTGCATTCATGCTCACCGACGCACTTGTTTCCCGAAGTTGTTTCATCACCTGTGAGTTCATCAACCGGTATTAGATCGCCATGTTCAGTTCGTGATTGTAAAATCCAAGTGGAGTGGAATAACGCCAAACTTACCAATGGGCTGACCGTAGGACTCTTCGGCTGCTTGCCTTTCGACTTATGAATAACAGAGGAAGCGGACATTTGCCCATCTGACAGCCAGTCATTCTCTTCAAGATAAGTATACCCATCCTCTGGGCCGTGGAAATGAGAAATGAAGAGATTGTCATTCTACCGCGGCATTAGCTAAAGTAGAGCAGCCAAAATGTGGGCGTACAGATGATACTTACCATGTGCAGTTTTAAAGGCGGTTTGAGCTGATCGAAATCTCGTGTCACAAGAGGGATGAAAAGGAAGTCCTGGGGTGCAATTAGGGTCCCGCTCTCGGTGACCAACTCCCTCGATCGCATTAACTAATTTGTTTATCAGTATTGTTTTTACTGAGTTGTCGATTGGAACACATACCTGCAGCATGTGCATTTGGATATCATCATCCACAAAATTGAAGTTCTTGGCGACTACAATATTGACAACGTTACTGCTGGGTTGTGAGAAGGGAGTGGGTGATTTGCTGTAATCCCCAATACTCTTATAGGAAGAACGTTTGCTTGACTGATTTTATTAGCTTGTAGTTAGGGAATTATGGCGAACAATTGGAATATCAACTTACTGATTCAGTGGTCAACCACTGACGCGATGGCCGATAGTTTGCGCGTGCATCCGGGGTGAGAACGTCATTAAAGATGTCGTCAATAGATGTTGCAGATGAACAGTCAAGGATGCAATATGAATGATTGAATGTAGCTGAGCCGATCTGTCTTTCATTAGAGATCATCGCGAGATTCCGGGGGCATTGACATACTAAGGCGAGTTCTTTGGCGAGGTCATTAATACAGTGGCTGGTAGTCTCGATCAAGCAATGTTCGCGGGCAACAAAGCATAATAAAATGGCTACCTCAAGGTCAGATAATTGTCGAGCAACATCAGCAAGATCTGTATAGTCCATGTTTTGAAAAGAGCACCAAGTTGGCCAATGAAGATGCAGCAACTATCAAAGAGAAGTCGAGGATTGTGGTGGAGAATTTCCGCCTGATAACTAAGGCGACAAAAGCCATCAGATTAGGTCTAGCGCGCGTGACCCCGTCCTCCCGATCAACAGCTCGAACATCCTCCAACTGCCTAGGTAGAGGATTCAGTGCCTCATCTGTGATCAGATCCACAGTCATGCCACCCAATCCACTCGCAAACTGGGAAAAGGTTGGAGACAGCTTTTATCGCAAAATTGCCGTTTATGACGCCATCTTCGAGGACGACATCGAGTTAGAGAACTACATTGTCGCGGGCGCCCCCTACGGGGGAGCTATTGGTAAGTCCCCTTTTTTAGGAGAACCAGGGATCTAAACTAATGTGGAAATCAGCGCTTTATCGCGATGAAAGCAAGCCATTCAGGCTTCGCGATGGACAGGGCTCCCGTTCCACAATTGATGTTTATTCATGCTCTGGACAGAAAATCAATCGTATAAATGTTTGTTTGCACTTTATGATCGAATCCTGATAAGAGTGCTAACTCATTCCAGTGGGAACAAGCTACTATTCGCGGACTAGGCTGGTCTGATAAGGAAGAGCTCTTGGTCGTCTCTGAAGAGGGAACAGTCCGACGCTACTTCGGATTAGACGGCGAGTTTACATCCTTTTCTCTCGGAAATGTGAGACTTAGTGACTACCTACCCTATCCATACTGTGGACAAACTGACAATGTAACAGGGCGCCGAAGAGTATGGTGTGAGAGCCTGCCAGTTTTGGTCATCAGGCCTCGTTGCATTGCTGTCAAATAACCAACTAATCGCTGTATCCAAATATGATGAGCCGCGCCCGCGACTCTTGGCACCTTGTCCAGAAGGCGAGGTATCATCATGGGCTTTAATTCCACCAGCCCATACACTCTCACGCTCTGTTGAGGTTCTGTTAGCTGTTGACAAAACCGTCTTTTTAATCGACTCAACAGAGGCAGAAGACAAGATTCTGCAAGATGGTCCATTCAAACATATCAGTGTGTCCCCAACAGGGCGCTTTGTCGCACTTTTCACCGCGGAAGGAAAGTTATGGGTAGTCAGCAATGACTTCCAAAACAAGTTCAGCGAATATGATTCAAAGTCTCGGGTTCCGCCAAATACTGTGAATTGGTGTGGCGACGATGCTGTCATCCTTGGATGGGAAGATGAAATTCATCTTGTTGGCCCCAACGGCGTCGCATCAAAGTGAGTGGACCTTTTCTGTGTAATACTTGCGAGCACGATCTAATCATCCTAGATACTACTACGATGGCCGCGTCCATGTCATATCAGAGTTTGATGGAGTTCGTTTCATAACTAATGACACATGTGAATTCGTGCACAAGGTCACTAGTAAGTCAACATACCAAGGAAACAACCAGATTATCATTGACAATTTCTAGGTGTCACTGAAGAGATATTCCGTCTTGGGTCGTCTTCTCCCGCTTCCGTACTACTAGATTCGGTAGACCAACTGGAGAAAAAATCCCCCAAGGCTGATGAGAACATCCAGCGCATCCGATCGAGTTTGCCATCAGCAGTTGATACTTGCATCAAAGCAGCGGGTCATGAATTCGACGCCTACTGGCAGAAACGCCTGTTGAAAGCCGCATCATTTGGCAAATCCGTACTCGAACTTTACAATAGCGATGAGTTCGTTGAGATGACCGAAAAACTGCGCGTTCTCAAAGCATTGAGAGACTATAAGATCGGGCTGCCATTATCATACGAACAATACCTGCGGCTCACACCGGAAGGACTCATCGAACGCTTAATCAGCCGGCATGAATATCTGCTTGCAATAAGGATTTCGGAATACCTACAGATTCCCGCAGACAAGATCTATGTTCATTGGGCAAGCCAGAAGGTGAAGGTCTCGACTGTTGACGACGAAGCTGTATGCAAGCTTATTGTCCAAAGACTCGATGGAAAGCCGGGAATCTCGTTTGAGGTTATCGCTCAAGCTGCTTATGACGAGGGTCGATCTCACCTAGCCACCCAATTGCTCAATCATGAACCACGAGCCGGCAAACAAGTTCCTCTGCTTTTGAACATGGAGGAAGATGAGCTTGCTCTTGATAAGGCAATCGAAAGTGGCGATGATGACTTGGTGAACTACGTGCTTCTGCATCTTAAGAGCAAGCTTCCTTTGGCAAGCTTCTTCCGAATGATCAACACCCGGCCAATGGCTTCCGCACTTGTGGAGACTGCTGCACGAGGCGATGACATCGAGCTACTGAAAGACTTGTTCTACCAAGACGATCGACCCATTGATGGCGCTAACGTGCTACTGTCAGAAGCATTGCGCGATACGGACTTGACACGCCAAACCGAGAAACTCCATCTAGCATCTCGGCTCTTGTCGGATTCCAAGGAACCTACAGTGGTATTAAACCAAAAATTAGTCTCCGAGGCCTCCCAGCTTTTGAAGGCGCAAGACGCATTGGATAAAGACTTAGCAGATCACAGTGAGTTCCTTGGCCTCAGTCTCAACGAGACCGTATACAGACTTGTCCGAGGTGGTTACGGTAAAAGAGCACACAAGATTCAAAGTGAATTCAAAATGCCTGAAAAAACATTTTGGTGGTTGAGATTGAGAGCTTTGGTGGCTAAACGTGACTGGGGCGAACTGGAGGAAATCGCTAAACTCAAGAAATCCCCAATCGGATGGGAGGTAAGACAGTCGAGAACCCTAAACTACTGGAATAGACGCTCACACAAGACAGCCTTTCTACAACGAGATTTTGGGTGCTGGAAACACAAAACTTGCTTCAGGATTCGTGCCAAAGTGCGCCCACTTGCCCCCTGCTGAGAGAATCGAAATGTGGGTAAAGTGCGGTATGATCGTGAAGGCCGGAGAAGAGGCACAGAAGACTAAAGACCTTAACACCCTGGAACTCCTCCGCACTAAAGCATCTGGCCCCGCAGCCACCGAAATCGAGCGCATGATCAATCAACTGAGGCCAAGGAAATGAGCCCACCAACAAGGTTCAACATGTATCACACAGGCCCGCTCCAGGGTTGTTCAGGTGATCTCGTCGGCTTCATCGATAGTCGTAGAGTCGTCAATTGCGGGGTTGGAGTCTTCAGTTGCGATTTGGAAGACGTTCTTTGCGACAGGAATCACGGAAGGTGCAGAATCTTCAGCCATCGCCTCGTCAACCTCGTTGTCCTCGTTGTCCTCGTCGTCATCATCTTGTTGAAGAGCGTTGAAAGCCGAGGTTTTGCGGTTGGTATCTTCCCAGTCAGCCTAATTCAGTGTCAGCACCTGTACGTCAGAATGAAACGGCCATCTGTTTTCATACTCTTCGGGAGTTGACGGTCCTGCCGCGAGCCAGACTTTTAGCCTTCTTGATTTCCAATTGATCTACCACGGCCTCGGCTCGGTCCATTCCCTTCTGTTGCCTTAATCGCTGAGCCCTTGAAACCTTGTCATTCTTCTTCTGCTTTTTCTGGATACCGGAAGTGGCGCGGTCAGCCAGAACCGAAGGCCTTATTGTGGTAGGAGATTCCGCTCGGGGAAGCGAAGTCACCGACTTGTCAAGGTCGAGACTCGGGGATGCTGCCCTCCGTGCTGCACGGGAACGCTGGGACTGGTCTGTTCAAATATTAGACACTGAAATATCAATGTATGCGAGATTCGTAGTCAACTTACTTTTGCTCTTCGCCATGGTTGTTGTTTTGAAGAATTATCAATCTCGTGGGGTGAAATCGCTATCGATAAAAAAAAGTTTACGGCAGACCAAGCCAACCAAATATGCACCTTTTTCCGCGCAAACATGCATGTCATCTTTCTTCTGCACGCGTCTCGACACTCTCACGTTATCTATCAGTCCATGCTAATGCTCATGCTGGCGGAATTCTTTTGCCACACATATCCTTCTGGTTTCATTGACAATGAACACCCGCGACGGGCGCTCTGAGATATTTTCTAACCGCCCCGATCAGTACGCAAGCCGCAACAGTCATTATGAAACCGCCCTCACGACTTTACAGAACAATCCAGCGCTAGCGTACATCTTTATTGCTCTCGTCTCGGTTCCTATTGTCCTTGGTTACCTCGGACTTGTTCCCATATCGCTATTCCAGCTCCCCTGGGATCTCATTGTCTATTTTACACCTTCTCGAATCGTTATCGCTTTGGACCCTCGCATATCGACCTCTGACTCCAACTCCCTAGCCTTATCGCCTTTGCCATTCCAAGATAAAAGTGACGCGATGAAACGGATTCTTGGTTTGGACAACAACATCTACTTCCCCTTCTTCTCCCGGTCAAGGTCCCTCTCTATATTCGGAAATGCGCTACTGGGAAACACCAAGGATGTCACACCCCCGGGGCTCGGAAACTGGAACAACTCGTGTTTCCAGAACAGCATCATACAAGGATTGGCATCTTTGAAATATCTCTCCGAGTTTCTGGAACACAACGTGGACAACCTGTCAGGGAAGGCTTCCGTCTCGACCCACAAGGCACTACTAGACCTCATCGACTGTCTGAATAGCGCCTCCAAAAGTGGAACCAAACTGTGGATCTCCGGGCCCCTCAAGTCCATGAGTAGCTGGCAGCAGCAAGATGCGCAAGAGTATTTTTCCAAGTTGCTCAATCAAATTGATCATGAAGCCGAGCTATGCTCACGCGGAGAGACTTCGAACATGGGATTGAAAATTGCAGGACCCGATGAGAACATATTTAGAGACAGCGACTGTGACGACCCAGTGACGCCCTGGGAGCCCGAATCGCTCGCATCGACGGATAAGCTTTATCTTGATGTGGTTTCATCTTGTAATCCTCTCGAGGGTCTACTTGCTCAACGGGTTGGATGCATGGTATGCGGATGGACTGAAGGGCTCTCGTTGATACCTTTCAACTGCCTCACTGTGCCTCTGGGCAAAAGATCTTCGTACGATGTTCGCGAATGCTTGGACCAATACATGACGCTTGAGCCTATTGAAGGCGTGGAATGCTCTAAGTGCACGCTATTGCATCGACAAGAGCAGCTTATCAACTTGATCAAGGGATTTGAGGCCGATGAGAGTCGGTCAGATAGCCCCGACGAACCTCAACCCTTCGATGCTGTGAAACTGTCAGCCTACTCGCGGTTGGATGCTGTTAAGGCGGCTTTGGACAGCAATGATTTCAGCGAAAACACATTAGCAAAGGAGTGCCATATCAACTCAAAGAACCGAATCTCAACCACGAAATCTCGACAAGCCGTCATTGCGCGGGCTCCTCGCTGTCTTGCCATCCACATCAACCGTAGCGTTTTTGACGAGTATACTGGGGCGTTGGAGAAGAATCTTGCAGCAGTGACGTTCCCTCAAACGATTGATTTGAACAATTGGTGCCTTGGCACCCAAGCCGCCGGCAAATCTGGCGACAACTCTGAGCATTGGGAAACAAACCCTTCCCGGTCCATGCTTCCGCAACCGGGCGAAGCAATTGAAGTCCCTAGCAGACAATATCAATTACGCGCAATCATAACCCATTACGGCCGGCATGAGAATGGACACTATATCTGCTATCGCAAGTATCCGACATCGGAATTCACCGCTCCTGCACCGGACGAGATCCTTCAAGCTGAGGGTGACAAGGACAAGCCCGAGCGTTGGTGGCGCCTCAGCGACGATGACGTGCAGATGGTTAGTGAAGGTCATGTGATGACCCAGGGGGTGCTTTCATGCTGTTCTACGAAGCCATGGATGATTCCGTATCGCCGTGTTCGACTCGATCTGTAACCCCAGAACATGACCTATACGACAAGTACGCAGAGTCTACTCAGTTTGGAAGTCAAGACTCGTGCAACTCGGCTATGCCAAAGGACATCTCCACTCCGTCTACTGTCACCGACTTCGAATCTGCCACTTCCCGTGAAACCAGTATTTCCTTGCCGATGGACGATTTGCTTCCTGCCGAACAGTCTTTGGAGATCCCAAACGTGATTGGCACTGATGCTGAATGGAATGATAAACTGGACTCACCCTCTACCATCATTGCATGATCACCTCTTTACATGTTTTCTTACTTTTTTTTTGTCTTTGCCCGCATAGTCGTGCCCTGTGGCCGGCTACTGCATCATCATGATACCCGATACCACGTTCGATTTAAGGCGTTGATTTGAGCTCCACTGTTTTTTTGGAGGTATTTGGTGTAAATTAATGTACTATTATGTCGACTCCGACGCGAGAATTGACTTGTCGAAACCATACATCTCGATCGGCTTCAGCCTAGCTGTTATTCCGTAAGCTCATTTCATCGCAACTCAGCCAATGCCGATCTCTGAGGCTGCTATCGACCTCGATGGTGATGTAGCTTCTGGGGATAATTGGAGATACGATCCCCGCATTTAGATGTGAGCACCTTGTGAACAACACGGTGGTCCGGAATCACCTCATTCAGAGTACCTTGGGGCCAACCATAGCATAAAAGTGCAACCATCTTTTTCTCACAAAATTAGATTCGAAACTTCTTTTCAAATTTCGTTTTACAGCGAGTTCTACCGGCAATCTAGCAATTCTGACGCTAGCTGAATCTGCTTCTTTCTCAGACGTTGGATATTGGGAATTGCATCCGCGTCCATATAGATCCCGAAGGTCCCCCAGGGTCCTCAATTCCGTATCTGATGGTCATAGGGTATGATAATTGTCCCCAATACTTGATAAAGCTGGTTCCTAATCTAATTCAGCAGAAGTATTCTACATCATCTTCAATAATGTCTACCACCAAACTCTCACAACCACACGATATATTTCTCATCAATGAGCTACTGGAGAACATTCTTCTACATACAGATATGAGAACTCTATTAACATCTGCTCAACGCGTATCTCGTGTTTGGAACACCATGATCAAAAGATCAGTGAGACTCCAAGAGTCACTCTTCTTCAAACCCTCCAAATTCGAAATCTCGGATCCCTCACAGCGCCTTCGAAATCCGCTCCTAGAAGATGTCCTCTGGGCTCAATTCTTCCTCAAGCAACAACGAACTCCAGAGTCGAAAACTACCGAAATAAGCAGATTTCCGCTGGGGGAACCTGAGCGTCGAAAGCTCAAGTTCTACCTACGAAAAGATGCCAGTTGGAAAAGAATGCTTCTTCAACAACCACCGACATCATCAATCGGAGTCCTTGAAATCATCAAAAAATCAGACTCAGAATTTACCAAGTTATCTATCAGCCCAAACGAGTCCCTCCGGATGGGTCACATCATGACTCTTCTGGAAAGAGGCAGTACGCTGATTCCAACGCGCAATAAATGGATACTGTGGAGCGGACGATCCCGTATAATGCCCTTAAACTTCGAATGCTGGACGCCCAAATGGGTCTACGAACCAAGTACCCTACGACCAGTCCAGGAATGGATTCCGGAAAATATAGACTGGGATAGTCTCCGGCTGGAGGTGGCATCGATGTATATGAATGATTTCGATTGTGGTGTGGTGATTGTATCTGAGCGGAGACAGATGCTTTTCCAGGGCGAGGATCGAGTGCACAGGGAGAGCAAACTTGATCGTCGGTTGGGGAAGGCATTTGGGAGATGTCAGGTGGAGGTTGGAAGGAAACATATAAATCACTCTTGGATTCCGATCAAAGGTGTTGGTGCTGATCGGAGATGGATCCTCAGGCCCTGTTCTGCTACTCCTCTTGTTCCAACGCTATGTGACTCGTCCGAGGCTTCAGATTCGTCTTCTATGTCTTCATTCTCTTTGTCTCTATAAGGGGGGTTCAGACTTGAAAGCCCTGCCCAAACGGGTGTGTGTGTGTGTGTGTCAACTCTATCAAAGATAGTCTCGAATGAAATACTATCTTCAATTATTGCATTTATTTCAAGACAAAGAAGTGGAAATTGGAGCATAGTGAAACTAGCTATGCACATATCCCCACTCAATGTCTGGGTTATCGAAGTCTTCAGGCTGCAGTTTGTTGCCACCCATTTTGGAGAATGAACATACCGGATGTGGTTTTGCGACGAAAAAGTAAAAGAAAGAAGAAGTTGGCCGTTTTTATAGAGCATAATTATCTAGACTGTTGTATCTCAGTAGCAATGACGGCAAACAACGACAATAGACATGCTTATCAGACCTACTATTAGCGATACAATAGGATTGACGCATGGTTCTCGGAAAAACGAATAAATGAAAGCTATCAGAACCGAGAATGGTAAGATTGGTCAAATGGTTCTACTCTCATATTGATACTTTTCCTAGGCAGAGGCCATACTGGGGAGATGGTCGCCACGAACTAGTATATAGTCAACGGTAAGCGAACGGCGCACGCAAGCGAACGGCGCACCCCAGAACACATAGTAGAAGCGTTAAATTACAATATGATATTTCAACAACAAACCCTCTTATTTAATTTCATTACTCGTCAATAGCAATTGACACGCATTTTTAGTATCATATATCAATTTTAAATAAATTGAGAACTTGCATTGTCATGGTATTGAAAAATACCTCGCTGAAGTCTATACATGTAGAAATATATATATCTCACTTACCAGTTTATTAAGTTCCCCTAAACTCCAACAAGTGGCTGAATATCATATAAAAAGCATTAGGCTATAAGGAAAAGCTCCTATAAACAACCGTTGTTGAGTTATCATATTGTAATTTATCGCTTTTACTATGTGTTCTGGGGTGCGCCGTTCGCTTACCGAATACGTTCTATCGAATATAGTAATGTATTTCAACTCATAATGAAATGCATTGTTTTTAGTCGCATACACTCAACTAAATACTAGTATGGTATCCTTCTATAAACTAGGGCTATGCCTAGGGTTTTATGATCCTTAGGGAAAGGTTGGCATAAAACAAGCATCTAGTTAGTGCCCCCACTTCATCAAGAAATATGGAGGCGTTTCGAGATTTTTCTTTTCGTTAGTTTGTTGGCACAAAAGAGGGCACTGGAGAGGACAGTGAGAGATGAGGTTAGTAAGTCAAACAATGTCGCAAATCCCAACAGAAGTCCCAACCCTCATCCCGCAAACATCTACAACAGCCCAAATTTCAGGTGCATACAACATATTTCAAAGAGCCAAATAGGAAGGAAACACAATTCACCGCCAGTCCAATCTACCCGACCCGTGTATCAGGGATAAGCAGCCAGGCAACGAACCCATGTCACTTTAGCGCGACCAGGATTGTCACCACGGGATAACACTATCAACGACCCTGTTCGGATATTGTCCATCCCCACTCGGTCGGACATACGATGTTGCCAGCCTGTACGACCAGGATGTTACTTTTTTGCTGTCGAAATTCACCGTAGCATCTAGACGCGCAGAGCGCGGATGTCAGTACCCAGCGCAGATTGAAACGTCGATGCGCCCGAAGCATTCATGCCCGGCATTGTACAGGAACAACGGCTCGACAGGACAAAGCAATTGCTGGCTAGTCCAAAGTAGGCAAGTCGAAGAATTGTAACGAAGACGCATCGTTTACAATGTTAACGTCGGTTCACGGCCTACCGCAGTTTCCCTTCGGCTTTGGACAGATGTGGGTGCTGTAGTACGGTGTGTCGAAACGTTCTCGAAAAAAAATAAACTACTGGAGGTATAATGATGATTTTCCATTCATGAGACGGAGACAACCCCCTGGTTTGTTTCTGGTTGATGTTTGCTCCGTCTTGGGGATTTCCTAAAGCGTGTCCGGGGAAGCGACCGTGGTCGTATATTACCCGGTCGCAAATATCGGTCAAGGCATATACCCTGACGGAGTAATCTCTATAATAGGCTGTGAGTACGTACTCCGTAGGTACAATATGAGTTCTGACTTGGAGAAGATAATTTGATTGGAGTCAGCAGAAGAGATGATGGCAATCCTTCATATCCAATGACGATGTCTGCTGTAGCGGTCGCAGAGATAGGCTGTCTCACCTCGCAACCATCACAATGTTGGCGTCGGTCTAGATTATGGGCCTATGATTATGCTATCCGTGCAGATCTAACTGATGCGAGTACACTCCCTGTAATGAATAAGGGGGCAATTAATGATCTGCGATACGATAAAAGTTGACTGTTAAGCAAGCCCAATGGACACGTCTCGGGTACACCGTCAACCCGCCACTGTCATCAGACCCTGGTCGATCGATGCAGCCGAGACCGCGGATGGTGTCCCGGAAGGATCTTGGGTTACTCACACACAAAAAAAAAAGGACCGTGTACGTACGTACGTACCTAGGTAACTAGGTAGTTAGCTACTACGTACTTACAGAATGTGCTATCTCACATTCTCCAAAATCTCCGCTGGCGGAATGTGGGTCGGGACCCCATGGGGTGGATGTGTTTTCCATGGTTCAAAAATATCTTATCTTTTAGCGCCCGCGGCATCAACCATGGATGAGCTGCATCTATCGAGAATTCGTGCAGATGTGGCAAACTTGGAAAAAAAAGTACCTAGAAAATGGAATTAGGTGGCTATTGAGTCGGTGAGTCAAGGTGTCAGAATTTGTTTCTGTCAGATTTAATTTTGACTGTTTATTCATGTTTACGAGTTACAGAGGCTAGACCTCGGTCCGAGTTGATATAATAGAGTAGTAGTAAATCGGAAGATTGAAATATGTCCTACCGTCTAGACAGTGTGGATTCAATATTCAACCCTCTTTTCTTCAACAGTGCTATTCCATTATGTATGCAAGAGCAGACCCGACCGTCCGTGTTCTTGCAATTTTAGTTCAGAGATCTTGCATGTGAACTGCATGTGAACTGCAGATGAGGTGCATGGTACTCCGTATAAGCTGCAGGGAAACCCGGGAAGGGCTGGAAGGGGCCTGTGTGGATCTGAGCTCCAATGTACCTTTTTAGAAAGGGGCTAGAGCTGACCACAAAATTCAATATGCAAACCAAGCTCCTTTCCACCCTGCATTTACTTACGTTGTTCATACTTGGATCCAGTCTACAATAACCAGTACACCAATATGTGCATGTAAGCTCTATATTATATGGTTTGGTGTCTGGCCTACGCTGAGTTTCGTATAGCTGGAGACAAACATAGCCGAGGTAGAGCTGATTGACCTCGCTCTCACCTTCACTCTCTGAAACAGAACTTTTGTGCCCAACAAAGATACCGAGTATTTTCCGGGATATTAATATGCTTTCAAATCAAAACCGGAGCTCAAGCACCCCAGTCCCCCGGGCGGAGCCATCTGTCTCCACCATGAAACCCAGGGGACAGGTAACAGGACATGCACCGAAAATCGATTAAAACACCGAGGGCCTGGAAAGGGGCAAAACATTGAACGCGACGCGCGCGACGGATCGTGAACCGCGGCCCGCCTTCATTCAGCAAGCTTCTCACATGCTGCGTGAACTATATTCAATATGATTTCATCGGGAGTGGAGTACGGAGTAGCCGGTTCGAAGGCGTTGTCCCGCAGAGATGTCAAGTCGATCTGAATTTGATTTCCTGGGTCTGTAGCTGAACCCCCGCTTGACCCCTTTCCAAACTTTTCCCAGGTTCCCCGGCGGGCCGGAACGCGGAAGCATCAATTATAGTGTGGGAGGACGTAAGAGGCGTGGGGGGGGGATTTGCAATTCACATTCCGTTGGCGCTGTCGGGGAATAGATATGTACAATTGCCAAAGTACTCTTGCGATCAATCAGTAGAAAGTTATGCATCTTAAGTGTCCTGGGATATGACGAGTATAATACGGAGTAGAGGTGGCGATCATGTGCCTGAATAGGGAGGGGTGAAAATTGGTCGTTGGGACACCCAGGATCGCGGATTGATCCACTTGGGCCGGGGAAAAGCGTCACATTCTTCCCCGTAGACACTAGGCTTGCATTAAGCAAGTCATCTGGTGCATCATAAAGATCATAAAGACATAAAGATTGACAGATTGAACGGAAAGGGGCATGACATTCCGGGGGACAAATCTCCAAAAAAATGGGCGAGTTGATAGATGGGAAATGTCTTTGTTATGAGTATTCATTAGTCTAGACTTGGACGATCTAGACCGACTCAATATTCAATTTATCGATTTAATCGATTTAATTAATTTTGGAATAAAGAACATCCACTAGAGCCTCGGTGTGACTGTGGGGTGGCCTGTGATTTGTGCGAAAATCAGACCGGCTCTTCCTCGGCATTAGTTCGATAAGGCAGTTGATTAGACTTTGGCAGAAGTAGATAGAACTCAACACTCATTCCGTATCCTTCCTCCGTACGGAGTTGAACGGTAGTATATGGCGGCAAATTAAAAAGTACCGAGGAACTGCATTTATCCGCTATGAAGCCGACGAAAACAGGCGGGAGAAGTTCCGAGGTCGCGAAAACCGTTAGTCTCCAATCCTTTGGCCGTTCCTTTTCATTTAGATTGTAGACTAAGGCTTCTAGACTGGAAAATAGAATCCTCTCCGGACTATAGACTGGGCCCGAGTGTGGAGACACGGGGAAACTCCCTCCTACCCAACTCCGTTTAAAAGAAGGAGAATAGTTCGTTCTCCCGTGGATGTAAAACTTTCTCCAACTTCGCACAAGTACTTTCGACTATCAACGGTGTTGACGTGTTGACGTGTTGAACCGTGACCGCCAAACGCCCAACAAACTTGATTCCTCAAAACGCTTAGGCGATCGAAGATTGTGTTGTTTGGGTGCATGATTAGGGCTGCAAATTCCAGTTAGGTCTGCAGCTCCCGCGACTTTTGTTTTCCTTCCCCCGAACGAAGCGGTGAATCCGAGGCATGATCATTGGAGAATTATCATCACAACTGGAAATTATTCCAAACAATCCGATTTTGAGATCAGACCAGATCTTGAGCTTTCTCAGATTGTTGGGCAGCCCTTTCGGGGAAACCTCGATCTCCTGCCTCAAGGGGGAATTTAGGGCAATTCAAGATCTTGCTGATATCAGATTCTCTCGACCTTATACAATCTACAACAACATTATACAAATATCTTTGTCAGACTTGTCAGAGTCAGAGGCAAGAATAAAAAGAAAGAAAAGCGCTAAACCGGGGATCCGATCTTTCCCCGTGTGTCAGAAATCCAGAAATTCGATACATCTGGAAATTGACAAAATTGACAAATAAAAAATACAGATAAATTTCCTTTTTGGGATTTATTTATTTTATTTTTATTTTATTCGTTTGCTTGGGTCGATCAGTTCCACTTCCAACCTTGGAAGGGTTCCAAGGTCCCAAGGTTGATCGGTAGCCCTTTGTTTGCGGAAGCCTCCTTCCGCCTGATTGTTCTGATTTATTTTATTTTTTATTTTTTATTTTATTTGTTTTATTTGTTTTATCCTTTTATTTTTATTTTTGGATTACCTATTTTGGGTTTTTTTTTATTTCTTTTTCCTTTTTTTGAATTTGATTTTCTCGACTGCAAGGGTGTCGGGAAGTCTAGAAGTCTTTCCCCGGCTTTGATCTTTTGATATCTATTTGTGTGTCTCCTTCTCACCGATCATTGATAAACAACCCTCCTCGACTCTTCTTCATTCTTCACTTCGCCTTACACCTAACACTTTACACTTTACACTTTACACCCTCCACACTGTTGTCTCTCACCCACTGGGCCCTGGTATTGCCAACCCTTCTCAACATTTACTCAACATATTCGTCATCATGATTCCTATTCAGTCACGTCTACATGAGATGTCGCTCCCCAAGGCGGCGGCTCCTATCGCCAGCACAGATCCAGCACAACCCACCTTTGCCTGGAGTGGCAGCGCATCTTCTTCCATGTCAAGTCCTTTCGCCCCTCCACCAACTCCCACCGACTCTCTCCTCGATATTAGCCCACGGAAGTCGTCGTTCTCTAGTGAGATGGGAGCAGCATATGCCTTCCCCTCATGGCCCAACCGTCCATCTCTCTCAAGCAACAACTCCGCCGATTCATGTGCCAGCGCCTTTCTCTCTGACGACGACCTCCTGTGGATGCCAGAGAACTCGGCCGCTGAACAAACAGTGGACGAAGCCATCAACCAGGACGCCGGTACGATCTGCTCCGTGACCATGGAACAGCAACTCCAACGCCTCCGCGCAATTGCCGAACAAGAAGATCGGGCCAACTTCCTCGCCAAGGTTGAAGCCCACGCCCGAGCAACCCACGCCCTCCGTACAGCAAAGCAGAGCATTGTGGCAGAGCGCGAGACAACGAAGCGCAAGAAGCACCGCGTCACGCCCACTCCGAAACGACGTGCTCAGTCAGCATCCAAGGTGCTCAGTCAATAAGCTCACCGGTGATTCCCGGCGCAGCGCAGGCGCTCTCCGAATACGCCCCATTCTCTTCACAATCATGTCATTATCGCGCCTTATCTTTTAATTCCACCCCGCATCTCCCCGAGGGGTTCAGAGACCCACACCCAGCGGTGCCTAAACCCGATTTATTTTCCCCTTCAACCGTGATACCCGCGAGATCGCCTCATTCAACACTACGAATCACAACAGCAGCAGAACATGCCATGGTCGATCGTCAGCCACATCTGAGCTTTACTGGGTGGTACCTTGGTATTTTGTGAATGCGACCATACACGGACATGCACGGGCCGACTTCGGGACCCATCTGGACATCCATGGGTCCATTGCCTCCCCCGCGCTTACCTAATACCTCGCTGTTGGCGCTTCCAGAAATCCCACCTGGGCACTGTCACCTCTCGTCACCTCTGTCCTTCTTGTCCTTTGCACACACCGCTGGTTCATTTGGCTCTGTGACTCATTTTCCAACTTTTCCATTTGTCCATTTGTTTTTTTCTTTTTTCAGCGAATCCGTTATTCCCCCTATCCCACGAGGACCATCTTTTCGCATGGAGTTGCAGCGCCTGATTCAGTCATCATTTGACTTTTTTTTTGCCTACCCTCAGGCTTGCATCCATGAGGACCCGGTGTTTTTTTTTTTTTTTTTCCTCTTGATTGTTTTCGGTTTTTAATGAATTCGTCTTTCCTAGCGCTTTGTTCAGATACCCCGTCTTGTATACCCCCACCATTTGTTTTTCATTATCTTCGACGATTTGTGATATTTCGCAATTTCCGACAGCTCTCCAGGTTTCTGTGATCTGTTATCGGGATATTGCCCCCCACGTTCCATATCACATTTGTCAATAGCCGTTCTTAGTACATTAGGTAGCCTGAACTAAGCACATTGACCACATCCTGAAACAAGAATATTCTTCCATATCAAAAAGTAAAACCCATAACCTGAAATAAACCAGGACTAGTATAACCCTATCCAGCATGCCTGAATCCAACTATACATCGAATTTCATCTTACCTGCGTAACCCCTACCCCAGCCAAGTCCTTGCCACGTTGATGTAGATGTAACCTATTTATTGCCCAAGATGCACACACATCCTCGAAATAGAATAATCCCACAGCCGATCGTCAGCCCTGCCCGCCTCGTGTCCCCCCACTTGAGTAACCGCCTCACCTCGGCACACGTAGAGCCGGAAACCCCGAAACTGTGAGGCTGTAACAGCTTATTGCTGCCTATGTATGACACGCGGCCCTGCTGTCGACGTTGCTGGAATGCAACAGTGCAACATTGAGATTGGGATGGTCTTAGTAATCGATGGGGCGAAGTGATTGATAATCATAGCACTTGTGTACACTCGAGTGTATGTATATGCACATTAATGTTTAATTAGACCATCGGAGAATATCGTGAAGTTACGGTTGTTGCTAGGCTGTTTTGGTCTGACTTAAGGGTTCCAAGATTTTCCCGCTTCCGATCTTGTTCGCTTCCATCTTTTAGCCGGCATTATTCGGCTATGGTTAAAAGGAATGTATACCCGGTGTTGGTACTGAGTACTGAGTAACTATTTATGAATGCCTAGTTAAATGACACTGGTATACATGTTGGATTTTACCGCTTCAATCCTTGTTCACCACAATTATACGTTCTACATAGTTGGCGTTTTGGAAAGCCTCGGCACCCGCAAATAGTCACCTCGCTATTAACGTTACTATCCTGTTGCCACCGTTGTTGATTTATCTCTTCTGCATTTACGCTATTTGTCGTGGATGGTTGCACCAACCCAAAACGAAAAGTCTCGATATCAAGTAAGACTATCTGGACATCACATTTTATGAATGTGGCAGGGCACATGGTTTAACTTTGCTACGTTGATTGTTACTATTAACTTGAAAGAATCCGGGAAGATTGCGGTTGGAATCTCACATTTCAATTAGTAGATGATCTACGTGCCTATCGGAGAAGCTTCCGTCTAGAAGAAAATCATCTATGTTGTATGTAGTAACTATCCAATGTTGAATTCGCAACACCAAATCATATCGGCCCAGAGTGATATCCCTCAAAAAGCATGGGAGGCAGCATGTGATAGTGATATTCGATATTTTGATGTACACTGCAACCTAGCTTGCATCTGCAGAGGGAAGTTCATGGAGCTGAATCACAAGCTAGGCACTGCGCGTCACGATTGAGTCATAGGCAGAGGATGAGGCGAAAGCATCGTGTTGAGTCGCTAATGCATGGAGGGTCGGGCAAGGATGAACCATGAATCCGTTGATGGTGATGTTATACCCGAGGCCGGGAAGTCGGGATTTCCTGCTTTGAAAATTCGTAGGAGCAAATGTATGATCACCCAAATTTAAGGATCCTTCAGGGCTCAGGAACTGGGTTACGTATGGGTACAAAGCCGATTATTTCCTATTTGGGCATCCAGCGCCGACCCTGAGATGCTCTTGACCCATGTTGAGTATAATTCTTGTATCGTTTTGACAAGCGTGGGACTTGCTGACCAGTCTGAGATTGTGCACCCAGGTCTCGTCTATTTGACCAGAGCATGATCCTAGTCAAGTCAAAAGTTCACAATACAAATTCATCTGTTTCTTTTGGAGACAAGCTTCGGCAAAGTATACCTCTGAAGGATATCAGCTTTTTCCGCATGATCATGACCAAGCATCCTGCAGAACCGGTCTCCTGCTAGTGAATGTGAGCCCATTAACGGAAGGCCGAGATTGCTATTGTCTCTCCCCTGCATATATCAACATCAATTGGGTTTGATGAGAGAAAGGGTGATCATCAAGACCCATGCTCCACCTTACTCGGAGCCCGACACTCGTCACGAATTATGGACTGCGGTTAGATCAGCGGAGATTGGCTTTATCTTGATCCTTCTGGAGTTATGACCCCTTCTCGAAGCTATATAACAGGCATATAAAACAGAGATTCACTGCCTGTTATTTCTCATTCGAGCTCTCCACTCCTTTCAAGTATAGATAAATTCTTTGGTAATAATGGTTCGAACCCTTGGTGTGTGAACACAAACGTTCGTAGGTGTGACTCATGGTCGACATCCCAACTAGACCACACAGGTTTCTGCGTTTACCACTATCCTGGTTTTGATATTTAACCAAAACCAGCCACCCAGGCACCTAGGCACCCAGGCACCCAGTTCCTATGTATATATTATTAAGGTGTTCAGAACACCTACCAGAACGTCACATTATTAAAATCCCTTATTTAATTAAAGTAAAGGACTATATGAAATACGCTCTTTCCGGTCTCGCAGCCACTGCTGCTGCCGTTTCTCATGCAAACCGGGCTACATGTGATGAGTCTTCGCTCAATACTACCACCACTACCTATACCACCACTTCCGAAGACACTATCTTCACCGTTGCCAAGAAGTTCGACTGTGGCCCCTGTGACATCGCCCGTTACAACCGGATGATCGATGCCGAGCACATGTTTGCCAATTTCACTCCCCGCATTCCTCCCCAGGTCGCAACCCGGACAGCATAACCTGTCTGTTGGTCAAGCAAAATGCCACGGCTACTTGTCTCAAAGGTGGTCCGCATGACTACAAAACCATTGCAGGTGACACCATTGAGGAAATCGCTTTGTACAAGCTGAAAATGACGGTCAAGTCGGTTTACGAGAATGGCAAGATGGCTGTTTCGTCTATCCATGAGGAGCTTCCCGCCAACACTTTCCTCAAGATTCCCCAGTGTGTTTCTAGTGTCTGCCATGTTACACCGTTCCACTTCACCTACGGTGTGTATAAGGATCTTGCAGAGAAGTTCGGTACCACTGTTGGACAGATCATGGCCTTCAACGGTGGTTACAACTATAGTGAATCGGCCGCGGATGCGGATGCGGATGCGGCGTGGATCAGCGTGCCTATGGGATGCATAAACCTTGCTCTCAATGTTACTGAGGAGATTTGAGCAGTGGATAACTGTATACTTTCCGAAAAGTTCATCAGTCAGTCGATAAGGCCAGGGCAGAGATGGGAAGTCTGTCGACATCTGTAGGGGCTGTTTCCCAAGGTATCAGATCTATCCAATGGTAGTAGATAAGAATTCCTTTTTGCTAAAACTAATCATGTAGGGGTTTATATACCCTGTAAAAACTATCTGAGCATTGCTCATTGTAGCAAACAACAAATAACAAACAAAAGAAGGCTCAGTCTGCAGCAAACAACATGCATGCATGCATGGGAGATTGTTCAACAGATAGCACATCAACAAGAGGGATCAACTAAAATTTCTTCTCCAATTACCCGGGCAAGCCGAATATTTGATGAAAAAATAAGTTCGCGTCAACCGGGGTCAGTGTAAGCCCAGTGACACTGTGCGACAAGGCTTATGCAAGCATAGAGCCAAGTCACGATTTCGAAAAATTAGATTAATCGGCGCCCTACAAGGTAGGGCTATCAGCGATTAAACTGATAAGAACCGTGTACTACACTTGATCTAAGCCAGATGGCAAAGAGAAGCTGAAGAAAAAAAAAAAAGAAGAAGAGGTCGGGGGGGGGGTCGAGCCTGGTTATATACCTTGGAGGCGGTGGGTCCTTTCGGCATTATAAGGGCGGTACCCCGGGGGTGCGGGTGCGGCCCAGCCCGTTGATTAGCCCCGACATCAGCCCTAGGGCCATCTAGAACCTTCGAAAGGTCACTACCACATGCTTTTGCTTTGTCACATGTTAATTTTGTTGTTTGTTCTTTGTTCGCCAAGTTGCTATACCTAACTAGATAGTTCTATTACATTCGACAACTTTCTTGGTCCTTCTTCGTTCTATAGTCAATGAGCCAGCTAAACATTGTGATGATCAGTCCTCCCGGACTCCGAAAGGCCCAACACATACCCACAGCGGAGCAACATTGACGTTGACCAACACCTACGATGATACCAAGTGCCATTCTGGTGACCACGACACCATACAGCATACTCAGTCGTCCGGTGAGACTGGCAGAATTCTTATATATCTAGAGGAGGAAGAGAAGCTATAAATATGGCTTCAATTATATTTATGAAGAGATTATACAGCTACCAAAATTTCATTTTGTGTTATAGAGTGTACCTTTCGTTACAGGCTTCAAATCTAAGATTTATAATATGTCTAGCTGTATGAGCTGGGTTGGCCAGTATACTCCAGGGCCCCTGCTCATGCTTAGTTGATACTAGGGATGAAAAATAACTATCGACCATCCTGAACAGAAGCAGAATCTCACTAGCTACTAAGAGAGGCCGCTGTAACAGAGTGAATATTGTCTTTCCCACGAGTAGAGATAGCCTCATTTGTTTCTGCGGTATCAATCCAGTCCACGTGTGTGGTTGTTGCATCGATAACCGCATCCTCGGTGACAACATTTGAAGGTTAAAGCCCATGTACAGTAGTAGTCCAGGCACGCTGGTAAGGAACGTTATAACATTCGCCCACAACTGCTAAATCAAAGAGACATTGAATGCCCCAGGAATAAATGTTGCTGTTGATATAATTCTAAGTGGCCTGTGTATTCTTTCCCCAACGTCTCAAAGTTCTTTATAGGGCAGTCTATAATAATAGATTTCCCAAATGTATTTACAAATGACCAAAATCTCCTGACTATCATCGCACCTGGTTGATAATCTCACCAACACACCACTTCTCAATCGTGTTCTTCAACGCAGCTTGTAGGTTTTGCAACGTTCTTTCAGAATACCAAGCAAGATGAGGTGTCAACACCAAGTTCAAACCCGCTGCTTCTGAACTTAACAATGGGGAATCGTCTCTCCCAGCAGGTTCTGTGGTGTAAACATCTGTAGCTGCGCCTGAAATCGCCCCACGTTTGAGAGCTTCAACCAGGGCTTGTTCGTCGACAATGCCACCTCTTGCAACATTAACCAACACAGCATGTGGGGACATAACCTGTAACTCCGCAGTAGAGATCATGTTGAGCGTCTCAGCGCTTCGTGGCAAGCACAAAACAACTACAGTCGACTTTTTCAAACCGTCTTCGAACAGAACCCGACCCGCTCGAGGAGAGACACCCTTACGCTCAGCAATAATCACATTCATCCCGAGACCCTTTGCCAGGGCCTCGATACGTTTGCCTAGCGATCCGTATCCAACAATACACACAGTCTCATCACTACACAACATCGGGGCTTTTCCATCAGGTGCACGAACCCGACTGAGCAATGAGCCATTGGTCTTCCACTCAGTATCAAGTGACAAGTCCGTAGGAACTGCAACTGTGGCATTATGAAGCTCGATGAACTTCCGTCGAGTGGCAAAGTAAAGTCCAATAGCATGCTCGCTGACACTGTCAATATTAGAGCCAGGACAGTTGCACACGGTGATTCCTCGTGTGGACGCAGCTGCTACATCGACGCAGTCTGTGCCTGTCGCCATGATCGCTATGAGGCGGAGTTTTGGGGTGACTTCCGCGCTGAGGGTCTCTGCCGTCAGGCGTGTCGTTGTTGTCACGATGATTGTGGCATCTTTAACGCGGCTGGGCAGATCAACGGGATCGGTCCATCGATGAACTGCGCGAGTATGCGGCCCTGGTAAATTGAATTCGGGGATTGGACAATGAACAGCCTCAATGGCGACGATGTGGTGGGTGATGTTCTCTGCGGCCATGATCATGGATGAGGGGAGACAGAGGATGTGTTATTTGGTTTGAAGATCTTCAACTGATTTCCCCGCCGTAGATATCTCCCAAGACCAAATCTGGCCAGTGTGTGATGACTGATACCGAGAGTAGCCGAGATGGGTCTCGGGATAATGCCGATATGTCGCCAATGAAAGGGCCGGATGAACATATCCGGGAAGATTTTAAGGTTGTGCTTTTAAAATTTGAGATGGTTGTTTACGCCCTGTCAACGACAAGGATCAATATGTGTCGGAGTCGGACTGTTGCTCCCCGCATCACGTTGGTCCTTCGCATATACCGATGGAACCGACGATAGCCGATATCAACCCTCATGCTTGGCAACCTCAAGCTCTCTACTAAAACCTGGATATACAACAATGTAAATTATTCTTGCAAGCTCTTGTTTGTCAAATAATCGCCATCATGTCGGGACAAAAGGCACCACATGGTATGAAAGTCTAGGATAATACGAAGGTGGTATGCGCTCACTCTTCTGATAGCCATTTAATTGTGGATGTGCTCTTAGATGAGGACAGGAAGAAGGTCTTCACTATCAAACTCGCCGGTCATGCTGCATTTGCAGCAGAAGGAACATCTTTGTTAATTGGATAGCCCATAGTGAGGAAGGACAATCAAAGATATGGTTCAGTACATTATGGCTAAGCTTTCGAGGAATTCGAGTGCACGTATATTCCGATTGGAGACTATGGAGAAATTCAATAATTACAGCCCCTTGCTAAACAGTTCTCCTCCTATCTCTTTAAGCAGAGGCTCCTTCTGTACGGCCTCAATCTTCATCTTTCCAGAAATCGTCTCCGCCACACCCATTGCGCGACAAAGATCGATTAGAGACCCATCCATCGGAGCTTCGTAAACAAGAAGACCAAGGGCGAACAACAACCCATGCAAGGATTCCACGCTCTCGTCCTCGCGCGAAACAGCCTCAAGCAACGACGCGGTCAATTCGACCTGGTCTTCCTCAGACAGAGGATCAGGCTTTCCATCGAAACGGGCGTTATGATTGAATGAGGCAAGATTGTATGCAAAAGAGGCCGCGACAACGCGGAGGCTGGTTTGTGAGTCTAGGAGGGAGTTCGTAGCGAGACGGAGGCAGGTCTCGCGGAGTGGAGATGAGGAGGAGGTGAGTTGCTCTGGGTATAAAGGAGTGCTGAAGAGATTGCAGGATAGTTGGAGGGCCACAATGCGGAGATTGTATGGACATGAGGATAGATCGTCTTGAGATAGCGGTGCAAGGAGGGTTAGGAGGGTTGCGTGTTGGGCTTCTTCGGCGAAATAGCCACTTGCACGTGGGTCAAGCAGAAGAAGACGAACGAGATCAACCACGGCAAAATGACTGCCACTGGGAAGCGTTGAGTATGTGGAGGTCAATGTTGTGGCAAATGTATGCAAATCAGGGACCCTGATATCGGCGACAGGTCCGGTGGTTGAATGACGCAGCTTCACAAATTCAATGACCTGCGCGACACCTTGGCCATCCTTAAATGTGTCAGGAAGCTTTTGGAGGAGCTTCTCGAGTGGGGGGACCTTCTTATACATGACGAAAGTCGTAATCTCTCGCTGAAGACTAGGAAGTCGTAGTTGACGATGGGGGTGGGCCGGGTGTGCCATCTCTAACAACATACGAACATTTCCCACTAGCTTGGCCGGTGTTGCACCGCTCCATTGATCCATCTTTTGGCCCTTTAAAAATGTCATAAAGGTAGGAGTCGAGCGCACGCTATACTTCATGCCAACATCGCGAGCTATGCCAATGTCGACTTTGATGAGAGTACCTCGCTCACCTGCTTCCGCTGCAAGTTGGTCATACGTTGGGTAGACAGCCTTGCAGGGCGGGCACGTTGACGAAGTGAAGAAAATAACGGCGCAGGAATGGGAAGCACCAGACAGCTCACTTTGTAGCTGACTGAGGTTGCTCACCATGCGGACTGTGCCTGCTCCTGGATGAGTCACTGCCTGAGGTGCGGGAGGGACAGCCCTTGCTGTGGTTGGTTGAACACTAGGCCCAGGGGCAGGACCTGTCCCGGTGCCTTGAGTGACGCCCTTGAGAGCCATCTCAATTTGAGGTTTCATCATTTGCCCAAATGGAGTTTCGAGGAAAGTGCGAGGTAGATTGATAATGTGCTCAGGGATGCTTTTACCGACAAGGAACATTGAAAGGTCTTGAGTAAAGTTGTTGCAGTTGTGAAGAAACAAGTCGTATGACTAGAGCTGATTAGCCATAGCTCCGTTGCTGAGGTTATTCATGAACAAACCTCGGGTGTATAAATGGTTGCCAATGAGCCTAGGTATTCTTCAATAACATCATTTGGAAGCTCAGTGGTGCCCAACTTCACGACCTCCATGGGCTGTCCATGATGGGTACTCCCTGGGGCAGCGGTCTGGATACCCTGGCCGAAGTAATATTCAATCCCGTTGAGGACAATAGATGTATGATAGATGGCATCCATTTGTGTCCCTGTCAGAGCAAGGGAGTACTGTGCAAATTAGAGACTGATCGCTTTCAATGGCGCGTTCGAACATACCATTCGGGCCAGACCCTATATTCCAAATTAGTTGATATTTATCACGCGTAGAACAGAAACCCCTACCTTTGAAAGGTCGTATACATAGAGTGAGACATCCATGATGAAAAAGGTGTCCGATGTAGAAGAGAGTAACCTTTTGAAGAGAAAGTCGAGATAAAGAGCCCTTAAAGTGCGATCTACGCAGGCTCCAATCCGATAACGTCAGCACCGGCAGTCTGCCTGGCCAAGGTGCTATCACGTTCGATCGTGTTCGATAACATTTTGTATGGACGTGATATTTGACATTTGATATTTCTACTTCATCAAAATGGAATGTGGCTTTGTTCATTGACGCGATCTCATTTCTCGCTATTTCCTACCTCACAGGTTAGTATCTGTGAACGTCCAAATTCAGAGAAGATATGTACATAGTATATCAGGAGTCAGACACAAAATGAACCATCCATTTTCACATGTTTTGAATGGTCATTTATACGCATAATTGTGTGTACGAAAGCCGTACGAAAGCCGTGCAAAAGCCGTGAAGCTGAGGTGCTACATCCAAACTCCGTAGATCGTTTTCCAATCGCGGCTCTCCCCACCTTCGTCACCCCCGGGGCCAAATCCTCAATTTTGTCCATGCCAACACCCTTGCAAAGCTGCAAGTCCTGTCAGTGATACTACTCACATGGTAAGAAATCCTATATATAATCAACATCACAACCCAAATCTAACTCCCTCACAGCCTCCCAAAAAGCGCGGAGGCGCAGCTAGCTCCTCCGCACCAGCAGCGCCAAAGCGCGGACGCGCATCCAAGCTCGCCAAGGAGAACAATATCACAGCCGAAGAAGAAAACGAAATAAAAGAAGTCTTCCACCTATTCTCCGACAAGAATACAGACTTCCCAGACGAGAAGGAGGGAGTCATTCCCCGCGAAGATGTGCGCAAGGCACTGGTGTAGGCTTCCCTACCTCTGTACCCCAGCAATTTACAACAACCCCCCACCCCCTTCCTCAATTGCTTACTATCAATATATAACTACGAAATTCTAACAACTCTCCCTTCAACAGCGCCCTCGGCCTCCCACCCACCGACTCAACCGAACTCGCAGAAATCCTCTCTGCACTCGATCCAACTCTAAGCGGATACGTGCCCTACAGCCCCTTCGTCTCAATAGCAGCTGCCAAGTTACGCTCTCGCGATGATGACGCTATGGCTGCCGAGGTGGACGATGCGTACCAGCTATTCACGCGCGGCACGGATGGCCCCATTACACTGTCCCATCTGCGGCGCATTGCGCGCGACTTGAAGGAAGATAGCGTGGGTGATAACATACTCAAGGATATGATCCTCGAAGGGAATGGGGGTGCTGGGTTGAGTGCCGGTGTTACTTTGGAGCAGTTTCATGATGTCATGACCAGAGCTGGTGTGTTTTAGGAGTGGGGGATTTGTGTAGATCTTTGATGGGATTGCATTTTCTTGTTTTGATGGATATAAGGGTGGGATTCGGCGTTTGGTTTAGCATCGACTTTTTAGCAGGGAGTCCGAGGCTTTGAGACTTTGAAGAAATTCCCAAGATTGTTCGAAAAATCGATTGTCATTTGTAATGTCCCATTGTGAGTGTAGATACATGCTTTCCTCCACCGGCTTCTGCGAAAGACATGAAAAAATTAAGCCTGCTGGTACTAGCAAAAGAAAAACATAAAAATGAGGTAGATAAACACAGCCAGTGAAAAAAAGAAGCAGACCCAAAGGAGCACAGAAGGAGATATGACCCGCGCATCAACCGTAAAGAACTCCCGAGAATATTTGCGGAACTTGTATCATGCAGGAGCCGCGATGGAGGAAAGTGAAAGCAGCCGTGTAACCGTTTAGGAGATCTCATCGGCCATGCCGATATCCTGGTTGGCGCTCGCCTGGGGGACAGTGCCGCTGACGGGAGCAGTGCCTTCAGTAGGGGGGCATCGGTGCTGAAGTAGTCAACCATCTCGGCATCAAGCTCCTCAATAGTTTTGGGCTTTCCACGGCCGGCGTTGCGGCCACGAGGGCGAGCAGAGCCCTTTCCGCGGCGGCTTCCCTTCTCAGCAGGGGTCGTCTTATCTTCCTTGGCCTTGGTGGCGGACTTGGGCCGAGCCTTCTGACTGTGAATGAATAAGCATATGAATGCGGACAGCTAGCATGGACGTCAACTTACGCAATGCGCTCAGTGAGAGGCTTGGGAGCAGGGATAGCGGGAGCGCGGGACGCATCATAAACAACTTCGATCTATAATATAGGTCAGTAAGGGCTGCAATTTTGGTTGGCCAAAGCAAGAGGATTTACCTTCATGGGGCGACCATCGACAAGGAGTCCGTTGAGCTCCTTGGTGGCCTTGGCAGCGGTGTCTGCCCTGACGAACTGGATAGAGGCGATGCCACGGCTAGTACCATTTTGGTTGTAGGTGAGCATGACTCGTTTGACGGGGCCAGCAGACTTGTTGAAGTATTCCTATATCGCAAACATAGACGATCAGTATTTTCGGCAGACAATTTCAGTGAGAGCGCGGTTCTCGAGTGTCGGAAGTAAGGTGGCGGCGCAAACGACAGCCAAAAGGAGAGAGCATCAGCGAGCACACAGCATCAATATATCGTCTGTCCCATCCTAGCATTGGAAGGAACATGGAACATATAGCTCCATAATTGTAACCCCATCCGAGAGGTTGCAATTTGCTCCCCAAAATGGAACACAAAACCAACAAACATACATAGTAGTATGGAGTCTTCACTCCAACCACAAATCCATCAAGCGATCACAACAAGTTCTTAAACAAAAGCATTCTTTCACGTCACCGCCACCGCCATCAAGGCAGAGGCTGTCAACTGGAATCCATTTGCCCATAGATGTGTCATCCCAACAAAGTAGGGCCATTCCAACTTCTCCAAGTCACTGAAATAGGTAATCACCCCATAGCAGCAAGACTCTTCACGGAGAGACTTGAGACAAGTGTCTCGAATAGATAGGATTCAGTCTGCCCTCTGAACCTGTTGACCACTGTTCCACTGATGCGCTCGCTGATGCCCATATGGATCCCAAAATAGAATGACATGAAGGAAATGCGCAGGATTGAAGAGAGGTCCGGATGATGAGTTTTCATCAATCATCCTCGGCATAGTACTCAGAGAACAAGGCGGGTGGATTCCCATGTGGAAATCAACACGAGCAATGTACATCTTTTCACCGTACTACAACACAGTTTGACTTCTAGTCTCGCAGAGCGCCAGCAATGTGTATATTTTGCAGAGACATGTAGAAGGAGCAAACTGTGTGCGCCGTGCATCGAGGAATATCCATCGATGTGGGAGGAGGTAGAGAGAGGTCGGAAGGTCGGTCGAAATCGTTTGCGCCGCGAGCTTCTCGAGAAAAGAGATGGCGATGGAAGCCAATATGAGAGCCTTTAGATCAACATACCTTGACATTGGCCTCGGACACATCGGAAGGCTGAGGATATTAGCGCATGGACAAGTAGATATATCATAAGAGCAAGAACTTACCAATCCGCTGACAAGAATCTTGCTAGAACCAGTCTGGGCGATAGGGGCTGGGTGAGCAGATTTGGGAGCAGCCTTAGTTGACTTCTTCACACCTCCGACGGTGGATGGCTTAGTCGCAGCGCGGCGGGAACCACCACGGCGACGAGCAGTGTGGCGAGCGGTCTGGCGACGGCTGCCGACGAGATCATCAAGGGACTTATCAAGGTTGGCAGACATGACTGCGACAGGTAGCAAAGCTGGCGATTTGCAGGTTCGGCAGGTGTCACTGGATGAACGGGTCGTGGATGATATGCGGCCTAGGATTTAAGTCGCGTTTGAAAGAAGAAGTTGAGATCACAGTGGATACTTGAAACGGGATGAAGCAGGTATTTGTTGAAAAGGATGACTCTTGAAGGGAGGAAGGATACGAGAGAGTGAGGAGAGGGGGCAAGTCGTAGCCTGGTTATGCGCTAAACCCGTTTTGGCGGCGCTCAATGCAAACAACATCAACCAATTTGATTGGACGAATGCTATTGAGCCCCATGCATGCCCATATACCTATTGATCTCATCTTTGTTTGCCTCTTTTTGTCTATTTTAAATTATTGTCCCATTGTATGTGAGTTCGAATTGAGACTGCATAGCAAGTCTGTATAATTTCAAAACAAGCAGAAATCCATTATGTGCAGGCCCAGCCTTAAGAGAATAGACTATGGAAAAACAAGCACCCAACTCCAAACGCGAGAGTCGTGGAGCAGACGACTCAATAACAATAAACAAGAGTAACGCTCTGGGTTTGCAATATGTATGTACTAGCTCTTGAGAGCTTCCAACCGACCGCGCATTTGCGCGAGGGTGGCTTCTTGGTCTTCGAATTCCTCCTCGGCTTGTGGAGATTCCGGCTCTGAAATTTTGGTCACAGGTGGTGCCGTAACTGGCTGTGCCTGGGCGAGTTTTCCTTGCAAAACTTCCTGCAAGATCTTCTCAATCTCTGATTCTGCTTCGTCTTCCTCATCTTCAAAGACGGAAGGGTCCATAGTAGCATCATCAACCATCTCTTCGATAATGCCTGCCCTGACTAGTTCTGAAGACAGTTGGTGCATGGTCGCAGATAATTGTGGCAGTCGGACCAAGGTGTTCACGTCCTTCATGATCCCAGTTGACTTTTGAAGACTGCCCTGGATTTTGCGCGCCGAGAAGGCTTCATTGACCTGCATTCCCACACTCTGTAGTTGAGCCCGGCTGGTATTCAATCTTGTAGTCTGTTTCCGAATGCGCACCAGCTCCCTTGCAAAGACTTTGGTGTCATTGTTAGCCTGCTTGGCCTGGGATGGATTTCGCTGGGCCCGTTTAGAGGCATTGACGATGTGCTGGCGAGTCAGACTGTCACTGGCTTTTAGCCGGGCTAGGTCGCGGTCGAGTTGCCGTGTATTCGTGCGTATTAAAGCATTGCATTTTCTCATCTGACAGATTATTCTTTATCAGTGTCATATTTCCAGGCATTAACGAGCCACACCAACTGCCTACCTGGGCTTGTGGGTCAGGCCCAAAGAATACCGCCTTGAGACTCTCCATGAATACAATCTAGCGATAATGGGGATGGAAAGTGGCGGTTTAAAAAAAAGACAGGTAGGCAAATCAAAGGCGTCGGGGGTGTTCAATAAATGATTTAAGTCCTAGAGTGAAAGGCTCATACCCGGTGCATCGTCTTAGAGATAGGCGGGGCAAGGCTAATTCGTTGGGGTAGGTTTGAACCTTCGGGGTACTGTATGGTAGGATACTTGTCGAAGACCAGAATCGCTAGGTCTTCGGCTCGGTCTTCAGATCAATACATCAGTGACTGTCAATATTCAAGCCTGACAGTACTTTAAAGTGCCACGCTCAGGTCTCAACCGAGAGCGGAAACTGAGTCAGCTCTGACGTAATACGATGTCCCACATAATTAATGCCTGAGGCACGCTTCTACCAGTTTCTACAACATAGCACTTTAGGTAGGTCGTGAATGAGCTTCTCCTACACTTCTTCTCCTCTTCTTGACCACGATTTCTATCTCCCTCTCTTCCTTCAATTCTTTCAGTTATCTTTCCATCCCTAATTCAATATGTCTCAGACTTTGACTCCCGAAGGTACGTCGTGACTGCTCTACTGCTTCCCCGCTCTCGAACGCGGGACTGCACATTTTGCATGGAATTTACTATGACGTTATATTCAATGTTTAAGACCATGTTGAGACATTTGAAACATCCACTATGCCAATTCTACAATTTCATTTCTAAACGGGATCAAGGGGCTAACATGCTGTTTCTTTTCAGTTACATGGGCTCAGCGTTCATCCGACTCGGACCCTGAGCGCAACTACCTTTACGTGAACATCAAGGCTGCCGAGGTTCCGAAGGCCGATGCTACCCTCAGCATCACCGAGAAGAATGTCTCTTTCAAGGGCACCTCCAGGAAGGGCGTAACATACAACGTCTCCCTGGACCTCTTTGCCGAGATCGACCCCGAGAACTCCAAAGTCAACCACACCGACCGCGACGTCGAGCTCGTTCTCCGAAAGAAGGAGCTTAAGGAGGAGTTCTGGCCCCGCCTTCTCGAGAGCAAGCAGAAGATGCACTTCTTGAAGACCAACTTTGACAAGGTAAGCTTGTGCGATCGTTCTAATTTGTGATGGATGTTGACTAATCGGATGCAGTGGGTCGATGAGGATGAGCAGGATGAGGCTGGTGAGGATGACTATGCCAACAACTTCGGCGGTCTCGGTGGTGAGGGTGGTGGTGACCCCAATGCTGGTCCCGGTGCCGGTGGCCTAGGCAACATCGACTTCTCCAAGCTTGGCGGTATGCCCGGCATGGGTGGCATGGGTGGCATGCCCGACCTCAGTGCTCTGGCTGGCGGTATGGGTGGTATGCCTGGTATGGGTGGTATGCCCGGCGGTGAAGGTGCCGAGGAGGACGATGTAAGTTTTGCTCGCCTATCGGTGGTCTGTGATTATCTACTAACACAACTCTGCAGGAGGACCTTCCTGAGCTCGAAGAGGCCGACGGCCAGAAGCCCACCAAGATCCAGGAGATTCCTTGAATGTGAGATGCCTGCTTTCTGCGAAATCTATGACGACCAGAAACGAAAAATGAGGGCGCTTAAGACGCCTACGGGATGATGCTTTGGAATATGGATTTGCTCGGGTTTTTCGCCGTCCATTGACTGCAAGGATATTTTGACCAGGCAGCCTTGAACCAAGGCCAACTTTTATACATAGTAGTTCTATTTCATTGAAAACATCCCAATGATTGATGAAGCGTGATGGGTGGTCATTACAGCCCCAGATGTTTTCATACGGTACAATTGTATATCGTAGATGGAGTAGTTTTGGAAACACCTCAACGGTTCGCTTCTTTCTAGCTATGTGGATGTGAGGTGTTAGTTTTAGTTTTTCTTGATATATCATATTAAGTGGCCTCTGTATTTCGGTCATTTTTTTAGGATATTTCTCCCTACAATAGTTAGGTGTCTTTACTCTGTACACTGTAAGTGGGTAACTTTTTATCTTTCTTTTTTATAGGTATTTGATAGCAAGTGAAAGTCCTATAAATATGAAGAAAAGTCTTCAAACAGTAAAACTATTTAGATATAACTGTTTCAATATATATACCTTCCATTGTTGTTTCGTGGCGTACTGATAATTTACATAGCGAGGGCCCTATTGTGGGTTGTCGAGGGCAAAATATTAGTGGACATATGACGCAGGTCAATATGAAGAGCACATGCTCAAAACTCGATATTGTACAGTGAGAAAAATCCCGAGAAATCAGTGATTTACTAGTTAAAAAACATTGAATCTTCATAAAGATATTTATATAACATATAAATCTCATCTCAGCCTACTTTTTTTTTATATTTCGCCTCGTACTGTAGACCCCGTGGACGCTGGAGTAAAAAAAAAAAAGACCCGCACCGTCATTGGTTAACCAAAAATTACCGTCACACTCCTCTCACACCCCTCGTTTTCGAGAACATTTCACTCTACAACCAACTCTGGCATTCTTGCCCACTCGATATCATCCTCTCCCAGATCTCCCTGTCATTCTTTCGGGTTTCATCAGCGTCTTTAATTTATCTCATTATCACCAAATTGAGGCGCACCCTGCACAGGCGCATTTTCACATTTTTACTCTTCCCCGAATCCGCGACGTCACGTCCGCCCAACCGTCGCCATGCCTCCCAAGAAGGTCGATCAGCCTAAGAAGAAGAAGGCCACCGTTGATGATAAGTCCTTTGGTATGAAAAATGTACGTCATACCCTCCTTTTGAAGTCTTTTTTTCAAAAGCGAGCCCGCTCGCGATATACCCCCCAACATTGTCCTAACGTTCAATATAGAAAAAAGGTGGTGCCGCCAAGAAGCAGATCCAACAGCTGCAAGCACAAGCCGCAAGCAACAAGAACCTAGACGAGAAGAAGAAGGCCGCCGAAAAAGAGAAGCGTGAGGCCGAGAAGGCGGCCGCTGAGCGGGCCAAGAGAGAGAACCTTGAGTTGTTCAAGCCCGTGCAGGTCCAAAAGGTCGCCTTCGGTGTTGACCCGAAGACTGTCCTCTGTCTTTTCTTCAAGCAGGGCCACTGCGAGAAGGGCCGGAAATGCAAATTCTCACACGACCCCAATGTCGAGCGCAAAGCAGCCAAGAAGGATTTGTACACCGACACCCGTGATGAGAAGCTCGACGAAGAAGAGAAGAAACAGAAGGATACCATGGACGACTGGGACGAGGAGAAACTACGAAGTGTCGTTATGAGCAAACACGGCAACCCACGCACAACCACCGACAAGGTGTGCAAATTCTTCATCGAAGCAGTGGAGAACCAGAAATACGGTTGGTTCTGGACTTGTCCAAATGGAGGAAACAAGTGCATGTACAAGCACAGCTTGCCACCAGGGTATGTCTTTTTGCCATTTATGTGTGCCTCGTATGCGATACTAACAGCGGGGGTAGATTCATCCTAAAGACCAGGGAGCAAAGAGCCGCCGAGAAGGCCCTCAAGGACAAGTCGCCTTTGAACACTCTCACTCTAGAGGACTGGCTCGATTCCGAGCGTCACAAGCTGACTGGCACGCTCACGCCCGTCAACGAGGAGACCTTCGCCAAGTGGAAGAAGGAGCGTATGGACAAGAAGGCCGCCGAGTTCCAAGCACAGCAGGCTAAGGAGGCTACTGGTCGTACACTGTTCGAGAGCGGAAACTGGGCTGAG